GTGGCAGTTATTATTCTAAAATGTGCAAAGTGGGACTGCTGCGTGTTAATGATCTGTGGATATTTTGGGGTTACGTGTACAAGTGCCATCTTCGAAGTGGCTTCGTATAACCAAACATTCCACTTATCATTGTTTCATACGGATAGTACTGAATGTTGGAGGGGTGGTTCTTAAATTTATGTACTATATTTTCACATTGCCTCTTCCTTTCCCTTTCTTTCTGTTTATCTTGTTACCATTCGATTAAGGGGGCCGTCTTTCCATAATTTCACCTCTGAGTGGGTAGATCCTTCACCGTTATGCATGTACTACACAATACCCCATATCCTCTTCAGACTTGTACATCTATGTATTCATGGGGTCTGTACATTATATACAATTACTTTGCAATCTTTTTTATAATGCCATGCCTTGAGCAAAGCCATTATTAGATTATCAATGACTCTTTTCCCTTCAAATATGTCCTATTACGAGTATTTTTCCATACATTCCTGAAGATATCATCAATAAAGAAAAAGTGAGAAATTTAGAGTTCCCTGAATGCACAAAAGCACACAAAGACTACTGTATAAAATCACAAACATGAAAACAAAATATTTCATTTCTTATAGTAATGGTTTATTTTTCATGAATCATGAATATTAGTTTTGTTTTAAGTGGGTTAAAAGCTTTAAACATCGACAGATTTTGACATTTTCATACTCCACATTTTCATTTTTTATGAAGACCAAATTTGAAGCTAAAAAGAGAATTTATCGGGTTCTAAGAAATATTTCCTTTCTTTTCTTTCCATACAATCTTGACATTCACATGGAGAATAGCATACAACGTATTAGACATAATGTATTATCTTCTACTCTCCCATATTATCATACTTTACGATATAATGTTATCAATAAAGCTATTGAAGAGGGGGGGGGGGGGAGAACATCAGATTAATAATTATTGATATTGCCAATTTAAATGTGCCTGTACTCTTACGCTTCTTGCACTCAATAAGGCCTAAAAAAAAAGATGTTTTATTATAATTGCCCTTTAGGTGCCAAAACGCGAGTCGGTTGGTCAGAAATCTTTTTTTGCTCCCTCTTTGGGCTATTTCTTTTTTTCATTATACATTTTTTCTTCTAAAAAACAGTAAAAGAAAAGACTTTTTTAAAAAGCCGACCGTAGATTTCAAGATTTTTGTGTCGGTCACAAAGGGCAATACAACATTTTTTTTTTTAGGCCTAACAGGCCTACCCTTGGGAAAGCTCTTGGCAATCATTTCTAAAACAAAAACAAACATGGAATTTAAACTCCAATACCAACCCTATATGGAATGTGTTTTTATATATCAATTTAGGAAAAACAATTGTATTATCCATTTTTTTTAGGTGGATTATAAAATGTAGTGTAAAGAGTCACTGATTAGGATGTACATGGAAAGTATGAATATACTACTATATCACTGATATGAAATTGGAAATGAAGTGCAATAACCAGACGTAGAGTAGAAAGTATTCTATATAATGGCAATGACATCAAACAATATTGTATTTATAATCTTGTATTTATAATCTTGCAGTTAAATGCTTACAGAAGGGACAGAAGGGAAATAGATGCATGTGAGAGAGAGGGAGAGAGAGAGAGAGGGGGGGGGGGGGGGGGTGAAGAGTTGGGAGGAAGGGGGTGGTAAAGAGTTTCATTTAATGAAAACTTTTGCTCTTTAAATATCAATCAAACATCAAGTTATTCACAGCCAAGTGATCCACAAAATTAATGATGAGCTGTTTGAGAACACCTATAATATACATTTCTTTGTAAGAATGTACATTTCCAGTCATGAACATTTCTGCTAAACGGCTGGCAAGAAAAACAAAATAAAATTATATACATTTTGTTCAACACATCTATGTAAATGCTGCTCATTTGTTTGCCTGTATCAAAGTATACTAAGTAGTAATCCTCCAAATTATCATGACTCTTTCTCAACTGTCCGTATCTATACTCTCAATACAGGGAATTGTAGGTGAATAGGATCAAAATGTTAAAAAAAAAGTAATTTTGACATAATTATATTCCCCCAAGAATCATCAGACATTTTTCCTTTGTTTTATTCACCATACATAACAATGGTCTACATGAGAGAACAGAGCTGATGAGAACACATCTCCAAGGAGCATAAAACTGACTGGCTCAAAAATCCAATATGTGCAAGAATCTAACCAGAAAGAGATGTTAGAAAAGGGAGAATACCTGTTTGCTATTTTACCATTAATTTCACAAAGTTTTAAACTTGAAAACTGTCCAAAAAGATTATGAGATGAGTTCTGGAGAGAGGTGAAAACAAAATTGTGAGTGTTTTCATTGTTATTATGCAAATGTGGAAGAACATCAGAAAAAAAGTTGCCTGAAAAGCATGGCTCTTCAAATGCCTTCATATTTTTATGACATGCTTAAAACTGTGGGCCTCATTTTATGACACATGTTTGTGAAGTCCAATTAACATATTTCCGTGTACAGTGCTTGTTACTTTTACCAAGACTGGGCCAAATTTTTTATCATTTTGATGATTCCAGAACCTTGCAGTACACACCAATACTTATATACTAGATGATCAACCTTTTTCTGATTGATATAACACACTATTTATTTCACAATGCAATAGCATCACCAGAACTCCATTTTATCTTTAACACACCCAATAACCCATATGTGGTTATTCCATGTATTTATTCACTTTCCATGGAAGCATTAATGAGTACCAATCACCATGTGCATGGAACCCAGGGCTCCGTATGTCTGGTTTTTATTTCATCCTTTATTTTCTTCATGCTCCTAACTCTTCGCCCATAAAATCCTGGGAAGTTTGTTTTAGGTTGATTTTATACACTTTAGCTACACACAAATATTTTTCTTTTTCTTCAGGTGATTGGCAGACTTTAAAGGCTTTGTTATTAGGGGTTCTCTATTGTGAAGTGTTTACATACATGAATAGTACGTTTAAATAAATAAATAAAATAAAAATTAACAGCATGAATACCAAGTAATTTCTTATTTACCTTCATCACATTTCCAGAAGTTTGCACATTAACATTTGTTTAATACATCCTTTTGTGCAGTAGGTAGTAATCTAGTATATTGAATGATCTACAAATACAGTTTGAAGAAACTCTTAACAGAAAAAGATAGGACTCATACGAGATCTATCCCTGCCGAAGCAGATTCATGAACACAGTAACAGTGAAACCAGAGAATTTGTAAGACTTCAAACTTGATTCTTCCTTTGTCTTAACTGTATATACTTTGAAACAAATAGGTTAAAATTAACTTGACTATCAACATATCTAAGTAGATTTGGATAATCATCATATTCAACATTCTACCCCAAACTTCTCAAATTCAACTGCTTTCTGTAAACAAACAACCAAAATACTGCATCCCTGATTCAATACTGAATACTTCTAAAGCATATTATTCATGTTGCATTTACACTATAACAGTGATAGAGGGTGGAGGAAATCTTTCTTGTTGCAATTTCACAGAGAGAATTTAAAGTATTGATTGATTACCATGTGATTATACATCAATCGCAAATATAATGGACTATTAGAAAACTGATCGGTGACCTCTAAGGCGTTGAAAAGGTCTACTGGGGGGGGGGCTTAGGGGGTTTAAACCCCCCCTTCCCCCCTTGGGCTGCCAAGTGAAAATGTGATGTGCATAGAAAAACGCAATCATGCGTCCAGACCCACACAGTATTAGTAGATGTTAGTAGATGCCAGGAAAAAAGCACTAACAGGGGTTCAAAATAGCCAACACAACAAAAAATTTGCTGCTTTGCGCCCATTGGGTCACCCCCCCCCCCCCCCCCAACCCCCTAGTAGCAAAAAGCTAGATATGCCCCTGGTCTAAACTCTATAATAAAATACCGGTACAATATCCAGTGAGTACAATCCTATTTTGCCCAAAAGTTTTTCAATTATCAAACTTGGTTAACATTATTATGCCTACACCTAAATTTTCTTTTATAATTCTTTTATTATACTCTTCAATTCTCATATAGTTATCTGTAAACTAAAGGGCTTTAAGGAATTTTGTCTAAGTTCCTTTTGGAAAACAGTCCATGACTGGCTGTCTGCCCACACATTGTTTAATCAGACTAAATAGATAATAGACTAATCTGGCGTTAGATCAGTAAGCCATAGGAAAACCTGTGAGTGGATAAAGTGAAAATTTATACGAAGTGATCATTAGAGCACACAGAAACTACACAAATTAGGTGTAGACAAAATTGGATTGATACAGATTTAGTACACATTAACAATACACCAATAGGTTGTAGTCAAAATGGCAATTTTCTTAAGTATCACTTATTATATTTTACCCTTCACATTTGGGTTTCACAAAAAGAACAAATACAATAGCACAATAAGTACACAAACAACACAAAAGGGCTTTTTTTTTCAGCAGCAAGACAAATAAAGACAGCTATCCACACATAAATCTTGATTTTAGTTGCTTGCTGTATCATTCTGGTCATCTCCCATATATTGCAAATTGAGAAAGTCATAGATAGCAAGGTCACAAGCATTGATATTTTTCAGTGATCAGTCTTGAAATCACAAACATGTATCATTGTAATAAAGCACTCCAGAGATCCCCTCCATGTATATTCCTGTAGAAGCGATTAATACAGTTTATTCCTTGATAATCACATCGATGTATAAGCAAAGTACTGTCATCTCCTGTTAGGTTCACTATTACTGAATACTCCACACTCTTATTTCCACGGCGTCAAATTTCACTCTAAATGGCGTCAGCTGGGAGTCAACTCTATTCCTAGTTAAAGTGACACGGATTCCGAATCAATTTGACTCAGATTGTGTGGCATCAGCTGAGAATTGACTCAATTCAGAGTCAAGATGACTCCTTTTCCGTGTCACTTTAACTAGGAATAGAGTTGACTCCCAGCTGATGCCATTTAGAGTGAAATTTGACACTGTGGAAATAAGAGTGCATGTACGTAGTCCCACATGTTCCACAGCTGATCAGTAGTGTTCCAAGTACTTCAAATCACGCCCAGCTGATGTGCTCCAATCATGTCATTTCATTATATGCTTTCATCAAGTTCTTTAAGACATTGTCATTTTCCCGCAGCTTTTAAGCAGTACATTAACACTTTGTAAATAATAATTATATCCTTGCAAAATAAAGCTGATTTGGACTGTATATAATATAAAGGAAAGAGAATATGGCTTTGATAAAACCATTCATCAGCTTGAAGTTTTATTTGCCCTTTTTCTCTGCTTGTTTAATCTTTCTTGCTTGCGTACTCACATTACTACCTGTTAGGTGTTTATACAGGGGGCCATACATCTGTAAAACAGAAGGAAAAAAGAGAAATGAATGATCATTACCACTGACACACGATGAAGAAAGAACAGAAGGTTAATAAGCATACACATGTTTATGGTCACCTCATGTGCCCAATTGATGTTAAAATAATAATAATAATATCAAAGATGAAGGAGGAGGAGGAGGAGGAGGAGGAGGAGAAGAAGAAGGAGGAGGAGGAGGAAGAGGAGGAGGAGGAGGAGGAAGAGGAGGAGTAGAAGGAGGAGGAGAAGGAGGAGACGGAGAAGGAGGAGAAGAAGAAGGAGAAGGAGAAGAAGAAGAAGGAGAAGAGACAGAAGAAGAAGAAGAGAAAGAAGAAGAAGAAGAGAAAGAAGAAGAAGAAGAACAACAACAACAACAACAACAACAAAAAGAATAGTATCAATAATAATAACATTAAAATTGATATAGTTATTGTGGATGGATATCACTCATATATCAAGGTGTTTTTATCCCATAATGTACATGTATATTATTATTACCAACTTTGCAATGTCATGGACAGAAACTTTTAATATTCATTTCATCAAATAGAAAAAATTTGCCTCCTATTTTGCATTGCAACAAGAGTCATGATCTATTATCATGTCCATTTTTATTCCGATACAATAAGTAGACATTAATACAATCTTTACCATAGTATTAAAATAGAATAAAATCCAATAAGCAAATTAAGATTTGTATAACTGAAAAATGGTTATTGACAGAAAAACATTGCAACTTTATTGAGGGAAATTGTACATTACTGTAATTTGTCATGATTTGCTTTTATTTCTTGATAATTGATGTCGATAAGTGTTATGATTAATCTTGTTCATATTTTGATATTTATTAAGCTCATGAACTAGTAGTTATCTGTAAATTGTTTGTTTTTATTATTGTAAAGGGCAATGGTATCTTCTCTGAGGATAAAACACGCTATAGAAGCCTAGGTTATTACTATTATTATTATAAAAGAGAAGTGTGTGTTTACTTACATGAACCCATATAAATTCTGTTCCGGTATCAATCCCCGTCCCAACGTTGACCCACTTGCCACTATAGCGCACATAACTCCATGTACAGAGTAGAAAGATGGCAAAGCCTAGCAGCATATTGGCCAGATTTGACAAGGAGTAGAATCCTACAAGTCCACACACCCCTGACAGGATGTACATTGCAAGTATGGTGGTGACGAGGGTGATAGGGGTTCGTGCTACGTTGAACAGGTTCTTGCTATCGTTGTGTTTGATGTACTGCTCGTAAGACTCCTCCATCTCAGTTAAGAGCTTGTCCTCATATTCCTGACTGTACTCTGTTCCTCCCATCTTGCGTACTTCTCTGAACTGATTAATGGCTGCTTCCTTGGTTTGATTGTGATTCTTCTCTAGTTCGTCTGGACTCAGGTATGCCTTGTCACCTCCACATACCTGTATCACATATAAGAAGACATTATTATAGCCCGGCATAAGACCGAGAATGGAATGTAAAATTCTTATGCATCCAAAAGAGGTTCTGACGATCTCATAATTTGAATTCAGCAGGTAAAACTACAAAATCAGCATTTTATTGTGTATAAACCAACTTTAATAGAACTATTCATACAGTCCAAACTCTGGTATACTCATTGAAAACTACATAAACAACAATTCCAGAAGGTTCCTTTGTGACTGAAGAGCTGTGTATGTACCTTTACTATAAAACTATTGTGGAAATGCTTGTTGAAGATATATCATTCTAAAGGCTTCTTCAGACATGGCGCTGTAAACCGCCACAAAAAAAAAGCTGCCGCTTTTAAATGAATGCGCGGTAACAAATTACGTCACAATGACATACCTGCCTGAATAACCTGAAATCAGAGAGACTGGCAAACAGATGCGAGTACAAATTGTGCTTGATGCCAAACTTGTATATCATTTGTAAAAAAATGCCTTGTATAAGTAATAATAATTATATTGACAGGGCTTCTTTCAGGGTTCATCAGAAATATTGACCGCAGACCATATTGCCATCATCTTCGACTCGGGGCAATATATTCCTCAAGCCCAGTCAATATAATATAATTATTGACTGAGCTCTGTTATAAGATGCAGAAATGTGACGCCCATTACACTTTATTTCCTCATTTAAAAAAAAAATGCCACTGTTTCGCTGCATCATAACTGAACGAGCCTTAACCATTCAAAATGGTTCACATTTGATGCTCACCCACATTGTAACTCTCAAAATAAATGCAAGCAAGCACTCAAGCAAGAAGTTTTCATAATTTATCATCACATTAGAGTTGTTGTGGCATGACAACGGTAAATGCTAGGCACTGGTACAATCACTTTTCAGCATTACATATGAACATGGCAGCCATGTTGTCATTCTATCTACTACCAAACTCTACTCACCTGTTCCATATCCTTTGTGTATTTGTCCTTAGCACTTGCTACTGCAGCTAAGTTATTGGCCTCTGCTGTCGCCTAGTAAACAAATGAGGTACATTCATACTTCAGTGATGGATAAATACAACTTGGAAACATAACAACAGCATTAATGCAATGCAATTCTTTCAATGCCTGTACCCATTCTAAGCATCACAGAAATGTGTCTTTTTATGTAATAAGGCTTTTACTATTAATTTACTCAAGCAAGAAAATATTTGTTATTTGTTCATTTCAAATTCATGTGTCTCAATGAAGATAACCAGTTTGGAATAAAATAAGTACACCAAACTTTACACTTTACACATCACTCATCATTTGAAATAATAATAATAATAATAATAGTGGGTTCTTGTAAAGCGCTCATGTCTGTCAGACGTGACATTCCTGGTGCTCCCGAGATATATATATATAAATGATATATATAATAAAATTTTAAACAATTCTTTAAGTGAAGTTTTATAGGTTGTTAAGCCAAAGTATATATTGATGATATATTGATTATTTCTTTTACTATTTCTCTGTATTATTACAAAGGATACATGTTAGATGCACATGAAAACTGTAACATCATTAATTTTATTGTCATACATATTTCTTCTTACCTGCAGCATAGTCTTAGGTTCAGGTAAATCATCTCCATGGTAGATATCAATGTAAGCCTGAATCAAACAAACAACATGAAAAGAAATACCAATGTGTAAATACAAACTACATGGACACAAGGGCTGTGACAAGTAGTTGAATGCTCGGGTACCCGCACTGTTGACAACTACTCGAGTACGATTTTTTGTACCCGAATATTCGGCCGCAAAAAAAAAAAAAAAAAAAAAAAAAAAATCCCAGTCACCTGGCACTGTCCAAGCCAATGCTAAGTCGTGCCAGGGAGAGCGGCGGCCGCTGGCGTGGTACCGTCGGTAAAAATGTTTCCCAACTCAAGCACTGTCAAACTCACCACTCAGAAACTGGGACCAAATGTCTGGATTTCTGTTTGGACTCAGAGGAAAATAGATTATTCTGCCAGCTTTGGTTTTTAAAACAGCATTTGTTTACTGTTATTATTATTATTAAATCGGCGCCTTCAACTGCAACTCGAAGTAAAAAATTTGGGCAACGTGGTATGGTGGTGGCAAAAAAAAATCAACAAATTCAACAAAAAAAATAATTATTATTGAAAATTATAAAAAACATGGAGTCCGAATATTCACGTATTCGTTTGTAAGCCTGGGAGTGTACTCGGGTCCCTCATTACACTGTTTTGAACAGCCTTAACGGACACACTTGGAAACTCAATGAAAAGAAAATAGAGAAAAGGGACATAATTACACTGTATATGAGTTTGGACAAGAATGCAAATTTATGTGAACGTGACATTTACAAACAGTGATATTCTTTGAATACAGATAATGAATATGAATATCTGTTATCAAAGATTGTTTATGACATCAAAATCTGAATTTAAATGGTGCATTTTAGGAAAATCACTGCCAAAGTCATGGATGTACTTCATGAATACCTTTTGTTTTCTTAAGAAGAATACTCTCACATGTGTTCCTTAGAATATACCCCGTTGGTTCATAAATGAATAATGATTACATAACTTTTATGAGCACGTATCCACTATTCATTTCAGTGGGTTTTAAAATTTTGGTATGAATGGTCTTTTTTTCTGCCCACGCCCAAGAATATCTAGCTTCTTATTTCTTTCTGGAGTAAACAGTAACAAATAAACATTTATGTAGAGTGTCCAATGATATCAATGCTGTGAATAGGATTCAAAGTCACCAGAGCTGATCTTCTGTCCAGTGACATATCAAATAGTTGACTGTATAAATAATAATAATAATAATAATAATAATGATGATAATAATAGCAGGTACGTATGTAGCACCGATGTCTGTCAGACTTTACACTCCTGGCCCTCTACAAATATTACCCCGGCCTTATAGCTGCCAGTATGGGGCTCAAGCATATATAGGAATTAATCATTGCCAGGTACCCATTTAACTTACCTGGGTGGGGTATGGAAAATGTAGATTAATGTTTTGACAAAGGAGGTTCGTGGGTTTATCTACCTTTAGTATTGTGTTATCTCCTGAAATAGAAGTTTACCTCTCTACCAAATAATAGGTGATTCTATACGTTAGAGTGTAATATAAAACTGACCTTGAAGTACTCTAGAAGTGCTCGACACGTGACCTTAGTGCCATTGATCTCCTTGACAATCAGATTGTCCTTCGAAAGAAGAAGAGGAGCTAATTCCTGTAGGTGGGTCTTGAATTCCTCACTGATATCTGAAATCAAGAAGGACACAGATGATTTTGGATCATGATCTTAATTCTTAAAGCTATTAATAGGGTCTGTACAAACTGACACATTTCAATTCCTTTCTCATTCTGTCATAGAACTTGGTTTGTTAAAAATGTAAATATTTAAAAATGAAATTAAACATTAATTTTATCAAATTGGCAGCATGTAGTGGTATTTAAAATCAATATTTTCAAATACAATATATCATATTTTTTTTAAATTGCACTATATAATTTGTACTTTTTAAATGTTCATTTAATATACAATATACTTACCGGTAGTCAACATAATGTAGGAGCAGAAAATATATAACTCACGCCAATTTAAGAAGGCAAAGTGAATTCATGTATTACTTTAAAATTCCATTCTTCTATGGGTTAATAAGATATTGCCCACACAAATGTGTCCTGCACCTAATCAATAAATGGGACATTCATTAAAAATCAGGGGTCTTTCTCATTTTTACAACTTTAATTTTATAAATCTAATTGCATAACTTTCAATCATGTTTCAGGAAGTGAAACCACGTACCTGCTAATCTTCCATCAAACTTTGGATTGGTAGCTACAGCTAGACCAGGATGAGGCATCAAGAAGCAGCCAAGTCTCTTGAAGCAGCTTGTGATATGACGTCGCACATCCTGTAACTCTTTATGCTTAGCTGATTGCTGCATGTCGGTACAAAATAGATGACAATAACAAAACAAGTCAATTCAATATACTGATGATTGGCAATCATAATATAAATGACAATCATCATTAGATTATCTGATTCATGAAGCTCTACTAGGTTCTCATCAATGCATAACACACTTGAAGCTCACGCAAAGCTTGGAGGACGTCAGAAAAAAAAAGTACCAACAATGGTGAAAAATGTATCAGTGCAAATTTCCCAACTGTACAAATTTGGGTTGGGATGCTGCAAGGCTTTATATCAGTCAATTTGGACCAAGAGTAAAACATGCAAGATATCATTGCCTTTTGTATTTAAGCTTTATCCAAGCTTTGATACACTCTGCAGAGTATGTTTACTACAAGGAAGGCAGGAACATCTCAGTTGAGGCAAGACAATACTAGATCAAATGCCTGGTTGAATCCTATAGACATGTACAATATACCTGTGATCATAATGTATTTATTTATTTTAAAACATTTACATAAAAAATAAAGGCAAAGAAACAAGCAAACAAACAAAAACTGCAGAACTACATTTAAGTATGGCTAGGATTATTAAACGACCAAATTTAATAGCAGAATATTTACTTATGACATGAGACATATGTGTTAAGTATGTGTTACTTACATGTAACTTCTTGTCAAGTAACTTGGAACCTCCACTTTCCCCAAAGGCATATTCATAAGGGAAGCTCCAATCACGAACCAGGAAATTCAAAGACTAAAATCAAAATAGAAAGAAGTATGAACTTATTATTGATCACAGGGCAAACACAGATAATTCTCATCTTCTCATCTTCTCATCTTCTTCAAAATATCAAGCAGATGAATAACTACAATACTTAGAACTGTTTGATCATTTTACAGGGTTTTATTACCCTCTGCATTGTATTCCATTAAGATTCTGCACTAAGACAAGGCATACTTGACACCGGGACATGAACAGCCATCATTTTAAAAGAGTGCATATGCTATTGTAACTGTAATGATTTTTGCACTTTATTTACCCAATCATATACCTATGTGGAGAGAAACAATAAAAGTGAAAAGCCTTGCTTCAAGGGATAGAGTGCCTATTAGGGCTTAGCAACATGATCGTTGCATCTTCGTTCAACCCACTCAACAAGGAATACAATGAATATATCAATGTTGATACCTTGGAAGGGCGAAATAACGTATGCTGTAGCTTTTTTTTAGAAAAAAAAAGATACAGCCTGAATTGCCATTGCATGAAGTCTTTCGTCTACGACTGATTGTCAACGAAACGGAGTTAGGTCTTTTGTTAATTCTGTTCGTTCCTACGGTAGGCAGCCAGTGAAAACGAATTTGTTTGATAAAATTATGGAAATGCAAGCACTACTTTAAAAAAACAGAACTTTGTCATTCCTTGCTCATTTTTCCTGCTTGAGGAGGATCTAAGCTTTCCAAATATGTGTCATTTAATAATTATAAATGTGACTAAGTTATGATAAAACATTGATAATTCTTGGTTTTCATTTTTTGTGGGACGCACTGTAGATAGTCATGCCTGTCATAGAATCCTTGGGACATATACATCAATGACTGACCTGGAATGGTTTGGCTCCAGAACTATCCTGCTCCTTAGCAAGTCTTCCATACTCAGTAAACAATTGTAAATGCTGTAGGTCATCCTCCTGAATATTTTGACTCAAGTTATAAACCTGCAAGATATAAAGAACAGTGTTTTATGTACAGATGTACAATATACTATTGTAGGGATGTAATAAAAGGATATACCAGTACTGGTATCCAATCAAAATTGTATTTTAAAGCCATCAACACTTATCAGTAAGATGTCTCCTCATACCCAACAGCACATCTTACGCTTAGCCCTCTAAAGGCTTGTTCAGATATGCTTTGGTAAACCACAGCTTATTATATTTGGTTGGTGCCAATGAACGGCAACTGCTCACAACAAAGGTCCTACCCGTATTCACCAAGCTCTGTGTTATAAGGTATAGAAATGTATTAAGTGTATTACACTTACGTCATCATTTAATAGATGCATTTAACCGCATCGTATCTGAACAAGGCTTGTACTGTTGGCAAAAACACCTTAAGAAAGAAGTAGTTTCTCCACTCCCACTTAACAACTAACTAAGGCCATGGTCTAAACTGGTCATGCACCTCTTTGCCGCTGTTCTAAGCAGCAATTTGCTGAAAATTCCTGTGTTGCATGAACAGGTCTGCAGATTTCAGGTCCAAATGTATTTACAATGGCAAACCTTGCAGCCGCTGCAAGCTTGACATGCAGCTCCATGCAACTTCTTGCAATGGTTGCATATGTCATCTGCATTCATAAAAGAATGAGGCAAGACGCTGAGATTACTGGAGATGTCAACAGCCTCCTGTAACCGTTTCCTTGCTTCATCGGGGCTGGCCTGGAAGAATGTGGGGATCCCTGCTTCCAACACAGACCTGTCCCAGAGAAGTGCATGGTCAGTTGTGACCTCGACTTAAATTACACACATTGTGCAGATAGTTTAATCAAGAAAATAATTCATCAATAAAGGCTCGTTCTGATATGGCGCGTCAAACCACCTCAAAAAGCTGCCACATCTTTTTTTTTTGTTAACGTGTGAATGGATGGCAACTGCATGCAGCAAAGCACTTGAGCATATACACTGAGCTCTGTGTTATAAGATACAGAAAAACATCATCAAAAACATGCCATGGTTTTGTCATATCCGAACGAGTATTATACAGCAACCAACCAACTCACCTGAACTGAGCTAGTCATGGTACTTAGAGCAAACACTGTAGCACAATCTCTGACTGTTGACTCAGAATCAAAGGCTCCCTGTGTGTCCATTAAGATCACTGCAACCTACAAAGAATAACAAGTTCAACTTTCACTTTCAAAGACATACATACCATAAATCTCAGTGTATAAGAAGCACTTTTTTTCTGCCAGAAGAATTTGAAAGTCGGGGATGCGTCCTATAGACAGGTACAGGATATTTGGAGTCTTCAAAATGCCACTTATTAGTGGTTTTTAACCATCTCTGTGTCTCAACATAAATAACATAATGCAAATAAAGAATAGGATCTACTATTTGAAGTTAAATTATGTTCCTAATTGGAAGGGAAGAGAGTTTTTTTTAATGAAGTTTCGATTATGCAACTTCACCTAGCAGTACACTGTGCCGGCCGACGCTCACCCGTGCCCAGAAGAGCACCGGCATGGTCCCAGTTCACTCACACACGGGATGTCAACTCACCAATCGGAAGCTAAAACCAAACAAGCCTATGTCCAAATTTCTGTTTGGACTCGGAGGAAAATTTGTCTGTCATCTTTATTGTTACTATCATTTGTGACAAGTTCACAAGCACAAATCGGTGCCTTCGATTTCGCCTCGCGTAGCAAAATGAAGGTTTTTTAACATACTACAGTGTCTGCTAACAAGCGAAAAAGTAAGATGAGAAACAAGGAAAATGTGAAAAAGGCTTTAGTACTAAGTCAACGGTCACATCAAAATTCTTTATGATCCTGTTAAAACAAAAATTATTAATAAACACTCTTTAAAGGGATCCGGTAACTTTTGTCTCAGATTCTGAAACAAAATCCTGGATTTGGCTCATGCTGCAATGATAATTATAAACCTTTAGGTCAGTCAGGAACCCCATGACTTTTACAAGTGGATCGTCTGTCTGATTATACAGATATTTATGATTGGAAATTGAATTCAAATTTTGCGTTTGCCAAACGGTTTTCACAACAACACAGTCTATTGGGGAAAACGAGTAAGGTAAAACCGGTCACCCAAAGATTTTTACTTTTTTGAGGCACTTCTTGATCATTTTGAAGCACAATTTTTTTAGGACTTCAATATTACACAATATCACAGACACTGATAACACGTAGGGCCGTGCATCTCAGATTTAACATTGTTAAACGATGCCTTTAATTATTGTAGTTATCGTTTTTCTCACATCATACTGTAACCTTCGGAATTCAATCTTCAGATAGCAAGAATAGAATTTACTCAATACAATTCTTCAATGAGATTATACCAAATAATTATCCAATCATGAAGTCTTATTCAAAGTCTGTCACAATGGTGATTGAACAAATCAACAAGAATCAATGTATGGTATAAAATCTGGAGCTCAAATATGGTGCGTGCTTGAAGAAAAAAAGATGGACTGGTCTTACCTCTTCATCATTAGGTCCAGGACATAGGAATACTTTACTCCAAGCCCAGATCCCTGTAGTCTCCCTCTCAGAACCTCCCCTCCAGGAGAACCCTGCTAACGGTTGGTCTCCTGGTCCAAGCCAGTCACTTGATCCCTGATAGACAATACAGTGCATGAATGGGACATGAAACTATGTACACTCTTCAAATCCTAAGTAGATTCCACAAAGGGTTTGTGCGAGGTATTGACAATTCACAAATACACATGGATAAAATATCAAAGTTATAATAATAAAAGACAATAGAGGATTATCAAATTCCTATGAATATGAGCTATCAACAAAAACTGACAAAAATATTTACGACATAAGTTTCCACACAAAATATGATTTCAGACATGATTTCATTTCTTATCCAACACAAGAATTTAAAGGGACTACATTATATACATGTACATGTACCTGGATTAAAATATGAAGTCTGAAATTATCATTCACAACAACCTCGAATCTAAATGTATTTTAAGTTTTTCATCATACTGTTTAACTAAAACTATAAAACCAGAATGAGAATGGTACGACTTGTTCAGATAAACATTTATGGGTAATTGACTTACTTGCATGTTGAGGTATCTGAGCATGAAGTCTAGAAGGAATGACTTCCCTTTCCTAAAAGCTCCTGCCACTGAGACGACACACACCTTCTTGTCTCTTACATCCTCATTGAGAAGCAGCTCATCTAAGGCTTCATGGTTCAACTCAAAGGAATGATCATCAGTGGTGGTGATGATCTGGACTGGCTCCCCTATCCGGGCAGCCTCTGGTATGGGTGGCATTATGACTGCATAGAGAGATACAGAAAGACATTAGCAATGGATCACTTCAAAGGAATGATCATCAGTGGTGGTGATGATCTGGACTGGCTCCCCTATCCGGGCAGCCTCAGGTATGGGAGGCATTATGCCTGCATATAGAGAGATACAGAAAGACATTAGCAATGGATCACTTCAAAGGAATGATCATCAGTGATGGTGGTGATCTGGACTGGCTCCCCTATCTGGGCAGCCTCTGGTATGGGTGGCATTATGACTGCATAGAGAGATACAGAAAGACATTAGCAATGGATCACTTCAAAGGAATGATCATCAGTGGTGGTGGTGATCTGGACTGGCTCCCCTATCCGGGCAGCCTCTGGTATGGGTGGCATTATGACTGCATAGAGAGAAACAGAAAGACATTAGCAATGGATCACTTCAAAGGAATGACTACGCCCCTTTGACCACACCTCAAAAAGTGAGAAACTAAATCAGGGGCTAAATCATTTTTTTCTTCTTCATTTAATTAAAGCTTGTCTGTACTAGTTTACCCAGGAGGGAATAGACCATCCAGCAAGGTCACTTACAGGTGGCTATCTCATAAACTCAGCTCTCAATTAACATAAGAAAAAGAGGAGCATGGGGAACCAACAGGCACTGATTAGGCATTTTTCCTATATAGGGAGCAAGTAGCTACAAGTAGTACAGTGGGGCTTTAAAGGTAATGCAAAGTTTCGGGAAATTTCGAAAATTGGATAGTGATTCTTTACAATTTTGATATATTTGGCCCACACTCTTATATTCATATTCATATTCATATTTATTTCATTTCCAACAGAAAGGTAAACAAAGATATTACATTTGATTTCATACATAATTCATTTTTTCAAGAAACTATACAAATAAACTTGCACATAATAAAATTATTACAAGAATTTCTTAATTTCTGAGGAAATGGGGGGGATCCACTAAAAAGCAGTGCTTGGAGTTTGTGGATCCCCCAGAAAAAATTAAAATATAAATGTTTCAAATTTTGCTTACGAAGACTTAGAAAACACAAGACAATATTTCAAAACAACATACAATTTACAAACACAAAACGAACAAGGAGAAGTAAAACAGATAAGAAGAAAAGGGGAAAAGGGGGAAGGAAGAAGAAGCAGGACAAATCATGACCGGAAAAAAGTAAGTTATAATGTTAATTTTGGGAAGGTAAGATCATAAGACCAAATAAATATTAAATTAATCGAGCAGATGATGAAGACCTAAATGAAAAATTAAGATGATTACCAACTGTTATCAGATTATTCTACAAGTCCTTGTTTGTTTTACCGGTAAGTACATACATGTACATGTAAATGAGCATACAAATGTATCTCTAAGTTCTAGAACCTTGTTGCAGTGTGAACACAACTGAAGCTGCCCACTGATATTGACCAACGCATTCATTTTTCATCACCTTTAAGAGCTGTCGCTCATCATCTGAATAGTTTAGTATCAAACTTTGCTGCCCAATTTCAGAGATAGCACGTATGACTAGAAAGAATTTGAACCTCATTCTGTGCTCCACATTGTAGGTGCGGGCTCCTAAAGCAATGCCTGCATTCAACAAAAACAAAAACTTCTTGAAAAAGGCCCTAATGGTGTATAAAGCTATTATTATGGGTTTGTGATTTTGTTTTCTTTCTCCATATACTACATTGTTCATATGATTGCATAATTTTTAGTCTGTAATTCAACACTTTCATATGTGATGTACATGTACCGGTACATGTATATAAGATCATGAATATCAGTATTTACCAATCGAGAAGAAAAGAAACTAAAGGCCTATACATCTATTGTCTACAATCATCGACAGTACAATATGTACAGTGTTGTATAGTAAAAGGTCTTACATGTACTTCATGTAAAGTTCACTCTAACCAATACACATGGTACAAGCAGTCATGTCTCCTTTCATGTCCCTTTATTTACAATTTTCTATTCATGTACTCAGGAAATGAACCGCATACCATGATCTCTCTTTCAGTCAATTCACTACAATGAATATTTGTATCATGTACAGGTACATGTATGCTGGAATCAATATTCATACCAATGACATAATCAACAAGACATTTTTGTTAATACCCAGAGGCTATTCTACAAGGCAGAATGATAATGACATGTAGCCTGGATTGGCATTCTCAGCATACTATTCTATATATCCCTGCATGATGCCACAACTGTTTTCACGTCATCATGCACCTTCAATGAATGGAAAATAACAACACATTGCTGGCATCACTTCATTTCAACTATCACTGGCTATTGTGTGTTATGAGAAGATACACAGCAGTGCTACATACAGTGTACATGTACATGTACAGTGTCAGTAGGTGTGCAAATTAACACAAAATGCGATATTAAACCAAGGAGTTACTAGTAACTCCTTGATTAAACATGCATGTATGTACAGTGTCAGTGAATTAGTTGGTCCTCATGCCGAATTGCCAAATATTAAACTCTCAAAATAACATGTTCAAATTTAGTGCAAAAGATGGGAACAAAAAGGGGCGTTGTGATTATGTCATGTGCTGTCATGGAATTTCCCAGAAATAACTCCTCTTCATATTCAGGGCTGTCAACTTTGGGAAACTGCTTCGAGGGAGATCGTATGCAATTTTTTTTTTTGCTCAATGGGGGGGGGGGGGGGGGGGGGGGGGGGGGTTGGTTGAATAAAAATATTTAAAAAATAAAAATTGAAGTGCTCACTACCCCCCCCCCCCCCCCCCCCCATTCAGCAATACGGTACATGAATGCTGGTTCATTTTACACGTTTGGCGGAAGGTTTTTTCATAAACCATGCAGTACCTGAATGACAGCGTGTCCACACACACATTTTTTTATCCCAAAACTCTGTAACGAAACGTCGCATAAAGAATCATCGTATAAATTCAAGGCATCCACACACAAGAAATGTTGTATAAATTCCAGGGCGTCCACACACTCAAGAAATTTATCCAAAACTCTATAACGAAACGTTGTATACACTTGGGTGCGCAGTTCGCTACTGCGCAGTGTTTTTTTTTTATCTTGCTGCCGGCTGTCTTCGGTGAGCGCGCTACTTTGAGTGAATTCGTACCCAACTTCCCAAGAATACCCAGGTCCCGTTTTCGCTTTTCTCCATGTGTTTTATAGATATGCATTATGCCTGCAAAGTGATCCTGCAAAGTGAGTTTAATTATAATTAAATATTTCATAGATTCTGTTTATTTCCTGAAATCAACATCATCAATCCGTCGCAGCAAATGATTTATACGTTAAGCCCCGCCGAGTTATACTACATGTAGTTACGTCCACACACAAAACTTTCCGTGATTAAGCGTGATTCTTTATCGAGTTCTAGTCGAAACGATGCCCAAACCCGCATTTCATTATACAACGTATCGTTTATAGTAAGCAACCACACACACAATTTCAACTATCCCGAACTGGTACAACTAATCACCCCTAATCACAGAAAGTGCTGTGTGTGGACACGGGGTGAGAGAGTCTTGTGGTCACAGCTTGACTCATCCAGTAAGTGACTAATGATTGATATGAACAACTAATGAAACAGAAAACTTACATCTCATGGCAATGTATATTCAGTATGTGTACATTGTATCATCATCAGTACTATTCAAATCACATTAGTCAGAACCTTGAGCATTACAAAATTACAAAATTACATTACTGCACAGCTCTTTTTATCAATTTGAGCTGTCACTCTCTTTTTTAACCAGAAGACATTAAAGGGCAAGTCCACTCCAAAAATAACTAACTTTCGATAGAAGCAAAAGAATAAGACAAACAATCAAAAAAAGTTTGAGCAAAATTGGATAATTAAGGCCCTTAAGGTGCCAAAACATGGGTAGGTCAGTCAGGAGGAATTAAAAAAAAAAATTATTTTACTTTTCCCTCTTTGGGCTGATATTTCTCAGTTTTGAATGCTTTAATACATTTTTTTATAAAAGTCGACCGTAGATTTCAAGATTTTGGGGTCGGTCGCAAAGGGCATTACAACATCTTTTTTTAGCAAAGGGCAATACAACATCTTTTTTTTAAGGCCTAATAAGAAAGTTATGAATTTTTAATGAAAAGAAAAACTTTGAAAATCACAAGACAATTTGGCAACTCAACTGTGACGTCATTGCCTCACTATCCACTAATTGTTTTCTTTATATTGATAATATAAATTTCCTATTTTCCCCCTAAGAATCTTATTTCTTCACACCAGCATCCAAGTTAGATTGATAGTAATTGTTTTTGTGTGGATGCACTAATATAGAGTAATTTTTTCACTTGAAGAGAATGTTGAAGATAGATAGATGGATAGATAAATGGTATTTTATTGCATCTTTCATGAATGGCAGTTTCACAACTGAATTGCACATGAGTTACAAGAATTGAATATATACATTGTAAAAAACTTACATAACATTTAGTTAAAAATTATTAAAACGTGACACGTTACTACTGCCTAAATACCATAAACAATTAAAAACATTTAATGAACATAATTTCTACCAAAGAAAAAAGAAAAAAGGTATAAACATAATTACATGCCAACATAATATGGACTAAGACAAATCATTACAACAGTTCGTCATGTTACAATATTGCAGTAGTGGGTATGGTGGTAAAATAATCAATGATAGCGGCAAAGCTGGGAAGAGGTGAAATATAATTTGTGAGCGTTATCATTGTTATTATGCAAGAGTGGAAGAACAATTAGATAAAACATGTTCCCTGAAAAGCATGGCTTTTCAAATGCCTTCGTATTCTAAATATGTCATGTAACATCGTAAAAATCTGTCTGTTCGTGTAGTCCAGTATACATCTTTCTATGTACAGTGTATGTACAGTGTTTGTAACTTTACCAAGACTTGGCCAAATTTCTTATCATTTTGATGATTCCAGAACCTTGCAATACACACGAATACTTACATGTATATGCTAAATGATCAACCTTTTCTGGTCGATTCCACATCGTTTCTTTCACAATGCAATCGCATGACCAGAACTCAACTTCATCTTTAAATCATGACAAATTTAAATTTTGATAAACTATTTATTTATATAAAAATCAATAATCATGAATATACAATATTCAGAAAATGGTATCAATAAGTTCATAAAACATTTTGTGAAATGTCATGCACGCAATATGATACAAATCATATAACCTGGGCAAAGGCATGGGGAAATTAATGCGATTAAACTATTATAAAGCAATTGATAAATAGTGAGAACATGACATCACAAACTGATAACCAAATTGGCAATTTGTGTAGTGATTTCCATTGTTCCATAGTTTTACATACTTTTTCAAAAATTCATAATTTTTTTTTATTAGTGATCCGACTTTGCTCAAACTTTTTTTTGATCGGTTTGTCTGATTTTTCTGCTTCGATTGACAGTAAGTTATTTTTGGAGTAAACTTGCCCTTTTCATAATGAATCAACAAACATGGAACATTTAGGCATGAAATTCATGAATGCATCTCATTTTCATCAAACACTATTGACAACAAAGATGTTACAAAAACTACTGTTATAACATACGTGTAGTACATGTAGTTGGACATTAAATTTTGATCACTGAAAATATCATGTTTACTGTTCTAGGGTTGGGGGTATTCCATAACAACTACAATTTGTAACTACCATACATATCAGGCTTAATACTAATTTACAGCCACAATACAGGTTGTGGGAGTTCTTTGTGAAAATGTGTGAAACTGCATACATGTGTAATCTTGTGTACAGTGTAAACGTACATGAACAGATATTTACACAAGCATGCCTATATTGTACTCTTTAAATACTCCTGAATGTGAATGGTCTGTATTTTAATGAGATCATACATGTACAATGTATACTGTACAGTACAAGAAGACTTTATTGCTTTTTTTCCTTACCTATTTCATTATCATATGTCAATGTTCATAATCTGGGAACGAATTGCTTGTAAAATGATTTTTATTAAAAGCTGTTCAATGTCCATTGGTACATGTACAGGTGCAAGCATGTAATGTGAGCCTCGATACATCTTCATGTCAGTAAGACTCTAGGAATATAAAGCATTTTGCACTAAATACAAAATGAAGGCCTGCACTGCACAAAATTTGCCACCACGTCTAATGTGTTAGTGTACATGCAATAGGCAGAAGGAGATTCATTGTCATAACACCCACCCTCCTACAGAATCACACAACAGTGTAATAATGCACACACAAATTCTGATCCATTGTACTTTTGTCATCTGTGTACAGTAGTATAGTACAGTTGCCCTCATAAATTGCATACTGTACCTACTGAATTACACAATGACTAATCCATCAAGGTCGATCTGTGGAAACAAACATTTCAAGGGAAATGCATTTTACCATGATTGCATTTTATACAAATCAGCGCTTTCAAATCAAGAAGGCCAATCATTAGGTCACAGTACACAGCCACAGGAAAGATATCAAATTCTAATTTGGCCAAATAACAAAAATGAAGTATTTCTCGTCCCGCCCGCCTCCTTTTTAGCCGCCGTCTCCTTTTATTACTTTTTACTATTCAGAAGAAAAAAAAAGCCTGTGATATACATTTTGTCTACCAGTAAAGATTTGTATTACAAATCATTTGCTTTGTCATGTACATGTACATTACATCAGTAAAATCACATAGCACAATGTCTGTGAATAAATAGGTTTGGCCAGCTATAATTAGCATGGCAGCCATCTTGGAAAATAGCAAAGAATTGCAAAATAGTAAATAGTAATGCCTTGCCTCCTCCTTTTTTTTAAAAGTCCGGACGAGAAACACATTATTTATTTGGCCTTTATGGACCTACAGTACATATACCTGCTGAACCTTTACTCAACAGTGACCAATGTATACAAAATATATCCATTTATTATTACTTCACTCAGACTTTCTCAGAGCACAAAGCATCTAGAAAATAGGGAATTTCAAACATGTATTGAGCTAACATGTTAAAGGGGAGTTCTTGTTCAAGACCGCAAATGCCTTCAAAGTGCATGGTTATTGTTCTTTTTCTTATTTATGGCATTTCTAGTGCCCTTTGAGGACCTAAAATTGCATGAAGGTAATTTTATATCCAAAAAATGTGTAAAATTTAGATTAAATCTAATCATACCAATTCAGCTCCACTTTCAAAAAAATATGGTGACCGTTAATTAATTAATTAATTAATAAAAACAATACATGGGCCGGCTGGTTGTGCGTTTTATAAACAATACGAAAAAGCCAATATTGGCATCGGCTGGAATAAGGCTCAATCTTGTTTTTTCACCTGCTGGTTCAAAATCATTGAATATTTGAGGGGCCCCACAAATATTAGAAATGGTTTATGGATATTTCAAACAAAGATGATTTTGTCATTTAAATTGTATGCTCTTTCAAATTTGACACTAATTTTTGTTACCTCACAAAAAATTATATTGTGAAGCACCCTCTATACCAAAACTCAACTATCCCTTTAATTATATTACAAGACATCAAGTAAAAACTCATGTTGCTCCACTACGGTATGTGGATATTGATGAACCTGGCACATGTCCTTACAGTTATAGAGCAAGGCTCATTAACATACTATGCCAATTAGACTTTCTGGGAAACATCATTTGTCCATTGTCTACTTGTAATTGACATTGTATGCACTATTTACAAGACCGGTGCGTCTATATATTTATATTTTTAAAAAAGCTATGTTGAAATCAAGTTTCCTCCCGGGTTTAAGATGTCAATGCTCCAATGGAACAGACTACCGGTATGAATGATTAATACACACTAAATAAGACATTTTCTGATCTGATCATTTCTGTACGCTATTGTACATGTATTTGGTTAATGAGTAATATGTGTGTGTGTTCATTGCATTACATTGTTATAGCAAGCTACTTGTAGTTTATCTGATAAGCATACTGCTGAATCTGTAATAGCCCATCTGCCTAGAATGCACCATGTGTTATAAACTACATGTACCGGTAGTACATACTAGAACAGTATGCAAACCATACACTACAATAGAAACGAGAGTTCCTTTTCATTATCTTCTATAATGGAACATATATACATAGAAACAAAAGCAATATGATGACATTCCCTCTCTCCACTTTTTCTTGTCTCCACTTCTCCAATATCTTATTATGAAGAAAAAACAAAGTCAATACAGCTCAACCAAATATCTAGAAACACATGTACATGTACAGTACATGAAATACATATTTCAGTGACCCAGGTGTCAACTCCTGCGCTACATGTACATCAAAGTACAGTTGGATCAGGGAGCTGATAGAGAAGGAGTGGAATCAAGATGCTTTCCTTGACCCCATGCTCCAAGCCGTCAACAAGTTAAATGCACTATAAATCTGCAAAGTTCTGTTGACCAGGTGGTGAGATAAAAAAGTGCATGAAATATCAGGATTTAGAATTCCTACATGTACATCAGAAAATGGTATCTCAGCAAATGTTTGCTGTCCCTTTCAATGATTTCTCATCAGCTTTTGAATGTGTAATGCGAACAAAAACTTTTGTAATTTCATACTTTTTTTCCAACCACAAAAATACAAAAAACATACATGTGAAAGCATGCATTGGCAAACTTAAAGTTATCAAAGATTGTAAATCATGAATGGATAAAATGATGGGACAATAAAAAATGTGAAAAAAATTGGATTATCCTAAAATATTGAGTGTTTGTCAGGATCTAATTTTTCTTTTACCAACTCTGGCATACAAATTAACGGAAGGGCAGTGTACTAAATTTGAAGAATTGTTTGATGCACTATTCCCAATCATTGTTTTTATGAATTTTTTAGAAGCAGCATGCACGCAGGCACGATCGAACATCAAATTTTTATATCGCGATATCTCCGAAATCCTTCGACGATAAATTTTCTAGTTGAACCAATCTGTAGTAAAAAAAACTTTGACATCCATTTGGTAATAATAGAAATAAATATATTTGTGAAGAATATAAGAAAGCATAGATCAAATATCACATTTTGTAATATGTTGTAAAATGTCTGCGAACTTTGGTCACCCCTTCGTACTTCGACTCTACATCAGACAGTAGTCTAGATCTAGAGGTCTACATGCCGATGGAAAAAAGCGTCTTTTAAAATTCATAATTTTCTTATTTTAATCGGAATTTGCTCAGGCTGTCACTGACCTGTTCCTCTTGTTTGTATGCTTTTATCAAACCCCACTTCCCAATTAGTCTGACTTACAAAAGATTTAACGTTAAACGCGTTAGTCAGTGAAGTAGACCTAGATCTAGTCGCCTTGGCTTAGTTAGCCTGACCGAGCGCGAGCGATGTTTATGTTCCTACGACCAGACCACCGTCATGACTTGATCTAGGCCGTATTTACATTACAATCGACTCACACTGCACTCGGAGCCGAGGTACAGGAAATATGAAATGCACTTTATTCTCGAACATTCGTACATATTCAGGCATGCCCACATTCATTCTTAAACAAAAATTAGCTTTCTTACCAAGTTGTATCAGACAATTTCAGCAGCAAATTGGTCCCGTTTACGTTCCTGAGGTGTGCAGGGTTTCAGTTCGTAATCGAAATTATCAATTTATTGACTATAGCTAGTGCATGAGATCGAGAGAGGGCGCTACAACGCTGGATCTGAGCTGCGCTGAAAATGGGTAGTGATCTCAGCTAGCCATAGAGATTATGTTTAAAGGCTTTTAAAAATATCTCTCTATAATCTATACAGCTAGGTTAGTAATTTCCACTAAACTGTAACACTACGCAGTGTTAGAGTTCAATGAGCAAATTCCTTGAGTAATTGCTAATCAAGCGCTTTACCGATTTAATATAGTCCATAACCTAATACTATCCTCATCACAAAAAGACAGTGGACACTATTAGAGTTTTCATATAAATAAACATTTCATATATATTCATCGATTCTAAAAACTAATTTTATTTCATTTCTAGTTTCTAGTCATACATTATTTGATAAGCAATCGGAATAAAACCCTTCATAGTGGTGGATCAAGCAGTGGTCAAAAAACAATTAGGGGGAGGATTTTTTTTTTAATGGAGGATATAGTCGAGAGAGGGGAAAGAAAAAAAGAGAAAGGAAGGAAGAAAAATACAAAACAAAACAGGAAATTAAGAAGCATCCTTTTGGCTGATCACTTTTTTCCTCAGCAAAGAATTTATTTAAAAACGAGATACAAGATTTTTTGGTGCACTCTCAACCCCGGCCCCTCTTCTGGTTGCTTAAAAAAATTAAAGGAAAAAAAACGGAGCGACGGAAGAAAAAGGAGAAAAGAAATAGAAACGATGATAAAGAGAGGAAAAGGGAAAGAAAGAGAGAAAAAAAAATACAAAAGAAAAGTGAAAAAAATGCTATTTTGATTTACTAGGGGCTGCGCAAATTTCAAGGAGAAAATTACACATCATTATAATGATCCACATATTGCCAATAGAAAAACATCAGTGATCTAAACTATCATCCAAAAACAAAAAAATTGTCTGATTTTCCCAAGCTTTCACCTCTATAGTTTCCCTGACTTTCTCTTTCTGTTGTATATAACTAATTGTATATTTTACTGTACAAATAATTCACATATTTTATTTTAAACATTTACATGAATAAGCTTCCCCCTCTCCAAATAAATTTCTAACTAAATTCAAACTCTCAATATATATCCACTGATTGGTTGGCTTTTTGTCTGGTAAAAACAAGTAATATTTCAGCAAAGATTTTTTTCTTTGCAAAAACATATACTCCAGGAGTCATACATTTTACCCTATCTTATTGGGGGATTTTATTTTATTTCTTTGTGAAGTACAATATAATAAGACATGTGACAAGTAAAAAGAATACAGAAAAAGCAGGGGATTCGGGGAGCGGTCTTTATCCCTTTTGGCGGAAGTCTGCTCGTGGTCACCTGGTCTGGTTTTTTAATGTGTGTTATCGAGTTGTTCATGCTGGAATTGCAGGAGCCCGTTTCCCCGAGCCCCCCGCGGCTGAGTTAGGACTTTAGCTTTACATTGTTTTACACTATTGTATAAATCATTGCTGCTGTGTTTTATTTGTTTGTTTGGGTTTTTAGTTTTTTCTTTTTGTTTTAACTGTAATTTCTCCTATGATTGTTTGTAAAAATGTGATTATGAATGATCAATAAAAACATATAAATTAAAAATAAAAAAAAAAAAAGGAAAGATGATAAGCTTTACAAAAAATGTAATTTCATAGGGTGAGAGAGAGAGGGAGGGATTGAGAGAGAGAGAGAGAGAGAGAGAGAGAGAGAGAGAGAGAGAGAGAGATTACAGAGTCACTGAAAGAAAATGTCAGGAACTGAGAGAGAAATAGCCAAAGATTGGAGAAACTATCAAACCCTAGACCTTTGCTGGCCATTGTCAAATAGTCTTTGGTTGAAAGAATTTCTGACAGAAGGAACATGTTCCTTTCAAACTCTCTCACAAAACAAAATCAAATCAAAAGAAATATCTTCATAATAAAAATGCATTTTATTATTGTTTCACAGCAAAATACAAATCATCCTTTCTTAATTTTAGAAATATAGATATACAAAGTACAATCGTCACTAAAGTGAAAGACACAACAATTCATAGTCAAGGTATTGTAGACATTCAGTCTTTACAAGGTGATGAAGTTATAATTTACAATTGTATAAAAAAGATGTAGACAATGCAATTTTGTAATTGTTTCAGCCAAATACCAAATATTATAGTCAATATTGCATGGAGAGTCTTTACATAAACAATTCTCTAGTAATTGGACAGTGTATGAAACTTTCTTAAATCAAAGCTTTCATGTACAAACAATTAACCTTTTACTGAATTGGATTTGTTATCTATTCAAAGGCAGCAATTAACTCTACTATTTAACTCACTCTAAAGTAAAAATGGGATTACCAAGTATCAATTACTGTTTGGAATGGATCGATGAAGTACAAAAAATGAAAATATTCTAATTTGTTTTCATGCAGCCAAATTACCTCATTATAATTCATATGATAAACATTTCAATGACACAATAATGAGCTATAATTTTAAAAAGTCATGGAAGAAACCTGACAGTCTATGGAATATAAACAAACCCTGTAATAAGGAATATAGGAAGAACTTTGAAAGCATGTTTCAATTCTCTTGGTTTAATAGAGCATTTACAGCCTCGACTAGTCTATATCCTATCATTTGTAAATAGGAGATTAAATTTTTTTTTAAAAGACATAGACTAAAACTCATATAAACACGAGTGGTTCTCATAGAAAGTATAATGTCAATAATATGTTATGAATTCAAATTATGTTTGTTTGATGTATGGCACAACAATCATGACTACTTGAAGCAATTAATCTATCACAATTTAGGATAATAGGTAGGAACTCCTAAGATACATCAACATTTATTCCTAAATCAGCACATTTATATTTAGAAATCTCATTTAATCAATGATTTTAGGTTCACAATAAATAAAGCATTAACAATCCTATCTTATTTTGAAATGTATATATAAGCCATCATTACAATTAACATAATTATTCTTGAAGAGTTGATATAAAATAGAAAAGCATCCATTAAAATATTTGTAATTATCAGTCAGCTATTTATACTGTACAAAATGGACAATGCCTACAATATCAAGGTGACTTTAGTTAAATTGATCTGCTCAAAATATAAATATAAATTCTGCTGTCACTTGGATCCAACCTTTCAATCTATTACAGTTTGTTTCATAAAAATCTATAGAAAAAGGGAACACTTGTATAAAAAATCTGCAGCCTTGAAGAACAAAAATACCAGTGAATATTACTGTTTTACCTATATAAAAAATTCAGTTGAATGTAAAAAAAAACGCTTATACTGTGATTGCATGAAATTCAATTTACTTACAATGTACTAATGACAAATTCTCACTATAAAAGGGTCCTTTACAGCATTCACAATGTTACCTCCCATATCTTGAAATATTTATCCAACAATACCTAACGATTTGAATAGTGCACTAACACATATGAAACAATATCTTAAAAGGAAAAAATAAACGATGACTGAGTTCCAGTCTTTTTACAAATTAAAACATGTATACAGAATAAAGGAACATAAAATGAATATATCAGGAATTTTTGTAATGTATGCATGCCTTTAATTTGTCTGAAACGAGCGATGCAGTACAAATTGAAATATGAATAAATGAGAGTATAATTCAGTCATTGCTTTCAACTAACAAAGAAAACATACACACAAGGTGAGCTAGGCAGCACGTACACAACACTTGATAACACACATTAATTGGAGAAAAAATAATCAATAAAGATAATATTGCATTATTCTACTTCTAACATAAAGTACATAGTGAAGCTATCTTTACTTTACTTTACACAGACAATCAAATTAATGATGCCTTAGCTTTTATTCTGTATTTCAGATCTTTACTCCTACATCTGCCCATACAAGACAATTTAATTCATGAGATGCACAATTACATTTCCATAACTTTCTACAGATTGATTTAATCGATCTTCAGTACAATGTTGCAGTAGTTATTGATTCAATATTACATCTCACTAGCATGAGCACACACAATTATGAACACATCTTGATACTCAGTTTACTTGTAGATGAATACATGTTTTCTGCCTAGCTGAAGATCATAAATGAGTGTCAGTAAACATGGTCTGCTCTTTAGTATAGCTGTAGGGCTGGCTAATGTGAGTCATGGCATCATCTTCATACTGTCAAGAAGAAAAAATATTTAAAAAAAAGAAAAACAAAATGTAATGAAATGAACACAAGAAACAATTTATTCAGTTTGGAGAGGGGAAAACAATAGGTCAACTATCTACATTCAATATGAGATGATATGCCCTACAGATTCCTTTCACACAATATTTTCACAGTGGACATTCTACAGAGAAGTCGTCTTTTCAATTAAATCCAAAGGTTCCTGAATCTGCACCATGTGAGCTACATTTAAAACTCACTGAAGGTGTAACACAGGCTACTCTCCTATAAGGTTCACTACCAGTAGTCACAATTTTGTCAAATAAATGACTTTGACTAACTACTGAATAATACCTGTAGGAATAGAATATTTGCCTTTTTTTTTAGAAACAGCTATCCATTGAAATTAAAGTTATGTAAGATATTGATATGATTTTTTTTAAATTGAAAAGAGAATATAAAAAGTGAGAAATTGATGGCTGACAGATGAGCGTTTGTCTCCTAACTAGAAAAGAGGGGATCGACCGATGACTATAAAGAGAAATAAACTTGATCTTACCAGACTGACCATACCAGAATCCATCTTTAGAGGGAGAGGTGCGGTATTATCCCAGGCGGCTACACCATCATCTTCATCTAAATACTTGAGAGAGTTCTTATCCATGACCTCGGATGTCCTGCTGGTAGGGCGGGGCGGTGAGGGAGCAGGGAATGATGGGTTGTAATATGTATTGTGTAAGCTGTGCATACTAGATTGCCTGCTGATGGCCTGTGGGATTGGATCCTGAAATAACACACAAATAAATGGAATTAGTAAACAAGAATGAAATAATGTAATTTTGTAAGTTAAACTTACCTACAATGGTCATCCAATGAGAAAGGTCACATATTTCTATCAAAAATGTTCATCAGAAATCCTGATTCCTAGCTTTTGATACTCCCAGAGAAAAATTCCTTTGAGTTTGTGAGAATTATATTATAGCCAATATCAAAATGCAAGACTATTTCAAGTCTATATATAAACTGGGTCAGGTTAGTACATTAATCCTGTCAACGCCCTGAAGCCTTTATAATAAAGGAACAAATTAAGTGATACTCCACAAATTAAGCTCAGTTGAACTTCAACCAATTGACTGGAGATGCGTAGGTCGATGGTTCAAATCCTGACACAGCACCAATATCCTTTGGCAAGATATAACCTGCACTTGCTACTCTCCACCCAGGTGTGAAAGGAGCAAGTGTGTTTGAGCGTCAAGTAACGCGTGGCTGGAATACTTCCCAGGGAATGGAGAATGTGCACACAGTGTGTGCGGGCAAGCATTGAATCCAATGACCGGGGTAATAGTATATCTGTAAAGCGCTTAGAGACATCGTAGATGTATTAAGCGCTATAACAAAACGGACTATTACAAGCTTGTATAGGACTTGAATATATTTGTAATGTGTTTCACATGTATGCAGGCAGTCCCTGGCAATTTTAAACTTGATAAGTTAATGAAAGTTTGGAGTCTTACCAGTATACTCTCTGACTCTGGGTATCTCGGAAGCATGGAAGAGAATGTGAAGTTATGAGCTTTCCTCTGTCTTGGTGGAAGAGGAGTCCTCTCTCTAGCGTAAGGCTTACGTGTTCCAGTACGACTCAGGACAACGGCAATGAGGATGAAGATGATTACTACACCCAGTAAGACCATGATCGCAATAAACCATACAGACGAATACCATTGTGTCTGTGCTTCAGGTAGGGTTCCTCCAGTGGCTGTCATGAATATAAAGCAGACTTCATTAATAGATTATCATCTATACATTTAATACAATATTACAAATATGCAACAGTATTTTGTTGAAGATGTCCAAACTTATTACGAGGAAACCATAGAATTGTTATACATGTATATACTTATTTTCTTCTGTATATGTTAGTGTTACTGTTGTGACTTTATATGCATGATTGTTATTGCATTTTAATGTTACCAAACAGGGCTTCATGGAAGGCCACCACTATAGGTGAAAGTGTGCTACCCTGTATAGATATCAGAAATAAGTAAATAAAGAATGCCCATTTCACCAGGGATGCTAAGAAAGCTGATTGCATACACTTGCTTTAAATTTTTATCAAACTATGATTGTGCCTCTTTAAAACTTTGTATTTGTTTAAAATTAATACATGATGATAAGCCTCCCCTCCCCCCCCCCCCAAAAAAAGAAGAAGATATTATGTATGCTTTGTGAAAATGACTACATGGTTAATTTCTAGCTAATCAAATTCTTAATTTTGAAACCCTGAACTTAACACTATGCCCAAGGCTAACCCTAGGCGTAAACCAACCTGAAACTTGATCACTGAAACCAAAGCCCTAACTGTATATATGTGAGAAACAGTCCTATAGCAAATGAAAACTTTACTCATGTCTGCAGATACAGCAAACTTATAGCAAAAAAATACAACAAAGAATATGGTGATACTAATAAATGTAAAAATGGCAGCAATAATCCTTTTCCAAATGTCATGATTGTTGAAGTGAAAGGTAGGCTTACATGGAGGCTGGTAGATGATTGTAGGATAGGAGATGCTGCCTGTTGATGTCACACAAGTCACTGTGAATTCATATTCTGAAAGAAAAAGAGAGACGACCATTCATTTAATTTCTACTTCATACTTATACAGAAGCACTCATGCAGTCTGTGTACTTATCAGATTCTCACCACACAATATAAGACATACACATTATTTTCAATAACAAAAAACATTTGCAAGCTATTCAAACCGACTATATTTTTCATCATTCTACTACCGACCACCTAGATATAGATAGACTACTAATTTCTTTGTTTTCCCATATCCTTATTGAGAAGTCTAATGACTGAAGATACCATTATACAAAGAAACCATTCCACTACAACTATGCAGATAAAGACTGTACTCATCTCTCTACTTACCCATATCCTTGAGAGGCCTTGTGACTGCAGTGGCGATACCACTGTAGACGGTATCACCATTCTCAACGAGGATGTACTCTCTGAGCATACTATTAAGTACAAAGCTCTGAGCCCAGCTGACTGTGATTAGGCTGTTATTGGTGTTACTGTTGATGGAAGGTTTGGTGCCACTCACAAAGAAAGGCACTGTGGGCACATAAAAAAAGAAAGGAAAAGAAAAATCTAAAATCAATATGTGACATTACATACAAAATATGTACAGTTGCTTTATCTCTATTAAACTTAATACAGTCCTAATAATGTCCTCAATGAACAAGAAGATTTACAGTACAGCTTGAAGATCTATACAAGAAACAATGACATTTTGATTACAGCTTTTCATACCTTATGTGAGGAAACTAAATGATTGTGAAGTTGTTTACAGAATGTATTTGAAACTCATCCTACATACTGGTAAATTCATAGTTACGGTGGGATATGTACAGTGCATACCTTTGACCATACACAGCTTTTTCACTCAATGCCATAGAGTAGTGATGAGCGAGATCAATTTTTATCTGTGCAGAAAAGGGCACATATTGCCTCTACATTTATTCAGTGCATTGAACAATATTTTATGGGATTTTGCACTACATAAGAAGCAATTGTACGGATATATTTTGTGAACTCATACACCTATTGGTCATACTCACATGCTGGAAGGGTATTTTCTTGGACAGGGGAAGACTCCACCTGGCCAGCATCATTATAAGCTGCCACTACAAAGTCATATCGTGCGTAGGGTTTTAGACCAGTGACATTGTGTGTGAGTGCCAGGTCCTTGTTGATAGGAATGTAGTCCTCTACGGGGCAGGTCTGCTCAAAAGGCTGGGTCGTAAGTGGACAACCTGGTCCAAATAAGAGTTCAAACCTAGAAGAGAGGAAGATGAAAATATTTGGTTTATGAATATCAAGAACACATGCAAGGGTTTACAAATAACATGCCAGCTGGTCTTCACATAACCATTGTCCATCTACAATCCGTGCAGGCAAGAGAAAAGCCACATGAACAAATTATACATAATACCCTTGAGGATCTAATAGGCTGTTGACCTACGATTGTATACAATTATTCCTCAAGAAAACCTGCTTTAAAGATGAAATTATTAACAGGTAAAAGATGACACAATTAAGATATCCAGTAATAAAATAATTAATTACAACTAAGACAATCAGATTGAATCAATTATTTTAACTGATATGCGTACACGGAAAATAAGAAATAACAACCCAAGTGCAAAGCTAAATAATTATATTCAGCAAACAATAGAAAAAATGCATACTTTTAATAAAATATAGATATCAATTTATGTTGGAAAAAAAAAGCTTTAACCATTAAAGGACTGTCACCTGGCCCCATATTATAATAATAATATTCAGCTTTTGTATAGCGCTTAATACAATGTCTCTAAGCGCTTTACAGACATTCCAAACAAATAACAGGCAACTAAAAACTATGCAGCGTCACTGCCCATTTACATCAACATCACTTTCATGTGTGGAAAATAAAACAAAGCTACAATGGACATACTTGGTGATGATTCCATTTGTGTTTGTTGGATAGTCCCAAGTCAATTGGATCCATGTAGAGTCAGCCTGCATCACGACCGGAGCACTCAGCCCACTTGGTGCCATCTGAATCGTTGTCACGGTAACGGCATGACTGATTGTGCATCCTCCTGATGTACAAGCCTCCACAGAGTAGGAGTAAGTGGTGAATGGAAGGAGATCAGAATCTCTATAGCTGGTCAGTGTTGTCTGGCTTAGCTGAGGTATCAAGCAGAATGGGATAAATTTACGGATTAATTGGATAAACTCATAAGAGATTCACATGCTTTCTAGCAACAGTAGATAACTGTATTTGTGTAAGTCTCAATGATGCCATTTTCGCTTTCACCGTACCTGTACTATAATAGTTCCTTTTTTCTGAAGTTAACATCATGTATTTTACAATGTACCTTTTTTGTGTATTATATTATATGATGTAAAGCTTGCTCACATGACCATTCTTGACTGATTCTCTTTGCAGGTAATACAAAAGCCGTCTAAATAAATTTAACACAAATACTGAGGATCTCAGGTTGTTGAAATATGACCATATATCACACTTTCTTCACTTAAACCTGCTGATTGCATTCATCACTTACCACAGTGCTGTTCCTGTAGATGACATATCTCTGGATGGCTCCATTTGGCTGACTAGGTTCTTGAATCGTCAGGGTGAGACTTGTAGCTTCTAATTCAGACACCACAGGTGGCAAGAGACCCTAAAGCAGGAAGAAATTAGTAATAGAAATTGACAGCACATGTTACATTATTATGAAGTATTTGGTGTCATCTGTACCTGGGAAGGGAAAAGCTAATTTAATAACTGTGACCCTCTGGTCTCTCCTCCCATTATTACTGACTGGGAATGTACAGATGGACCATGAAACAGGGGTTTCCCCTACTCGTACAAATAGTGTAGTGGGTTCTTATCATGCAAAAGTTACATCATTTTATATATAATACCACTCTAAAGCAATGTTACACACTGTAATGCTGAATTGATGGCTGTACGTAATTCATAATTTGTTATATTTAGTAGATGACAGTAATGAATAACAACTCACCTGTGGTGGTGCTTCCAGCATCCTGACTGAGGCCCAGGGACTAGACGCTTCTCCTACAGAGTTAAAGGACACCACCAAGTACTCATAGGTCTCATCAGGGATCAGAGCAGAATCCATATCTACATACTCCCTCAGGGTGGTGTTGACCAACAAGGTTGGGTCAGACCTCCTGCCTGTCGTACGATCAACACTCCTACGGTAGAGCTCGTAGCCCAGGATGATGCCATTATCGTTGCTTGGTGCATTCCACACTGCCCGGATTCCACTTGCTATTCCAAGGTTGTCAGCCAAGGGTTCTAGAGATGGAGCTACTTGATCACTGGGAGTATGCTCAAAGGTTCTTGCTTCCACACTGTCACTCAGAGCACAACCTGAAGTGGTGCATGCTCCTACACGGATCTCGTACAAGGCGTAGAAGTCTAGGTTGCGGATGTCAAAGCTAAAGAGTCTTCCAGAGTAGACAATATTGTTGTCAACGTAGAGGGTGTAGTTTTGGATCTCACCATTGGGGAATGCTGGAGGCTGCCAGGTAGCACCGATGATTTGCGAAGAAAGTGGAGAGACAATTGGTGGACTCAGACCAGCTGGTGAGGATGAAGAAGTGGTAATAACTGCTGCATCACTAATAGCATGTCCCCTGCTATTGAAGGCTGTTATAACATACGAGTACTGCTGACCTGGAGTTAGTCCCAGTCCTCCATCTCCAAAGTCCTGGTACCTTTGGGCATCACCATCGTATACTAGTTTGCCATCTCGGCGTAACTCATAACGTGATATGATACCATTGGGTTCATTGGGTTCTGACCAGCTGGCTTCAAGTGCTGTTGCACTTAGAACTCTCAAGGATGGTGGATTCATTCCTGTAGGGGGTGCTTCAAATGGACGGGCCAAAGCTTCTGGACTGTCAGTACAGCCACCAGAGGTACAAGCCTCTAGGACAAAGGTGTACTCCTGGTGTGAGATCAAACCACTGATGGTAGTAGAAAGACCTAATCCACTGTATCGCACCTCATCATCAACCTTTAGGCGGTACTGCATGATCTCACCACTTGCAATAGAAGGTGTTGTCCAGTTGACCATGATCTGACTAGAGCTGATGGGGACTGGACTTGGCGGATCAACAAATGTGGGAGCTGTCTCTAAGGTTCTGATAGAGGTAGCTGAACTCATGGTGCAGCCACCCTGGGTGCATACTGTGATTGTGTAGACATACACAGTGAAAGCCTGAAGATTCATGTCTGTAAACTGGAATCCGTAGTCTGCCTCAAAACTGAATGGAGTGCTATTATTTCTCTGTAGTCTATAGCCAGTGATGATGCCATTACTTTCTGTGGGAGGAGTCCATCCAATAACAAGCGATCCTGGAGTGTTAGTGATGTGATTGACAGTGGGAGGGGCAACACCAACGGGAGCAGCCTGATCAGTATCTACCTGAACCCAGTCACTGTCTACTGATCCCTGAGAATTGATGGATTGAATGCGAAACTCATAGATTCGATACGGCTGTAAAGAGTTATCAATAAAGCTATAGTCTTCTGCATCTGTGTTGTACTCAGAATGAATAACTACTGTAACTGTGAAGGCACTTTCATCTGTGTTTCTCCTTTTCCTGTCTGGTGAAGCAGGTCTTGCTGATCGTCTAATAACATCATATTGAGTGATAGCGCCATTAGGATTAACAGGTGCCTTCCAGTTTAAGACCACTGCTGTAGAGTTCACAAAGCCAAGGGTAGGTGGAGCTTGATTGGCAGGGGCTACCTCAGCGGTCCTGACAGTCTGTGGATTACCCCTTCCACAACCAACATTAGTGCATGCTTCTAGAACAACCACATACTCAGTGTAAGGAGTCAACCTCCTGAAGAGAAACTCTCTTGTGAGACCAGTATAAATCGGTGCAATGAGATACTCATCCTCGTATATGAAGTAATTAGTTATGACACCATTAGGTTGTCCAGGCTCATCCCATCTCAATAACAGAGCTAAACCATTTGACTGTTGCTCTACTGTGAGCTGTCCAATGTCTCCTGGGACACCCTGAAGACTTGTTACAGATCCCCAAGGACCACTCGTCTCCCCTGCTCCATTGATAGCAACAATGCGAACCTGGTAGGATGTGAAGGGCAATAGGCCATAAAATGTGGTCTGCAGGACAGTGCCTTCCACTGTAGCTGCTGTTACAATATCAGGTGTGGCTGTTGGGTCATTTGGTCGTTCTTGATACTCAATGCGGTAGTAGGCAATGATCCCATTTGGAGAAGAGGGCGGTGTCCACGTGCCTTGCACCGCATATGGACTGACAGCTACAAGATTGGGTGCAGCAAGACCTACAGGAACAGATTCTTGAGTTCGTATGGATGCCCATGGACTGTCTGTTGATCCTTGTGAGTTTTCTACTCTCACTCTGTATTCATAGAGGTTGAATGCAGTCAGTCCCCCTCCTGCATTCACAAAACTTTGCTCTGTTGTAGTTAGAAACACAAGAAGTTCCTGCGTTGTTCCATACTGCCTGCGGTATACGTAGTACTGCTGGATGATACCATTTGGTCTGGCAGGGGGATCCCAGGAGACCTCTACTACACTTGGTCCTGTAGATACCAACGTTGGAGGACCCTGTTCCTCTGGTGCTGCTTCAAATGTTCTTGCATAAGCTCTTGGTCCGACTCCACATCCACTATCACCGCAAGCCTGAACTCTCATATCATACCGGGTGTAGGGTGTCAAGTTGTCAACTACAAGCATTGTTACAGAGGTGGCCACCAATCTCCTTTCATCCTGAGTCCCACTCAGGATAACGATATTATACTGTCTGATGATACCATTAGGAACAGTTGGCTGGGTCCATGTTGCTTCGATTGAACTAGCAGATAGTACTCTTAGAGTTGGTGGTGGTATGCCCTCTGGTGTAATAAATGGTGTCTGTGCAACGTGGACGGTGCTGTTTGATCCTCCTGCAACTGTCATAGCTGACACCAGATACTCATACCTGGTGTTGGGTGTTAAGCCAGTGTCAACATAGGTCAACACAGAATTGTTGCCACTGTAGACAAGTTCATCATCGCGATAGAGCATGTAAGAAGTGATGACACCATTAGGTTGAGAAGGCTCAAACCAATACAACTCCAGGATTGTGGAACTGACTACAACATGAGTTGGTTGCATAAGACCTACAAGACAAAGACGGGACAAGGAAAAGAAAACAATATGTCACAATTAAAACTTAAAAGGTGATATCATATCGGAAAAGCATAGGCAAGGAATATCTAGCATACATGAATTTATACATGCAAGATGAAAGCTTAAGCCACAAATCATTCTGATTGAAACATTGTTGAATTTTGTATTTACTGCTCTTTTGACTCATTATTGAAACATAACCACAAAAAAGTAAGAACAAATAAGATGGCTACCTCTTTACTTGCAGATTCACACAAAAGAATCAAGATATTAAAGTATAAACATCAACAAATTGATTGGAAATCATTAAACATACAATAATTTATTTTCTTTAATGGACAAAAAAGATTGATAGTACCGAAATTTAAAGGGGGAAGTAATCCCTGATATCATCATCGTTGATGGTAACGTTGGATGGTAGCAATGGTATATGGTTCAGAAACTTAGAATGTAAAGACAATAGCAGAAAGTATCTTGAGGAGAACAGAAAGAGTCATGGTACGGAATATGTGTGGTGTGAAACTGTCCAATAAAAAGAACACAAGTGAGCTCATGGAAAGGTTAATTGGGTCTTCAAAAAGCTGTGGTGGAAGTGGTAAAGAGAAGTAGATTGAGAAAGATGGGTCATGTGTTGAGAAGGGAAGATGCTGAACCTGTGAAGGGAGTGGTGGGATCTGGAAGCGGATGACATAGGAGAGAAAGAAAGACTGAAGATTTCATGAAAAGATATGGTGAAGAAAGAATTAAAGCAGTAAGGCTGGTCTAAATGAAAAGGATGCTTGAGACAAGAAAAGCGGAGGGAGGGAGTGTCATCATGGCGCGAAAGTCAGTAACCCTCATTAGAGGGAAAATGCTGATTTTAATGAATGATGATGATGATAATGATGATGATGATGATGATGATGATGTTGATGATGATGTTAATGATGATGATGTTGATGATGATGATGTTGATGATGATGTTGATGATAATGATGATGATGATGATGATGATGATGATGATGATGAACATGTTGATGATGATGTTGATAATAAAATGGAGGTAGAACAGCAAAATGAACAGGTCAGAAAGAAAGTAAGAAGGTATATAAAATGACTCACCTTCAGGTGCAGCTTGCATGGTTATTATTGATACAGGATTACTCTGTGAACATCCTGCTGACGTACACGCTTGTAGTCTATACTCATACACAGTAAAAGGCTCCAGGTCTGTGAATGAGATGAGAGAAATTATAAATAATAATGTTACACCTAGTTTCTTTTCAGAAATCTTCTAATCTGAGAGACGATAACAAATAGATATTCATGAATGTGAAATACATTACCACTTTTCTTTGTAGAATATAAGAATACAAAAAAATTACTACCACCATGCTTTTTATTCCACTTGTTATATTCACACAAATACTATTAGTATCAAATACCATTAAATCAAGAATCTAAAGAAATGATGGCTACTTCCCCCAAAAAATTGAAAATGCATTCATAAATTGTGTGTAGATGTTATGGGCTTTTCAAAGAAAGAACATTATTGTCATTATGAGTACCCACCTGTGTGAGTAAACTGGAAACCTTCTGGTCCACCTCTGTAGATGGATTCGGCCACGCCCGTTTGGAGGATGCTGTACTCTTGGATGACTCCATTAGGAAGACCAGGTTCCTGCCATGTGATTAGGATGCTCTCAGAAGTGAGTGCTGCTAGGGCGGGGTCAAACAGGTTCTCAGGGGCTGCCTGAAGGGTAGCTGCTACCACCTGGGGTGTGGTGACAAAACAAACAAACAAATTAGTCAACAATTGGATATAGGATTTATAGGATTTGCATTTGAAATGTAGGGAGAGTTGTTAGGAATGCTCTTCAAGACCCATTTCTCAAGCTGATGATTTTATGTATCAATGCAATGATCTTGCTCAGTAAGCTGCTAACATCCCTGTTCCTTCTGTTAAGTTTGGCGGAAATCCATCAATCAGTTCTTGAGGTAATGCGATCACGAGAGCGGTACGGACGGACGGAAAACCAGAAAACATAATGCCTCTGGCTACTTTGTAGCAGAGGCATAAAAGCATAAGCAGATGCAGAGGGGGTAGTTAGAAATCAAAAATGATTCGTCGTCGACTAACCCCTATAACAAATGAAAATTTACACAACACAAAAGAATTCCATATAATTACTTTTAAATGTAATAATTGCTACCGGGTAATTCATACTTGAAATAGAATTGAAAAATATAAAAAATCCTTGTGATCAAGTAAAGCTAAATTCTTGCTGTTTGTTGACTTACTGGTTGGCTAGCAGCACATCCCACTCTAGTACATGCACTTAAGATGTAAGAGTAATGCTGGTAAGGTTGGATGCCTGTGTTATCGCTGTGTGATGTATCAGCTCCACGGTAAATCTCAATTCCATCTCTTCTCAAAATGTAGGTAACAATGATACCTAAACAAAAACAGAAAGAAATAAATCAAAATTGTCAGAACATAGACAATTGATTCAAGTTACAACACTAAAGTTCAAAGGATCATAATGTGGGCTTGTTCAGATGTGACTGCGTAAAAGCTGCCACATTTTTTTAATGCGTAAATGAATGGCAACTGTCATAAGATACAGAAGTGTGAAGCATATTACATTTTATGTCATAAAAAAAAGAAAAAACGTTGTAGTTTTGCGGCGTCGTATCTGAACAAGGCTTAAGGGACACATTCATTCTACATGAACATGTAGGTAAATTTATTGTAGTATACTCCATAACTCCAGGAAATGTGAAGGGTCAAGATCATGAATGCAGGAGTAAGCTTATCGCAAACAATGAGAACATATTACAGTCATGTGACTAAATGGAAATACATTACAAATACGCAGTAATAGGGGATGCAAGTTGTTTTGGCCAATGAACCTGACATGAGACTCAGACTTGTTAGAGATCCAAAATTGAAGTACAATAAAGAGCCTGAATGAGGAACTATCAGTTCCTGAAATCAGGATATGGGCTGAAAACTGGCAACCTTGAGTAACATTTCACAACCGAAAAATATTACTGCTTATAAGTATTGGCTTGCATGGTGATGTAGATATACATTAGGCTTGTGGTTGCACCATGTGAGAGAAGGGGGGACGATTGGGAGTCCTGAAAAAAGTTGTCGATAATCTTTCTTTCTTGAGTATGTGTAGTCCTGAAAAGGACTGTTGGTAGTCTTGAAAAAGCCTGTTGGTAATCTTTCGTAGCTTATAGTTCTAAGGAGAACTATAGCGCTTGGAGAGGATGGGTGGTGGGAGTGCCTCAACGTTTCGAACAGGTTGACTATCCGTCGTCAGGAGCGATTTCCGACAGTCCTTTTCAGGACTCCCCTATCCTCCCCCTCTCTCACATGGTGCAACCGCAAGAAAAACATTGGTAGTACAGTTCTTGTAAGCTCTGTGGTCCATGTATGTGAATGACTTACCATTGGGTTGTTGAGGTGGATCCCATGCTAGTTGGATAGTATCCAGGACACCCATCTCTACAGACCATTCTGGGGCCTGCACCTGTGCAGGAATGTCCTCATCAGTGGTAGCATTAGATAGACCACTATTAGAGCTTCCTGCTGCATTGATAGCAGAGATCAGGTACTCATACCTTGTGTACGGGGATAGACCTGGATCTGAAACAGACAAGAGTCAATGGAGAAAGACTGTCAATGCATGGTGTGCTAAACAAAATACAGGCAAGATTACAACGCAGTTGACAAATCTTATTAGAGATCATGGTTAATTGACTCTGGTCTCAAAATATCTAACTCAATTTAGAAGCTTTTCTTGAGTTTCAGTACTGAATAAAACAGAATATAAAAATATACATATGATGTTCAGAAGAAAGAAATGGCGGCTGCTGGACAAGCTTAATATGGAATTGAATGTAGCTGAATTATGGGTAAAGGTAAGAACATTGGGTCTGTTGTGGCAACAATACCTTGGTCATGTTCATCTGTGTTGTGTTTTATGCTTTTCAGACCTGGCATATGTTACAAATCATTGATTTTTTTAAAAGGACTTCCTTACAGTACATCAATTCAAACTGGTTTTAAAAATGTCTCTTCAAATGATAATTTTACTAACACAACTCAAAGAAAATGATAATGATAATAACACTGTTTCTAAGCGCTGAACAGATCTTATTACCCTGGTCATCGGATTCACTCATGCACAATGTGCACCATCTCCACTCCCTGGGGAGTATTCCTACCATAAGGTCACTGTGAAGACATAGGCAATTACTAACACCAATGCTTTCATCATCCTACCAGGTCCCCATTTCTCTCCTGGGTATGGAGTGACAAATGTAGAATAATGCCTTGCCAAAGGACACAACTGTCATATCGGAAATCTAACCCACAACCTTTTCATGTTAAGTCAAGTGCTTAAACCACTCAACTACTCAAATTTGTTCATAACAGTGTTATCAATACCAGGGGATAACTTACCAAGATAAGAGTAGATGTTTGGTCCTGAGGTATAGATGGAGATGAGAGCAGAAGGACAAAGACCATTAGACCCACTAGGAGTACCAGGACCACTAGGTGATGAAGTGATGTAGGAGGCATCTACTGAGTAGCATGTATCAATATTAGCATCAAAGTCACATCTGTAGGGGTACAAAGATAACAGGATTGGGTGCTGGCAGGTCAGGTCACTTTTTAACAAAATTTGTTCTTATAGGTATCGTTATTGAAAGGTATTGATTATAATGATAACTACATTTATACTACATATTTATACACCCCAGAGGATGCTCAAGGCACATATTAAGGTACTGTTGGAATACTGTCAAATGTGAAAATAGAATGAAATAATAACAACAAAAAGTTTCATGAAGAAAATTCTTGCAGGATTTATGTATAAACACAGGATAATACAAGATAATTTTCAGGAGAAATGATCAAAGAAATGAAATATTGAATAACACCATCTACTGACTGTATGAAGATGAATCGTATATGAGCTCAGAAATAGTTTTGATCTTAATTCAGACTGATGCTACTGGTGTAATCAATCAAGTTAGTTTTGATCTTAATTCAGACTGATGCTACTGGTGTATTCAATCAAGTTAGTTTTGATCTTAATTCAGACTGATGCTACTGGTGTAATCAATCAAGTTAGTTTTGATCTTAATTCAGACTGATGCTACTGGTGTAATCAATCAAGTTAGTTTTCACACAGGTCAAGTATACCTATTGATTTAGTTTTCTCTTCCATTCATATACAGTCCATGCTGTAGATCTCTAAAACTGGGTATAGAGCTCAAATTTGTTTTCTATCTTTTTGCCAACGTCTGAAGAAAAATGACCTGTTTTGGGAAGTTTTCAGTTGCTATGCTACAAGGTTTTTAGACCAATGTCATAGCTTGCGCTGTTGCTGATGCAGTAGAACAACATTGCAAGCTACAACATTGTAAAGAAAGAACTAATTTCACCAATCAGATGAAAATTTGCAGTGATCATACCTGTCACAGTACGAAGACACGGCCTGACTGATTGGACACACCGTCCCTATCCCACAATGCCCCTGAGCCGTAGAGCTCCGATCAGCGCACACCCTTGAGCCAGGGTTATAACCGACCTCATTGCAACACGCCTGCGATGGAGAGATCCTCTGAGACCCACAGCATTGGTCGTTGGATTGCTGTTTAGCATCAGGTGTGTCATAGGTATAGGTCTGTCAAAGATACAGAGGTAATAGATAGTCCAATCAAAGTCTTGAGAAATTTACAATGGAACATGCTGAATACAAGTAGAGCAATTAGAATATATTGTACTTATACTGAAGTTCAATATGCATTTTTTCTTTTTCATGATATCGGTATCTCAAGTGGCAGAACAAGGATTTTTTTATTAATAATATTTATTTACTTGAAATTTACAAAGAAATGATAAAAAACCTCATTGTGCTTATAATTTCAAGATCATATTTAAATGAAATTTTCAGCAAATAATTGATTTAATTTCAAATCAGTATAATACAGTATTTTTGAGATATCTATCACTAGATCTTGGTAATAATGCCATTTTTACTTAGGCAATTTCTGACCCATTATCTGATATGTAAAACCTTTATTAGCTTAATTGACTCTACAAACTTGGGTCACAATTAAAATCAGATTTGAATATATATAACATTTCAAAATGGTTATACACTTGTGTTACATTGATGAAACCCAAAACAGTGTGACCATCAATCTCGTGCATGCAGTTTTATTTTAATAATAATAAAGGATGCTACAAAAAGCTGTGATTAGATAGGGCTTTCAGATGTCCCTCCTCGGACTTACCTCAGCTATACCATTCTCACTGGTGCAACACAATGATGTTACCATATTGACATACTCCGTGCCGCAGCAAACATTGCCTTCTACCGGTAGATAAGCTACGCCCATGTCCCCCTCGGAGCAGCATGTCTGGGAGGCAGCCACCATGACTCCACCGCAACACTGACCACTCATACCATCAGCAAACTGACCTGTACAACAATGACAACAAATGACAAATGGTCAACATCGAAGTACACACTGTAACATACACTGAATTGAAGTATCCACATTATCAAGTATAGCTTAAAAGAAGATGTAATTCAAATATACATGTATGTGTAGTCATTTAGATGCAAGTCCAGTCTTCAGTTACCTTTTTTTCTTTTATGACTACTTTTTGCCTACAATTCACAATGTTATTTTGACAAGAAGACAGTGAATTATTTTGTACTTCTTTATGCCACCAGATCTCCCGAGGCAGGTGCTATACAAAAAAAGAGGAAGCTCAATTTTTCAAAACACCTCTTCAACCAAACATGACTAGATATATATATTTTTTAAATTAAAAAAATTATTCACTTTCATGTGAGTCCACATTTGTGATGATAGAGCCTAGGATCATTGAACTAATACATTTTCAGCAATGTAAAAAATGTTTTGTGCATGAGAATTCAATGAACCTCACTCTGCTTTCATTTTGATCCCATTGACAGAGTGCAAGCTACTTTTGACATCACTCATGTAAAACCTCTCAAATTCATTCATGCACGACCAGATCATAGCATATCTAAATAGGATGAATTGAACTTGGACATAAATAATACTAATTTATCAAGACATGATCATTTTTCTAGGAACTTATGGGAAATGTGGGTTTCCTACACACTGTAGCTAGAGACAGTACTCCTGCAACACAATGGATGGCAAGAAATGAAAACAAAGCTGATATACAAACAATTTAGATTATTCAATTATCCAAACAATTTTGTCTATTTAATATTAAGTGCTTGTGTGATGCAACGCAAGAACAAATGCATCAATGAAACTCTCATGAATGTAGATCATCAAAATGATAAGAAATTTGGCCCAGTTTTGGTAAAGTTACAAGCACTGAACATAGAAAGATATGGGACCCAATTTATATGCTGTTACATGCCATTTAAAAAATATTAAGGCATTTGAAGAGCCATGCTTTTCAGGAACACTTTTTATCTGATATTCTTCCACACATGCATAATAACAATGATGATGCTCACAAAATATTTTTCACCTCTTCCCAGAACTCGACCTTCTCTTTAATGTGAATATTTTGACTTATAATACAAATAAAAATTTAATATCTAGAAGTATATTTAGTAAAACATGAATATCAACAGGCATATATATTGAAGTAAAGATGGAATGTGCATAGTATAACTAAATACTACAAAGTAAAGAAATAAACAAAATAAACTGCATTGATAACACATGAAACAATACTCGGTATATATCAACAAGTGTGCATACATTAACACATACAGTCAAACCTGCTTTAGTAACCACCTGTCTACAAAATACCACATTGTTTGTATCCCTTGAAAATGGTTTCTCATTGAAACATGTACTAAAGAAACCTGTCTACAAAGACCACTTCTTGTGTTTCCCTTGGGCGGTTGCTATAGACAGGTTTGACTGTATTACTTAGAGCAAACACAGAATTACAAGAAAATACATTTATGTGTACTGTCAAATTACATGAACATATTAATGTTGCAAGTGGATAATAAAAAGAGAAAAGAGTGAAAAGAGTGAAGGCAAATAAATATACAGAAAGTTGACATATATTGAGAAAATGGTAAGGTTATGTTCCTTTGTTTGATTACATTTGGGGAAGTTTTAAGATATTGAATAACACTAGATATCTGAGTGATTTGTATTGTTATGACTTAAGATGCATTTTCAGCAACCAACAGTTGTGTTTTGAGAGAATGTAGCTTTTGACATTGTATTTGTATGATTCCAATGGGCACAAACACATATCTAACCTTCTCTATGAAGAAAAAATAGTTTCAAATTTATTATGACTGGCAATATTGCTTTAATAGATAATAAATTGCAAATTATAATGTAAGACAAATTCACTGACACAAATTCTTGCGCTTATTCAAATAAACATTATTCAACAAAGACAATGCTTTAAAAATATTTGATTACCTTGCACTATGTTTCCTAGAAGGTAAGAATTAGTATGAGATAGAAGACACAATGTCAAAGAGTTCAGTAATACTGTTAGAACAACCCACATGATAGTGAAACATTCAAAATGTCCATGTTTAGGAGAAGAGAATTTGTTTAGTGATGATATAAAGATCAATGTTGATGTTTTATTTTACCCTCATACGGATGAAACATATTACTGCAGCAAAGACCTTGGCTCCTGTCATAAAACTCTCCTGAAAATAGATTGTGGGCGTGTTCATTATCATCTTATATCATCTAAATCATTGCTTAATATTATGTGAGACATACAAGTAGGCATACATCATATCTTTCAGAGGTAAAATATATGTGGCTTAGACAAACCATCAAGAATTTTTACTTAAGGCATGTTCACAAATATCGCAGTGTTGTTTATTTTTGTACTGAAAGAATAGTAAGGGGAATCAAAGAAGTAACTGTACGCAACAATGTTCCTACGTTTAATCACTTATCTGTGTGTTATAAGATTAAACAATGTGCAGAGCAGGGGGTGTTTCACAAAGACTAAGATCAACTTTAAGTTGGACTTAACTATGGCAGGCCATTCACGCCATTGGTTTCTCTCACCATTGGTCTCTCAATTATGATCTTTAGATAATATTTTTTCCTTAAAAAATCAAAAAAGGTGAATTCTGTAGGTTTGTGACCACTATTTGTATGTCCCTTGAGAAACCAATGCCAGGAATGGTTAGAGGAACTAGTGGCATGAACGGCCTGCCATAGTTTAGTCCAACTTTATGTCGATCTTAGTCTTTGTGAAACACCCCCCTGGATGCTTAAAAACAACAAACAACAGTAACCCGTTGTGGTTGACCAAAGCATATGTGAGAACAAGCCCTAACAAGGGCGTTTCTCAAAGGTCAATGGACACTTCTTAATTTTTTCCAATTCTCTTTCTTCAACATTATTCATTTGGGGGGATATTTTCAATGAATTCTCTTCAATAATTATAATTTTTTCTCTTGCAGATGACTAAAAATGCATGTATAAATTACGAATATTTGATTTGCATAAACACCATGATAGCAAGCAACCATGCTAAGAAGCCTAGATAGATGATCCTCTTACCTGCACAACAGATCTGTGGTCCACTTGAATCATAAGGCACACCAGCACAGCATGCATCCCCTGATCCTACTGCTACTCTATTCTCATCAGGATCTGGACAACAGATCTGACCAGGGAACACCTGGACATACTGACCATTACAACACTCATGGTCAATCTGCTCGGTGTGGAATTGACCACCACAGCAGACGTACGGTGTGGAGGCATTGACCGGTGCTGGTAGGTAGTTGGTGTCACAGCACTGGTAACCTGACTGAGGCTCATGCAGTATGCCATCACAACATGCCTGTGAAGAAAGAAATCATTATTATCCATTCTATAAATTTGAAATAAAACTCCTTTAAAAGCATCCTTTAAAACTTGATACATGTTTCAGAGAGAGTTTTTCCTTGTCCAGCATTCAACACTTAACAGGGTTTACAACTATATATAGCATGTTGATATAACATATTCTATCAGATTAAAGAATGAATAGAGTTTTATTCCCTACATAATATGACTTGTACATGAACACAATAAAGTCTCGTAAAGATATGATGTGGTAAACCATGACCATTAAAAGAAAAATTATAGTGATGTTCGTTCTTCTGTATTTCTTAACTTTGTTGTTGTGCGCAGATGCCATTCATTTACAAGTCATTTTAAAATCCTATGCGATTAACGATTTATATCTGAACGAGTCTTAAGAGTTGTAATGTGCACTGACCTGTAAACCAGAATAGCACTGGTTACCACAGACGCTCTCTGAACGTAGACATTCCACATAGCCACAGCTTGACTCACTGCCATCTGAAGGAGTGCTAGGTCTACAATGAAAGAGATCATAACAATATTACTATTAGAAACCAAAATAGAAGGAAACATTTTATTTATATTACACATGAGAAAGAATGGGACATGCTCATTAATGATATCTTAACTTAGAAGGGTTGTGAAATAAACAAAAGCTCATTTATTTCAAAATTAGTTTCCTTCAAATGAATTTTTACACCTGAATGTATGTTCTCATGGAAGAATGGTATAAGCACAATATTTCATCTTGACATATCAAAACAAAAACTGAAGGATAGTATTCAAGACAATGAGTAGAAAGGCTGCACTTCTGAAATGACTTACTTTGCCCTAATTTAGAATTAGCTGCAACCGAGTTCGATTTCCTTTCTAGATTTCTTACCTGTCTGAGCATGGCTGATACTCCCTTCGTTGTATCTCATATCCTAAGATGATTCCATTTGGTGAAGCGGGGGAGGCCCAAGATACCTCCAGAGCTCTAGGACCTAGAACAAGGAGGTTAGGAGCAGTGACCCCTGATGGAGGGATCTCAAGGGTCGTTACCACGGTAGCATTACTCAACAGACAATCATATTCTGTGCATACCTCAACCTGAAAATACAGAAGGAAATGTGAATGGGTTTTAGAAAATCATCCTAATGCTACTAGTAATGATATAATTCTACACATTTTTAAGCAATTATCTTCTTATAGCATTATTTTCACTTTGCATATTATATTGCACTACTTGTGAAGAGTGGGGGGGGGGGGGGGGCGGGGAGGTGTTGTAGTATATCTTAATTACCTTATCAAGAGAAGAGACACATGGGTCATACCTTTCACACATTTCATAGGAATGTCCACAAACTTAGACTTACAATCGTTTTGAGAAAATAGCCCCAATTGTCTATCAAATCTTAGATTTAAACCAATTTCGTTCAAATACCAGATTCTACTGACAAAGCCAAATCAGCTTTCCATTTATCTACAACATAATTGTATCTACATGTATAATACAGCTAGTTTACTTGATCTACCTGTATGGAGTAGATAGTATAAGGCTGTAGACCAGCCATGATGTAGAGTAGCTGGTTGCTCTCAACGCTTCCATGACGCTCACCATCCAGGTAGATCACATACTGTGTGATGTCACCATTTGGCTGAGTCGGAGGCAGCCACATTACATTGACTGCTGATGGACTTAGTACACTGATCAAAGGAGCAGCGAAACCTTCCGGAGCTACAAGACAAGTCATTAGAGTTAGCATCAATCAGTAGAATAGAAGAAACATGTTTAGGTGGAGCATTCTGAGATGTGTTAGGGATTCATTCACTTCTAGAAGTTTTTTTAATAAGACAATAAACTACAGTGTATAGGAGATTAACACACACCCACAAGGCCATTTCAATTTTTAAAATTTAGAGAACTTAAAGTTATGGTGTACTCTCTACTTAACCATTATTGGTGAAAATAAATACAACATTTAATAAATGCCATAGTTGAATTAACATAGTTGGTAGACATTTTTGATTATAGCTTCCACTATTCAATTAAATGAAACTCTACATCATAGTCTTCTTCTCTTCATATAACTATTTGGTTATTCTTTATCAGTCAACATAGAAAGGTATATTATTATTCATGATAATAATCTAATGTTCTAATGTGACACTATTTCAAAGAATCACACACAAACAAACTAAGAAAGAAATAAAAAGAAGAAAAGTAAATACCAACCTCCATCTAGTGTTAGGGTAACAGCAGGAAGACTGGTGATGTTGAACGCTCCGTTATAGATGACCTGTCGGAACTCATACTCCGTGTTTGGCATCAGAGAGGTCAAGAGATCACTGGACACGCCGGGGTCATAGGTCATTCATATTGTCTAGAAGGAGAGCTCACTAAGATGAAGTAGTTAACAACATCGCCCTGAAGCTGTAGCAAAGCTAAAATCAAAGCAAGTAGACAGAAAATAGTGAAAAGATTTTTAACAATTTCAAGTAAACAGTGATTCAGGAATAAATGGGTTTTAGAAAGTCAAATCAATATATTGAAAGAGAAGCAGAAAAACAAGCACATGTAGAATATAGAATCAATAAGGCCACGTTTTTGTAAATGAATATGATATACTAGGCTGTGCACTTCTTGATGAATATATTAATGAATCTCCATACTAACACAAGTGTAATCCAATATGCTTATTGTACACTTCTCATTCAACATTGTGATTTAAATCACCCACTAAAATGTCCACTTCACTGGAAGAAAGGCCACAGTGACAATGAAAACTTACAAGGAGTTGTCCAGTTAAGCAAGACTGAGATATGATCCATAGCCACAGCGCTGATTGTTCCAGCTACAGTGGGTTGACCAGCCAGGGTCGTGACCTCATCAGAAGGGTCAGAGGTTGCTGACCCTATGTCATTGTAGACTGTGATTCGGTAGATATATGTGGTGAATGTAGACAAACCAAAGTCCTGGAATGTTGTATCCTCTCCATTGTAGATGAACTGCCAGAAGTTGAGTCCCTGAACTGGACCTATTGTAACAAAATGAAAGGAAAGAACTCTTAGATCAATGGGTGACCTTAGCAAAATTAGGCCTCGTTCAGACATGACTCGGCAAAAACTGCTGACACAAAGTGTAACACGCGTCATATTTCTGCATCTTATATTAAACACAAAGCCCTGTGAATACACTCAGGGCTTTTGTTGCACACATTTGCCATTCATGTACATGTTTAAAAAACGCTGCAATTTGTTTTTGGTGGTTGTTTCCGCCTCATATCCGAACGAGCCTTTATTCACTTGATTCTGGATAGGGATATTGTGGGACACACTGGTTTTAATATGTAAAACTTCTGTGGTTCAGTAAACAAGGTTGAATTTCAGTGTGTCTATCAATACTTCTACGGGCTAGTGATGCAGATGTGACCATTGGTTCCACCACCAATGACCAGGAGAGAACTTTTTACAACACTGAACTGGCATTTGGTCTTAGGTATCATCACTCTGTAAGGAATTCATTCATATTAAGAACTTTCTCATTCCATACTGGCAAAACAAAATAGAAGATAAAAGTAAATAGAATATCTTGTCCTACCGATAAGCAGTATTTCACTGGATTAAAAACAAACACAGTTGTCTTTAACTATGCTCCGTAACACATGTACAACTAGAACATACCTGTACTAAGAGGTTCTCTGAGTTTCTGTCTGTGAAGCTCATAACGAATGTTAGGACCGTTTGGTCTAACAGGAGGAGACCAGATGACAGAAATGTACGTCTGGGTGATAGCATCACCTCGGGGAGGGGACTGTCCAAACGGTAGGGTGGGGTCGGTTGTCACTAGGGTGGGGTTACTTTGTGTGCAGCCACCGGCAGTACAAGCCTCAATGGTCACTGTGAAAAGAGATAAGTAAGAATGCATCATAAAGTGATTAATTATGTGAGAAAAGTATTTGTCATATTCAAGAAATTGTAATGATATTGTTTTTTTTATATCTTATCCTGTATCACACAACAAAATAGTAAGGGATTTTAAAGATACATGTACTGAAAATTCTGACAATGCTTTATTAGTATCCACACTACGACTGTCTTGAAGATTGCCAACTGGACAATTACACATTTAGGAAAATTGAAAACTACTGTACCCTCCATAGACAATTTCCCCACCTGGCAAATTACATGTATCCCAAGAAAAGATTATTCACAAAGAACATCTGCATGGTTCAATGACAAATAACAAAAATCAGTGACAAATCTGCTGATAACCAATCAGAAGCAAGGATTTCAGTAGCTTGTAACACAAATTGTCTTGTTTTGTGAAACGCCCCCCCCCCCCCCCCCCCCCCCCCCCCCCCCCCCGGTCATCCTGTAGCTTCCTGGAACCCAGAAGGTCTGATATTGTAGGCAAATGGTGCTCTGACATACATTCCTGGAACAACTGCATAGTGCTTTATCTCATCGAAGATACAGGAGGCAATCAGGCTACAGCCATGGTTGGGGCTAGGGTTGGGATTAAATGCTGTGTTTGGTCTTGTGTTGGAGAGCAAATTTCAGTTAGTGTACAATATCAAGCTCAGATCGATGGTCATGTGAGCATGTGTGAAACAAATAGCACTCACCTGAGTAGTCAGTGTAAGGTACCAGGTTGTAGACGATGTAGGAGGTGAGGTTGGTTTGGTCTAAGTAGATTCTAGGATCAGGCATTCTGATGGTATAGCTTAAGATCTCTCCATTACTCAGAGCTGGTTCTTCCCATGAGACCATCACAGAGTCAGGACCAAGGACAGTCACAGACGGTTCACGTACACCACCAGGAGCTACACAAATCAAGACATTATTGGTATGATACGATATGATACTTCAAGAGGACTACTCATCATGGGTGAAGGATAGAGTAAAAATACTTTAAATGGCAAACTAGATTTGAATATGAAATTCATCTACCCATATACAAATATAAGATATATGATAATAATAATAATATTTATACTCAGTTTTTATATAGCACTTCCAAACTTGGAGATTATTACCCCGGCTTTAGCTATGCTGCCATTACGGCGCTCTAGCATTTCAAAGAAATTATTACTGCCAGGTACCCATATCTATTAGACCTTCAAGAGTTTAGTAGAATTGTTTTCTCTCTTGTTCTAATAATTGATACATCTGCATCTGCAATGTCATTCATTCTTGCACTCAGAAACATCACTGTCAGCTGACACATGATTATGCATCATAATTACCAACATTCTTTTTCTTATAATGATCTTTCTATTTAGTTATCTTCTCACAGCTTGGAGGTTGTTTACAACATTTGTCCATACATCTCTGTACTCTGCAATTCTGGTAAACTCTTACAGAGCCATTCATCTTCATGTCTTCATCTTACCTCTCATCGGTTCTTGGTTACCCTCTTGGTCTGGTACCTCCAACAAATCTTTCAAATCTTTCTTATGATGATCATTTCCTTAAAAAGACTTTGCTGGGACATTAACTACATTAACTTCTGGAGGCAAGAAGTAAATCAACTTTTAACAATAAATGTTTTTCTGCCGATAGACTTACGAGCTTCCTTTGTGATGATACTAGCCCACTGACTAGTGGAACTGCTCGCAGCATTGGTCACCTTGACCCTGTATTCATACGCTGTGTATGGTGTGATAGCTGCAGACAGGTCCAAGTATGCTCTAGGAGCGCCAGCAGCTACAGAGACCACAGAGAAGATAGCAGTGAAACCCTGGTGGCGTCGCTCAATCTCGTACCCTGTCAGGACACCGTTGGGCATGGATGGGGGTGACCATGAGAGCTGGACTGAGGTGGGAGTAGGGGAAGAGAGCACTGGGGGTGATTGACCACTGGGTGCTGAAAGAGAAAATAACCATGTGTAAATCATGAAGTTAAAAATCAAACTAAATTGGATTTCATCGATCGCTTCATATGTTGAAAGCCAGATAAACATTAACTCTGTGTTAAAGGGAGTGTAGCCTGACGAGACTACAGGTCTTTCCCGTGGCCGGACTCGAGGCCCAATCGGGTATAATACGACTACGGACGACGCGACCGCAGCAATCACGTGCGTGCGACATACACGAAATCAAAGAATGAGGAGAACTTCCGTCTGCTTAGTGAACACTGACCATGTAGAAATTAAGTCGCTGACTACTGTTAATCAAGTCCAATCGTTTACGTGCAGTTGTCCAAAAGAAGACGTAGATGGCGTTAACCAGTAATTGCCAAGCTACACTCCATTTAATGCTCTTCTGGCTCTTAGCAGACACCTTTACAACAACACTGCAGGAAAAAGGCGAATGCCAACCTTATACCTCCTTTTAAAGAAGCACATCAACTGAGCATAATTTCTACACAACCCTATATCTGTTGAAAGCCAGAAGGGCATTAACTCTGTGTTATAGTATGTGAGTTAATGCCTTTCTGGCTCGTAGCAGATGATTTGTCCACATGCAAACATTAATGTCAGCAATTTGTCTTGCCATTGAAATGTTATACATTAAAACAAACAACTACCTTGCTTCCTGTTATGATAATGTTCCTAAATATAGAGAAGAATAGTGTTAATATGTTGGTGCTTACCAGCTTGTGGAGTAGTGTATGTGATAGAGTCAGGGCTTCTAGTACATCCAACAGTGTTACACATCTCCACACTGAACATATAGTCACTGAATGGTGTCAGGTCATCTATGAGCAGCTGTGTAGCATTACCAGCAAGCTGAATCAAGGAGAATGAAAACAAAGTGTTAAACATATGTATATCACTAACAACTGTATGCATAACACTAAACACAAGATCACTGAATGATTTCATACAAAAAACTGTAGAGCATTACAAAGGCAGCTAAAAAGAAGAGTATAACAATAGGCTGTGTTTAAACATATATTAACACCATCTAATGGTCACTCAACATTGTCAAATCATTTTTGAAGTATTAACCTGAAGATAGGATACAGAATGTTAGAAATATATTTCATTTCTTTCAAGTGCTTCTTCTTCAAGCTGACAAATGACATAAGTTTTAAATGTACTTGATATTCCTAAATTTAAGACAGCATGTGAACAATAGCAGCATATTATATCACAAGAGAAATACAATGAATACATGACTGTGGTATGTAAATCCATCATTTCATTCATTAAATGTGGTATAACTCTGAATTCTGGTAACTTACTGTGGTTTTCAGCACATTATTCTGATAGAGTTTGATAGATGTGATAATGCCATTAGGTGTATCAGGAAACTCCCATGTAACAATGGTTGAATAAGGCCTCACATCAGTTGCCATAGGTGGGTCTATGGATCCAGGTACTAAACAGAAAGAAAATAAAATTGAATTGGTTGGATGATAACTTCATATCCATTTTGATTTCATTCATCTTACACAGTTTGGCAGTTGTTCTAAAGCCTTCATCTATTTGCATAAGTTATTATGTAAAAAAAATGAAGTAGTAATAATCTTTTATTTAGCAAGAAGAACAAAAAAGAGATAAGTGATAGACTTCTATTTTTTTTTTAATTGAAGATAATTATTCTTGTCTATTTGTGATTACCAAATGAATGTGGAAAGAACACAATCATCAGAAGCAAATTACTCCTTTTTCGTCTAACACGTTCCCATAGTTTTTCAAACATGGTAATATTCATTTCTACTTAAATGCAATGTAACCAAATTTAATCCCATTAAAATATTAATAACAACCTAAAACTGAATTAAAACTCTTCAAAAAACCTCTAAAAGGTAGATGAAGGATAATGAATCACACATCAAATTCATGTAAAACATTATTGCATGATTTTTAATCCTTTAGACCAAATTTTTAAATGACTTGATTTACCGTCTTCCCTGGTGAATACTGAAGCCCATTCACTGAGTGTTTGACCAGCATTGTTAATAGCAATCACTCTGAACTCATACTCATTGAATGCTTGCAGACCAGTCAGGGTATAACTTGTCACTCGTACTGAGTTGCTAAACACACTGCAAAACAAAAATTCATAAACTTCACAATTAGTAACACATCAATGTATGGTAAACAACTAAATTCTGAAATGTGTTAAAACTGTAATTTCACCTTCTTCATATTAAGTAGCACAAAAAAGTCAAGATTATTTTGAAAATGATCAACTTTCTCATTATAGATGAATACTCATTAATCATCTTAGAACTTTTCAGTCTTAGTTATCAATGAAATAAAATTCATGTATCTGGTATTGCCTTTCAACAAAATAAATTATTTAAGAAATGCTCATGAAATAGGATGAATGGTGGCTCAAACAAATTTTTTGATTAACTCTTCTCATAGATTATAGCTGTAGTTGTAGACTGTTACCAATCTATATGGCATGTGGTTCCTAATGCTATGGTCACAAAGGTTTGTATGAACGATAATTTTGTAATCTCCCTGTTTTTCCATTGTCTTCCCAAATTTCCATTGTCTGAAAATCATTTGTACGGCGTTCGTAGCAGTTCGTAATGGCATTTGTGACCTAGGACTAAACTCACTCAATCTGGTTTCCCGGTTGATTGGCAGGTCTATATCTAAGTTGGAATGATGGATCTCCAGGGGCATTGTTTCTAGCGGGCTCTGTCCATGTAGCTTGGATGGACGTAGGACCAGTAGAAGTCAATGTAGGAGGCAATACACCATCAGGATCTGGCACAAAACAGGAAAGAATTGAGCAGCAACCAGTAGCATTAATGATGAATTATAAAGTCTTTATAGCTCTGCCTGATTTTTATCACTTGAATAAAATTAGAAGAGGGTGTCAACATGACAGACAATTAATATAATATATAAACAAACTCTTGAATAAATTTCTCATGGATTAATTTATGAACCAACTCAAATATTTTCTATTAATAATCTAAAATAGAAAAATTCCAAACATCTTCATCAAATATCAGCGAAATAATTCTTTAAACCCCAATCAGTTTTGATTATTATTTGTGCGAGGGGGAATTTCCTTCAGATGTTCTTTTTCGTTTTTTCTCTCTTTTTTTTGGTTGCACATAAGTTCAGGAACTCCTGAATTTAAGAATAAAACAGAAAAAAAAAATCTACAAAAACTATTTCTTACAACACATCTTCTATTATTTCTCTGAAGCTACATACATAAAGTAAAGGTTTAATGACATGACTTACTTCCAGTAGGCATAGTAACAGTCCTTTGATTGCTAAGTATGCTGCCCTCTGTGTTGTACGCTCTAACCTGGATGGTGTATGCTGAGTATGGGATCAGACCAGTGATGTCAACGATCTCATTGGCAATGGTCCCATTATAGAGGGCTCTTGTCTCTGTTACTAGGGCATAATTGCTGGCTTCTGTTTGCAAGTTTGAAGGAGGAAGAAGACAAGAAATCAATGGTTTCTGATAATAGTCCAGGGGGGGGGGTGTTTTATCACAGAGATCCTAAGTTGAACTTATCTCAAAGTTGGACTTAAAAATTATGGAGAGCCATTTGTAGCCTTAAAATAAAGTATATTCAAAAGCAAAAATTCAAGTATTTTAGACTTTTCATAAATTCCACATCAAGAACATGAAATCCCCCATGATAATAGAAAATATGAATGATTTGAATCACAGTTTAATGCCTTTTAAAATAACTTTTACAAAATATTTTCAAAGATGCTAACAGCTTTCCATAATTTTTAAGTCCAACTTAGAGATAAGTTAGACTTAGGATCTTTGTGAAACACCCCCTGATCACATAGACATGTACTAATGAGCAGTGAGGTTGTTATAATTTTCAATGTTAACATTTATGATGCCAGTATGACAAGATATCTTATACAAATGATTTGTTTGGGCATCAGAAATCTTAACTTTTACTAGCAAACCAGGATTTTATTTCACTGCCATAAACATGACCTTCACTTAGGTTTGGGTTAAAAGAATTGTACAGAATAACTATTCATAATTCACCAATCACATCTACCAAACCTGTTGACAAATATTATGTAATACTCAACATATATCATCTGATTTAAACATTCTTGTAAAAGACTTATTACTTGCATTCATTCAATATCCATTGATTACATGAGTGTCAAACCATTAAAGACAAAAATTGATGAAGTCTGAAATGCAGATTATTATTGGTTTGGTTGGTCTTACCTGGTGCCACATAGAAGATTCCAGTGAAGAGGACCTCATAGACTAGCATACCATTAGGTTGAGCTGGTGAGGTCCATGTAGCTTTCACACTCCTAGAACCCATTGTAAACACTGCCAGGTCAATGCTACCCTGTGGCGGAGCCTCAAGGGTGCGTCCAGAACCCTCAGGACCAAAGGTACACCCCTTAGAGGTACATGCCTCTACCCTGAAGACATGCAGACTCCAGGGAGACAGGTTGGATGCAGTGTAAGACATAGAGGTGGAGTTCTGAATCACAATACCATTCTGTACCAATGCATAGCTGATGATTACACCTGTCATAGAGATGCAGAAATGAAGTTTAAAGGATTGGTTGATATACAACACACACTGAATCCCATCTAGATTATCATGAGGTGCATGGAGGGTGAATCATGTGTATGGGAATCAAATTACAAATATTTTCCCATATATGTCAACAAAGTAATTGGTTGTTTTAAGCCCATACCATATTCAAGTAAAGGTGCACACAAGAGCCCAGGAAAAAAAGCAATTGATAATAATAGTGGAGTCCTGTAGGTCTGGCACAGTGCCACTCCTCCTGGAGCCCCTTCACGGCTGCTATTACAGCACTAGAGCATTAATTCATGTCCGGTACCTATTTGCATGTACCACACCTGGGTGGAGTGTGGCAAATGCAGATTAATGTCTTGCCAAAGGACATTAGTGCTGCGACAGTGATTTGAGCCCTGTACCTTGTGGTTCAAAGTACAGAGACTTATCCACTGGACCACAATACCTCTACAACCTCTACATGTATAATTACCTGGCTTTGACCAATCAGAATCTAGCCTTGTAAAGAAGTAGTTTTGAGCTCTCTCTATTGTGTACTTACTGGAAAGGTGGTCGAGGTTAGGCTTCAACACTAATAGACTGGGGTCTTTCAGACTTTCAACAGATCATGGCTTTCTTTAACATTTTGGATGCTTCCTTGCCTCTATGCACAGTCACTGGTTTACCACATTTTCAATTTCGTACTAAAGAATAGACACCAATTGACCGAAGGATTGCTTTGTGCAGCACAATGGTTTTGCAAAATTACCCATTTCCGGTATTAATTTGCTCCATGACAACACTGGTATAGACTAATCTTGCACTGAAAAAACAATTAAATAATCTTGTAGCCTTAGGTAATATTTACCCCATGATAAATATAATGTGGCACAGGGAGAATATTTGTGTGGCATATCAAAAGTTTAATAGAGTATACAAGGTGTAGACGTACCATTAGGCTGTGTTGGATGAGTCCATGTTACCACTAACTCCAATGGGCTAGCGGCTGTTATAATTGGCGCTGGCACTCCCTCTGGAATACTCTCCTCCGTCCTAACACTACTCTGTGCGCTGATCGTACATCCACCACCAGTACATGCCTGTAGAAGAGATGGATAATTCGTAGTGTCTTCTATAATACAAATAAACTTTAACGTGTACCAAGAACCAAAATATGTTTTACTCTTGATGTAAGGATTCCAATGTCGCTATAACATTTTAAAAAATACAAGCTTGAAATATTAATTCTATAAAGATATAATACAAATGGTTGAGTAGACTTGTCGATGCATGCATAGGCGCTCACATGGAATAGGGTGCGCATGGGACCCAATGCAGACTTGGATTCCGTCCAGATTTCTTGATGTTATCCTTTAATTTTTCTTCTATAAAGGTTGACGATATAAATCCTAATTATTCACAAATTATTTTTTCAGGTGATTGGTACACTTTAAGAACGGTAAAGGCTACGTATCATGATAGAATTTCCGATGACAAGTCTTTAAAATGTTTTCTAACAGTGCCAAGATCTTAAATTATAGATGGTGAATCGATTTGTGCTCCACTCAATTACTCAGATGTATGATTTTCGTGCTGGTGATACTGATGAGATGTACTATTTTTATCCATTTATAAGAGCCACATCTTAACATCATTATCTCCAATCATGTGAGATAGAATAATCAACATAGTATAAGATTTAGGAGGTACATGTAGCACTAGCCAGCACTGGTCAAAATCCTAATGATGGATACTAGTTTTATCACTCACTTTTTCCATTATTTCAAACTAATGTAAATATCTGCACAGAGATGTAATTCAACAGATATGTGTCTAAAGGCTCATTCATATAAAGGTATAGACCAGTTTTGGAAACGCCCCCCTCTCAAAAAATAAAAATTGAAGCTCTTATTACCAATCATATGAAAGAATATGTTTTGACTAATACGTAATGATACAAATTTCGCCTACTAACCGCCTACTAATTGATATACTTGGTAAATTATCATATCCATCTGGCCTGGATAGACACATTGAACATTTGGGCATATATTTCTGCTTTTTTGCCAATTTAGGTTGAAGTATTGCCTAGACCTCTGAAGGCAATAATTAAACAATATTGAATGGATATTTTGCACCTGAAACCCTTGAACCGCAATTTTACCACTATCGGTCTTTACCTTTAATTTTTTTTTAATGAATGGTAAATTGCTTTCAACCAAAGTCCTTTGTATATTTACTGGGCTTTGTGTTATAAGATACAGAAATGTGAGGTGTATTACATGTACACTGTGTCATATCTCAATGAGACTTATTAAAGGAAAGTGATACTTACAGCGACTGATAAATAATAGACAGTTCCTGGTGAAAGATCATTGATGATGAAGTCAGTGAATAGATCAGATGTATTGTAGACTGCATCCCCAACCACACCATTCACAGTAGAAGAATAGAGAACATAGCGTTGCAGGATACCGTTGGGCTGAGAGGGCGCTGTCCATCGAGCCTCAATGGACCTGGGACTCCTCGGGAAGAGAGTAGGTGGGTCCACGGAGGAGGGAGCAAGCTCAGAGGTTGTTATGGTAACCTCTGCACTGGATGAGCATCCTATTTGGGTACAAGCTGAAAACAGGAAACAAATGGAATGAACTTTACATTCCTCGGAAAATAAAACAACTTTATGTCATCTTAATTTTTTATGAGGATGTTATTCATATAATATCTTATGAATCATTTTTTCAAAATTCTTAATTCTTGTCGACAATGCCCCCAAATAGGTAATAAGGCACTTGCCCATTATGTTTCAGGAAAATCAAATTTTCTGGAATGAATGTAAAAAGTATTATGATACAAATTCTGTAAGAGTCCTATACATATACCAAAATGTTAGCTACACTTTGTAGGAATTTAGTAGGCATATACATGTACCACTGAGGTCTTAATTAATTAGCATATGTCTGTACAAAACATAACAATGAGTTAGTTTTGGGACTTCTGTAAAAAAAAAAAAGTACTTCATTGTCATCACAAACTACATCTCTTTTCAGATAGTAATACAATGTTCAAGGAAACAGAATCTTACAAGAAGAAAAAAGATTAAAAAAGAAGAAGAAGTATATGGTGAGTGTGCATTACCTATAAGAACAAGTCTGTAAGGATTGAAGACACTCAATCCTGAGAGTGTGTAGTTACGTGCTGTACCAGTGTAGACTGTAACACTATTGAGTTGTAGCTGATAGGATGTAATGATACCATTAGGTCTGTCTGGTAACGCCCATCCTGCCGTGATGGTACGAGCCGTCTTGGACAAGGCCTCAGGTGATTGGACACCAGAGGGAGCTATCATGGAATAAAAGAGCAATGGAATCGTTCTGAACTTATAGGCAAATGCATAATTATAGTTCAATATTTTCCAAACTTGAAGGCTGTGAAGAGTACATGTATTTGATTTACTGAGATGAAGCTCTATCAATACACATATCAAATCATCAACATCATATTATATTTGCAATATTACTGAATTTGACTCACACACTGTAAACTTTTCTAAATTGTTCTATACTTTTTCTATATCACTGCATGAATACCTTAAACGACATCCTGTAAAATATAATCGGTGATGTCAAAGATAAATGTTAAGCAAAAAAATATTCCTTGGATTCTAGAGCCATTCTATAAATCGATCTTTGCTTGAAATTTGCTCAAATTAAACTCGTAGCTGATGTCAAAGATAACTTTCTCTTGATGAGGCCTCATTGCAGTTTCTTGAAAAACCAAATATTTTTGAGTGAATACAAACTAAAAAAAGAACCATTTCATTGATATTTAAGTATGTTTCAAAAAGTAGCAAAATTCATCAGCCTTACAATAGCTTGTGATAATGGTAGGAGTGGTGATATCTATGAGGAATGTAGTGACCTACCTTCCTCTCTGGTTCTCACACTGACTGCAGAACTCTCTGAGCATCCACCAGCTGTGCATGCAGTCACACTCACATCATAGTTAGTATATGGGATTACATCAGTGATGTTACCTAAGAGATCAACCAAGATGATGGAATGAGAAATCAGTCATATAACATGTTCACTATAAGGTATTATCTACCAACACACAGTCCAGAGGTCACCCATCCTTTTCCCATCAAGATACAAGTAACAGAGTTCCCCATGTAGTCCAGGCATTATTTGATATGACCTCCCACAAATTGCAACAGAAAGTCTGTCAATTGTTTTTTTATACCCAGAAATATGTCCTCTATAATATATCAAAACTCTTAAGGAATCCTGGTGGGGGAAAGTTCCATGGCGGTCATTTTTCAAAATCAGATATTTCCCTATATCTCTGCTTCTTAATAACAAAGAGATTTGATTTTAAATGCTAAACATACATTTCTGGGGTCAGGAATCCAATGAAACATATTTCAATGAGCTTAACCTGACTAAAAAGCCAAAATGGCAGCCAAATCCAGATGTGATGGTGGGAGGTTGACCCCCTTTTTTCACCAAATGCCTGGACTTATGTGTCACATGTACAACACATTTGCATATATTACACTTACATGCTTATTGTAATCTTATCTTTTCTTTCTGCTCTGATAAGTTGCAAATAAAGATAAGGAGAAACCATATCTTCTGTTTTTTTAATTTGTTTTTCATATAAATTTTGATTCAAGTTTACCAATCAGACAAATCATTTTTATGCATTCAGATAACTGTTTTAACTTGAAAATAAGATTTGTATAAATTACCTCAAAATCATGTTATTGAAGCTTGTTTCCATTTCTCTTTCTCTCTATTCCATTGTTATTACTCTCTTGTTCATCAAAGCTTTGATAACCTTATATGAACAACTCTATTATTAACGGTTACCTAGATTGCAGCGGTTTTAACAATTATTGACTCTTTCTACAATGTCCCTTACCTATGTTCTCAGAAAACGTAGTATCTGTGAAGACAGCTTGGACTGGTGCTATGTCAGGTAGATCTAGATTGTATGCTGATAGTATGTACTGTGTCAGTAGACCTGTATTGCCCGAGGGTCTCTGCCATTGCAGCTGGATAACATATCCTGTGATCGACACCGGGTCAATGGGTGGGCTCAGCCCAATAGGAGCTGAAAATTTCAAAGATAAATAAAACAAGATGAATGTGACTTGGTCTCCAATGTGCCACTATCTATATGTATTTTCATTGAGCAATGATCCTGTGACCTTTAGCATCTGACCCCATTAACTCTTCATTTCATCTTTTCATGCTCATACATACATATTTTCTGGAAATGTTAACACTTTCATCACTTTTAGGGGATGGACAGTAGTATATGTACGTACAGACAGACAGATGCATATCAACAAATCATAAATATTTGTTCATTTATCCTTTTATCAATTTATTCAAATATGAAGTGTGAATCATTGGAAAAAGACCTACATTTTAACTACAAAAGCATGGCACTTGATAATATGAGTTTAACATACATGTAGCTGTCATGACTGTCAACCTGAATCTCTCACTTGGTTCTGATGTAAGTGTATGTAAACATTAATATAATTGTGTGCATGGTAAATATAGTTTTGTTTCATGCCATACAAAACCTCATTACATCTGTTTTTTTACAGAAAACACAGCTACCATGTAATTTTTTTTTAAAGTTTCATATCATATTTTTATTTTTTTAAAACTAACCTCCCTCTCTAGTTCTTCCAGCTGCCCATGCACCGTCAGTAGATCCTGCTATGTTAGTCGCTGTTACCTGGTACAAATACTCTGAAAAGAAACATGGTAAAACACATTTTCATGATAATATTGAAGAAACCCCCTTACATCATGGTATGTGTTTTAGATTTATGCCAATACTTAAGCACCTTGTCAAACCCAGTTGTGGTATCTTATGAACATTACGATATCACCATTTGCGTTTTAATAATCACAATGCACAAAAAACAAGTCAAATTTAATTTCACAACATATGGTTTTGAAGAGAAAACTATAATATCTCAAATCAACTGTATATGAAACATTGATTAATTTTCATCTTTCAATTTCAATGTATCTTCAATCATTTCTAGTTATAAAGAAGCTATTCTATAAAGAGTGCATACCTGTAAATACATGGAGACCATTGTCTGTGAAGTTCATCGTACTCCCATCATAGACAGACACTGATTGGGGATCAGAGCATTGGATGCTACTGCTTGTGATAGGAGGGCATCCATCTAAGTAAACATTAAGGATGCCTGTCATATCATGGGTTAGGTTCACTGCCGTGTTGTCGATGGTCAACTGTCTCATGCAGCCTCCAAATCCTGTGAGGGGATAGACAATGGTTGAATAGCATGGAATGAGGAGCTTGAATACTATGTGAAGAACTGCATCCTTGTTAGATCTATATCACTAAAGTTAAATGTATCAAAGCATTACAAAATGATGAAGAAGAGAACTTTCATGCTTTAAATCCAACCCTTTCTATAAGGTCACAAATTGTTGACACACCTGATGTCTTTATCTTAGTAGTATCAAAGCATCAATGTAAGTGGGCAATACAAATGAAGAAGAAAATTGTTTTTTGTTTGTCTCATTTTTGTTGACTTTATAATATTCATTGGTAATCATTCACTAAATTGGTCAGTGACAAATGTGAACATATTTACCTACATTCTGACTATCTCTTTCATCAGGTTTCATGATCATTTATTAACATCATCTAAAATCCCAGGGTGGAAAATCCTTTTGTTTGTTTGCTACTGTGTCACTATATTCACTTGTAGTAGCCTTTTGGCCTGATGCAGAAAAGGACACAGTAGACACACACAAAAGAAACTTGTTTCCATAAAATAACTTTTATGTCTTCTTTTTTATGTCCACTTTTATCCTCAATTTTGAACACCTTGTGTGAAAGCACAGTGTCTATTTGTAAAGTTGAGTGGCAAATTATAGGTTTATGCCTATATCTTCTGTCATCCTCGGGAGAGGGGCGGGGGAGGGGGAGGGGATGAGATGCTAGTTCATATTCTACCTTGTGTGTTCATCTCAATGGTATCCAGGAATCCTGCTGCTTCTGAGTCATCTCTTACACCACCAAGGTGAAGTGAAGACATGAGACTGAGGGATGAGGATGAGAGCTGGATACCGGTAGAAGCTCCACCGTTGATGGATGCAGAGAGCTGGTTGGCAACCTTGGTGATGAAGAGACTCTTCCATAAACCATCACAGAGGGAGGTGTTTGGTATGGAGAGAATGACGGGGGACCCAGTACCGGTAGACACTTGAATCTATATATATGGATTCAATATATGGAAATCAAAACTTTGATGAGGATACAATAATAATGATAACAACAACAACAATAACAACAATAATAGCTGGTACTGGTAGAGTACGCATGTCTATGGGGCTTGACACTCCTAGCACTTCACAATTATTTTCCCAGCTTTAGCATGGCTGCCATTAAGGAATGAATTCCTTCCAGTTACCCTTTCACCTCACCTGGGTAAAGGGAGACAAGTCTCATAAGAATGCTAGAAAAAGTCTCCAATGATAGATTCTGTGCTACAATGACACTCTCTGACCTGACAGAAAATCACTTTCCAATCAAAATCCATTAAGGATCTCTACCTGTCATCATTTTGTTCTTCTTTAATGTCTGCAATTTTATTAGTTTTCTACAAGTAAGAGGATGACTATACTCATCGCAGCAGCACTGCAGAATATAAGTCAAGGGATCATGTGCTGAACAAGAACATTTTGCCCCCCCCCCCCCACAACAAAATGATAGGTTGCGATCAGAAAGCTTCCATGCAATTTTGACTACCGGTATATATAAACCTTAATACAGGTATATCGACTAGATCTTCCAATCAGAGTTCAAAAGAATACTACTGGTAAGTGGTTTATCATTTTAAACAAATTGAAAATCAAAACTGCACATTGAAGATTGCATGACTACATTTAAATCTGTATTTTTCTTCAAGGAATAGATATACTTCTCGTGTCCTTTGAGAGAAAGGGATAAGCAGAATAGCCATTATCTCCTCCATACCTGTAAGGTTCCAGCTACTATCTGGATCAACAGGTAGCTTCCAGTCTGATGATAAGCAAAGAGCACAAGCCCTGTCTGGTAATGAGTTCTCATCTCAAGACTTAGGGTGAAGCTGCTTCCTCCATTGAAGGTTCCCTCTGGTAAACTCAGGTATCCTGTACAATTGAAAAGGTGTTGTAGATGATGCATTCAAATAGCAAACGATGCAGATTATATCAAATAGGAATTTGAGTGAATAGGCAAAAAGAATTTCCGTTTTGGTTTAATACAATTTGGAGTGGACTATTAGGCTATTATTATTATTATTATTATTAAGTGTACCAAACACTTAACACAATAATTTGTGTACAGTTATAACGTATAAAATCTACCTAAAAATACTTTACCCAGCAATATATGGGCCAACGATTAAGGAGTATAAAGAAAATAAATGATAGCATGAAGCGGATACCAAGTCAGACACACAGAACTAGATTTGGCCTTGGGTTCCATACAGGCCATATGATTGAGGGTTTAACAGGCTGAAAAATACAGAGAACACGCTGCTATTTTTCAAAAAAGAGTGATAGATTCATAAAAAGCACTTTGAAAGAAAGAGGGCTATCTTTAAACCGCATCCGTCAATTTTACCTTTGCCAAGAAAGTGAACACCCCTCTCCAGCTGAGTGGGACAACCCTGCCAACCCCCTGGAACCTGTACTCTCTCAAGAGCATTGGAATAGTCCAAATCTCTCCAAATAGGGGTGGGAACGTGTGCAGTCTCTATCCGGATATTTCTCAAACACCCAATCAGATTGCTCCTTATAACAGCCAGATCTCCAGTTTCTGATCTACGAAGGTCAAAGTTTACAGGCAGTCCACCCACATAGAGGCCTGTAGTTGCTCCTATGATGGTTGATGCTGTAGGAGCTGTGACTGTACCTGCATTTTGAAAAGGTTTAGAGAAAGTGATAATAGATACAGAAATAGACTTCTACTTAATTTCTCCTCAGTTAAATGAACATTGTGCATACATTGTATACACAGTATTTTACATGTACAGATATTTCGCAGTTAACATTTCAAACTACAAAGGCCTACCTGTATACACATAATATAAATGTCAGCTATTTTGTCTATTTGACTTTTGTGAGTGAGGAAACTTTATTTGTTAAACATGAGAAAAATAGACACATAAAGCAAACAGATCATTTTTTACGGTATAAATATCATATTACCTCACAGAAGGTACATATAATTTGAAACGCAGAATGACTACCCTACATTAAACTGCAAGTACTCCATAATTAAGGTAACAACTCATCCAAATGAATTTCTTCAAATCCAAGATAGACAATATTATCTGACTATTTTCTTACCAGTGTACATATCATCCACTGTGATACTACCAACACTCCCAGCTCGTGAGACAACTACTTTATGCCACAGACCATCATCATATGTTCTGCCTCCATCATTGGGTGTGGCACCTGCTACACCCCCTTGAGGATCAAAGATGAACCAGGGTCGCCCCTCTCTCAGCTGTACCACAATCATCTCTTCCTGTTCACCATCAGAAGCGGCAAACATAAGGAGGGCTGAGGCAGGGGATAGGGCATCACTGGGTCGGGACACTCTGAACTCAAACTCAATACCTAAACAAAACAAAAAATTGAATTGTCAAATAATTAAAATCTTTCAAATTCATAAACTTTGACTTAATGATTTCTCTGATATTTTATATACAGAACAAAAGTTTATCTACAAGATGTAAAATGCCCACAATTAGTAATATTGCCAGCCCAGAAAATGTCAGAAAAATCATATGCTTCCTACTGCTCTAGAATAAACCTGAATGGGCATCTAATACCCCCCCCCCCTAAAAAATAAAAAACTATCATATCAAATTTTCTAATTATAATTTGTTTAAATTTCTACATGGGACATAAATATCTCAAATGGTGAAACTATGAAGACTGCTTATAACTGTTCCCATTTAAAGACTAAACACAAAGCCTCATCTAGTACAATATTTGAATTCTTGGGTAGGATTTGTCACCATGGAAAGGGAAGGTTGAATTCAGCATCAGACATTATCCTGAAGAAATCTTACCAGTATATGATGAAAAGGGCAGAATGTTCCCAGAAAAGAGATAGTATCCTCCACCAGTGAATCTAGCACCCCTCTCCACACGTGGAGGAGTCCGGCTCAGTGATGCTACAATACTCTGAACCTGGTAGGATGGGTTTGGTCCATTCTGCATGATAGGGGGGTCCCACATAACTTGCATGGCAGATGAATTAAAGCCATCCACCATAGGTGGCCCTTGTCCTTCCGGAGCTGTAAATGGAAAACACATAGATTATAACTCTCTAACGCATTGGAAATTAGCAATATTAAATGCATTTCAAATCATTTTTTCTCATATAACAATATCATCATATAACCAACAAAGTTAATGTAGATCTACCAAAACATATTAAGAGTTGCCTGTTGATATCACCCTAGCTAAAGGCAAAGCGGCCACATAAATGCTGACTCCTTCTAGGGATCACATCTTACAAGATACCCCTTTACTACACCTGAGTCAAGTGTAGATAAAATGCTTTGCCTACGGGTAACAGTGCCAAGCAGGGATTTGAACCACCAAAGATCTTGATTTGGAAGTCAAGGTTTTGAGTTGTACCAGATATCCATTTCCTAAACCTGGGTCAACAGACACCAATGTAGATAAAAAAATATCTTGTCTAAGGACTACAGCATTGAGCAAGGACTTGAACCACAACTTGAGAAATGAATCCCCTGATGGAAAAAAATATGTATCTATCTATATATCTATGTCCCATAGCTTGGAGGCTGTTCGGGTGACAATGAAATGGACCTTGGGACACAGGTTCTCCATGACTTCCTGTCCTCAGCTGTTCTAGTTAGCTGTTAAACGACATCCCCATCCGCTGCTTGATGATATTATCAGTGCATGTCCTAGTTCGTTTGCCCCTCTTTCTTCTCCCATCAGTTCCTCCTTGCAAGATGTTGTTTGTCAAGCTTTTTTATTTACATACCCAAACTACTGTAGCTGTTTCCGTTTCACAATTGTGATGAGGTGACAAAATATGAAGAAGTAAATCTTGTACAGTTTAAAGCAGTAGTTGGAGCACCTACCCGTTGGAAGTGTCCTGCCACTGGATCTTGGACTGAGGATGCAGCCAATACTGTTACAGGCTTCGATCGAGAATGTATGGATGGAGTAAGGCTCAAGACTTCCTAACACAAAGAACATCCCAGAACCATCGCCTGAATAAACCAACTGTAGGTTGAGGGGAGAGAAAGGAAGAAATTACCAATAATTAATTGTTATTAGATCAAAAATATTTGAAATTCAAAATATCAGAACCCAAGACAACCTTTACCTCGTGAAATAGAAATAGTTGTGGGAAGGTCTAGGAAGATGGCAACATCTGGTGCTGTTTCCTATTTATTTCTATTTCTTATTTTCTTCTGGTAGGATCAGGCTTGCTCTTTAATAGATGCTTTTGTTTTTCTAATAGATTAGTAATAGATAACATCATCTCAGCAGAATTGAACCAAGTTGATTGGCTGTTGGTGTGACCAGCTGTCAACAATTATATTTTGATACCTCACTCCAAAAACAAACAAAAAATGAATAAATAAATAACAATAATATTAATTATTATAATAATGACATAAAATGAAATAAATAAATAAAATAGAATCAAATAAAAATAATAAATAACAAAAGAAGGAAATTACAACAACAAAAACTTAATAAAAAAAAAAGAGTACCTCTTGCGTTTGAGGAGGAGCAAAGGGATCATCAGATGTAATGTAACGGTAGAGCCTATAGCTGATGACCACACCTCGTATCTCATTGTCTTGAGGTTGAGGCCAGGTGATGTTCAGTTCTGAGCTAGATACACCAAGCACAGATGGAGCTGGTGTAGACAGAGGGGCTGAAACACAAATAAAATAGCATTATTAGCCACTACTGAATAGCATTACATCACTAGCCACTACTGAATAGCATTACATCACTAGCCACTACTGAATAGCATTACATCACTAGCCACTACTGTATAGCATTACATCACTAGCCACTACTGAATAGCATTACATCACTAGCCACTACTGAATAGCACTGACCGTAATGAAATTACTGATGTACGGATCTGCTACATCCTTGGATAAAAATAGTGTTTCAATGCAGTATTGGTATTTTTTTTAATAAAACATGTAGACACAGAGATGTACAGCAATGATATCACACATTTAGAGGTAAGGGTCAAACTGTGGAGTTATCTAAATACATCAACAACTCTTACATTAGCTACATGGGATCCCAAGTCAATACATGACATGTTCCTTATTATTGTAGACAGATATGCACTTGGGAAATGCATGCAGGAACCCTACCAGCCTACCATATGCATACTTACAATATACTTGAACAACATATATACAGGTGTATATATATATATATATATGTTTATATATAAGTGAACTAGTCTGTAGAATATAATTTAATAGGTGATGGATTCAGAGACACGGCTGGTTTTAGGAGTATTCTTCTGAGTAATGTTCTATCAAGCTTACCAGCCTCAGCAGTCCGAACAGTTGTCCAGCTACTGTGTCCTGTCCCTGCAAGATTCCTTGCAGTCACCCTGTACTGATAACGAGTGAATGCATCAAGACCGGTATGGGTGAAGTTAGTAACAGGTGGCTCAGCAGGATCCTCTAGGGGTGTCAACACTGGTCTAGGATTGAACCATCCTGCCGGGTAGAAGATCCTGGTCTCTGGAGGGTCTATGGTCCCATCTGGTCCAGGATAGCCTCGGAAGAACAGCTCATAGTGAGTGATGATACCTGTAGTACATTAAATCAAGGGTCCAACACTCTGCAGGTTTGTGGAAACACATCTACATATTTTTTATGATCATTATTTGAAATGTTTTTTTTCTGATTGTCTTAACATTCAACTGATTACTTTGAAAGATATAATGAATTACAGCTCCTAAAGTTATCAGATGTCAAAGATAACAATATATTAATCATGCACCATTTCCACTCCTTCTGTTTTCTGTTCTGTGAAGCGCATCAAGACATGCAATATGCCTATGTATTATGTGCTATACAAAAACATTTGATCATTATTATTATTATTCTTAGTTTTCAAGAATTTGCAACTTTAGGCTTTCTTGCACTCTTGCACCTAAAGCCCCATTAACTTTAAACAAATTTTAAAAATCATTACAAATCTCCTATCGTCAATGCTCATTGACAATGAGCTTCTATGAATATGGAGAAACTAAATCGCACAGCAGTGTAAACGATCAACCAGTATCACACTCTAGAATATTAGTTTCAAACTAAATAAGTCTATAACTGTATGATGAGCTTGATACAGATCTCCTGTATTCATGTCAAGAAGCTCCATTACATATATTCCTGTCTTACCATTAGCCTCTGTAGGATGGTCCCAGCTCACAAACACAGAGCTCTGACTCAGAGCGGTTGCATTAGGATCCATGACCCCTTGAGGAGGAGCCTGAGGGGTGTAGGCCAGGGTTGCTCGCCCCTGCCCACAGGATCCAGGGGTACACACGGTCAGATAGAAGGTGTAGTTGGTAAAGGGGATGAGGTCCGTAGCCTGGTAGCTGGTAGCTAGACCATTGAAGTGTTGCGTTGGGGGATCTGGCTTACTAGGGGTCATAGAGGTCAAGATGTACTGGGTCACTGTAGCTGAGATATCTATGAGAAAGGTATGGGTAGATATTATTAATAATGATAATAATAGCTACATTAATATTGCATACATTTCCGTCCAATGGATGCTCAAGGCGCTACAAATTACTATTATTACCCTAGCTTTAGCCCAGCTGCCCTAAGGTACTCAAAGCATTCAAGAAATTACTTCCAACCAGGTACTCATTTACTACACAAGGGTGGAGTGTGGCAAATGAAAAGTGATGTCTTTTCAAAGGACATTAGCAGGACTCATATCTCAAACCATGTGATCCACATTCCAGTGAATTTTATTTATTTATTTTAAATGGTTTATTTCATTAAAAAAAAATCACGGCCCGAGAGCCGAATTGCAGTTTCTTTTACAAAGTATACATCAGTGACAAAGTAAAATTACATGTAAAACATTATGCATGGTAGCATTATGGTAGTAACATTGGAATTGTTTTGTACATATGATATATAATTGTACTTCAACGACCTTGGCAAATTGCTTCGTACATGTACAGAAATTCGAATTGTATTACCATATTTGCAATAAAATTATATATTGAACTTATACAATATATGAATAGTAATACATTTTTTATATTCTAAAGAGTTAAATGTTTTGGTTGGAAAAATGTATAGCCAGATGGGTAAGGTATGGTTATGGTGTTTTCTTCAATAACAGAAACAGAGACAACAGAAACCAAATCCAGGAATTATAAAATCAAATAGATGCTACAATGATTTAAACAAATTATCCATTGTAGGAAAAATGCAGAACATTTGCTGGACCAAAATATCTCTATATTGAGATAATCATTGAGACAAGTGAGGTTATCACCTTTCTGTAAATATAAACCACTACATATAAATAGACAGGACTAGCAAATCTATAGAATTAATAAACAACAATAATGCAATACACATTTATGATTAAAGGATTTGGTGGTTCCTTGATGAAAAAAAGGGAAGTTCAAGTTACCAAACAGACCAAGGAATATGTAATTGAGCTTTTGTATTTTTTGTTTAATGTTACAATTTGAGATTTGTATTAAAAAGCATTGTCTTTGCTTTTAATCACCATTCAAAAGTCAGAGCAGTCTTTCGACACAAGATTAATACTCCATTTCCTATAAAAAGAAATTCCTTGGTGTTTATTTTGGTCATTTATCCAATTATCATCTATGCACTTAGCATGTGAGAACATCAATGATTAGTAGCCACTGACCTGCAGGTTGAGACCAAGAGAAGTCTGCTGACCGTGCCTGGACATTGGTGATGATCAAGACATCAAAACCAGCAGGAATGGCATCAGGAGTCTGGGCAATGACTACGGGGCTAGTAGCCCTACCGGCTTCATTGGCTGACTGGACATAGTAGCTGTAGGTTGTGAAAGGTGAAAGGTTCTGGTCCTCAAACTGCTGGATGCCTGATAATGAAAACAAAAATATTGAGGCTTAATATAGAATCTCTGATTGATAATGTGGCAAACGCATGTTAATCATCTTACTCTTGGTATCAAAAAGGTCATAGTAAAATAATAAAAGCTTTATTTATATTGTGCACATATCCATCCCAGAAGATACTGGATGTGCGACAAAGTAGTATTATAATGCAAGCTTTATCTCAGCTGTCCTAAGGCATTGAAAGTGATAAATAAATAACTTCTTACCAGGTACTAATTTACTACACCAGAATGGAGAGTGGCAAATATAGGTTATTTCAACTCCATCACTGCCTCAACTATTGGACATATCATGTGTCATTTCAACAACTAGTATAATCATTAGAAAAAGGATAAATTGTGCGATTTTTATCCTCAATGAAAATATAATTGATCACAAAGTGTATAGTCACAAAAGAGAAACATATAAAGATGATCTCATAATCATATAACTGTCTAATTAAAAGGAAATTGCATAAAAAACAAGAATAATCAGTCACTAAGCTTCAGAAATACTTTTCTTACCAAAAAGGCGATTAATATAAAATTGGCCTCATGATCGTAAATTAGTAAGTCTCATTGTAAGGAAAGTGATTCAAAACCAAGACTAACCAGTCACTACGATGAAAAGTATGTTTCTTACCTAGAGGATTGGTAGCAGTTCCATTATAGACCAGTGTATTGTTCCTATAGAGCAGGTAGGTTAGGATGTTACCATTTGGCTCATCAGGAGGACCCCAGGTTAGTAAGATAGAGAAAGGATTCACTGCCTGCCATACTGGAGGTGGCTGCTGGGCGGGTGCTGGATCACAAGAATAAACATTATAACAAAATAGACAAGTTAGGTGGAATGCTGGTGTATGTTGAGTATTATCATTACTCTATCTTAAGCATTTAGATTTGAGAAATAGGGCATGATGAAACAATGCAAGTCACAAAGTACCATACTTTGTCATTTGAGTTATGGCAATTGATATCACACATTCCTACAAAAGTCAATGTATCATCATCAAATGACCTAGCTTATCAATCAGCTGAACTAAATATAAGCTATTTATCCTGGGATGGACACAATTAGGAGAACACTTGTACTATGCTCGTACTGATCCATATCAATTTACTAAACATTTATAACAAAACCAGTTCAAATGAAACATTCTGGTGTCCAAGAGCAATGTTCAGGTCAATTGGCATGCTAGTCACCTACAATTAATAAAATAAATCAATTTTAACGTATTGGAAACATTTTTTCACTTTCTTTGACTAAGATTTTAAAGGGGTTTGAGCCAGCATTATCTGAGGCTCAGTATACAGTAGGTTGACTGATCTTCTTACTTTTAGAGCATCCTTGAGGATTAGAAGCTTGAAGGTTACTAGAAGATATCTGGCAGGTATCACATCGTCTACCGGTCACAAGATCCTTACAGTCACACTGTCCAGTGTTAGAATCACAGCTTGTATTTAGACTGCCCCGAGGGTCACAGTCACATGGTGAACACCTAGCACAGGACAAGACAGAATGACTTGTTTAGAGCTCCATCGTTTGTTTGGTTCATATATGCATAGTAACATGTATAGGCTTACATAACTTTAGAAGGAAGTGTGATCCCACAATGAAGGCTTGTTATGGGTATACTTAACAATCGAATGAATGTAAACAATAAATATGAACAAGAATGATATTAGTTATCAAAGTGCCATGATTTTTTTTTTTTAAGCTAACAAATGTGACAAGATAAATTTGTCAAATAAAATGTATCACTAATTTGAAAAGCAATGTGTAAGGTTGCAAAGCAGAAAATAAAAACCTGGTGCCTGGAAATTGACGGACTACATTTCAAATTATGAGACATTAGAAAAAAGGCCTGAATTAAAACATACAAACACAATAATAAGAGAGAAAATGCAATTAACTTACATTCCTGTACTAGGGTTATAGTTGAAATACTCCTCCATACAGCCGTCACATCTTCTGCCTGTCAGACCTGGGCTACCTAATCGACATTGACATTGACCTGTCAATGTATCACAGAAGGTAGAAGGCTCTGTACTCAATGGTTGACAGTCACATGATAGGCAGCCACGCCCACCAGATGGGGGCTCGTAAAACCCTGTGGCAAACAAAGAGGTACGTGTAAATGACACAAAATTTGACAATGGTTCTTAAATATATCTTAAATGAATAGCATAAAATTCTTGAAAAGAATAGTTTAACTTTATGGAAATATATTCACTAAACAATACTTCATAATATGATTTTACCAATGTAACGGTATATACAAAGTAATTTAACTAATCATGAAAGAATTTTAAATGTACTGTACAAATAATTCTATCAAGATTTTACACTAATATTCTTTACATTAATTTTATTTTTTAATGGCTGACATAAATTCTTTTGCAACATTTCCCACCATTTTCTGATAATCTGAGAAGAATTAAAATCTACAACACTTACACATTACATGTATATTTATTTTTATAACATGTACTACCCTAAAATTTCCTCTATGAGACTGAATTGGATAGGATTTGAACTAGACCATTTCAGTATTAAGAGTATCAATGAATGTCATAGAGGTTGCCTGTACATGGACCAAGACCAAAGCATGGTAGATCTAGATCCTACCTTCATCACAGATGTCACATGTTCTTCCAAGCCTGTTAGTCAGACATGAGCACTGTCCAGAGTTCTGATCACAGACCAAAACATCCCCATTTGATCCTGTCTGCGTACCGGTGGCATCACATCCACACGACTCACACCCATCCTCATTAGCTGCCTCCAGACCAAAGGTGTTAGGAGCGCAGGTATTGCAGGTTCGTCCTAGGACGTTGACCTTGCAAACACATTGTCCAGTGGTGGCGTCACAGACGGTGGAGCCGCTGATGGTGCCTTCGGTGTTACAGGAGCAGGGTGAACAGCCTTGAGAGTTGGAAGCTTGGAGATTGTAGTAGGACGCCTCACACTGGTCACATCGCACTCCCTGCAATCAAAATCAAGATTGACTCTTAACAGTCAAATATAGTACATAGGCACTTATCTGAAAGCAAAATGCATTACAAATGTAACTTCTTATCGCTGAAGGGAATTCAGAAGATTAACACTTACTACAATAATATAAAAAAGACACTGTTTTTATTGATGAAATTTCTACTTTGTAATTTAAATTACTAGTAATGAATGAATGTATGAGGGAGGAGGTACTGGATTTATTTATTATTATTATTTACCCAGGTTTTAGTACAGCTGCTATTTCACTCTAGCATTTTAAGGAATTCATTCCTGCCGGGTACCCATTTACCTCACCTAGGTCGGTTAATGCCTTGCCAAAGGATATAATAATAATAATAATAATAATAATAATAATAATAATAGGTTTTTGTATAGCGCCGTCTATCTAGACAATGCTATAAGTGCTGCAACAGGGATTCATGGTACAGAGATTTATCCACAAGATCTCTACATGAATTCAAGCAATCAATCAAATACAGTAGATGGTATTAAACTAACCTGAACATTTGCCTTGCAGACACACTGTCCTGAAGCTTTGGTATCAAACTAACCTGAACATTAGCCTTGCAGACACACTGTCCTAAAGCTTTGGTATCAAACTAACCTGAACATTAGCCTTGCAGACACACTGTCCTGAAGCTTTGGTATCAAACTAACCTGAACATTAGCCTTGCAGACACACTGTCCTGAAGCTTTGGTATCAAACTAACCTGAACATTAGCCTTGCAGACACACTGTCCAGAAGCTTTGGTATCAAACTAACCTGAACATTAGCCTTGCAGACACACTGTCCTGAAGCTTTGGTATCAAACTAACCTGAACATTAGCCTTGCAGACACACTGTCCTGAAGCTTTGGTATCAAACTAACCTGAACATTAGCCTTCAAGATACACTGTCCTGAAGCTTTGGTAACAAACTAACCTGAACATTAGCCTTGCAGACACACTGTCCTGAAGCTTTGGTATCAAACTAACCTGAACATTAGCCTTGCAGACACACTGTCCTGAAGCTTTGGTATCAAACCAACCTGAACATTAGCCTTGCAGACACACTGTCCTGAAGCTTTGGTGTCAAACCAACCTGAACATTAGCCTTGCAGAAACACTGTCCTGAAGCTTTGGTATCAAACTAACCTGAACATTAGCCTTGCAGACACACTGTCCTGAAGCTTTGGTATAAAACTAACCTGAACATTAGCCTTGCAGACACACTGTCCTGAAGCTTTGGTATCAAACTAACCTGAACATTAGCCTTGCAGACACACTGTCCTGAAGCTTTGGTATCAAACTAACCTAAACATTAGCCTTGCAGACACACTGTCCTGAAGGTTTGGTATCTAACTAACCTAAACATTAGCCTTGCAAACACACTGTCCTGAAGCTTTGGTATAAAACTAACCTGAACATTAGCCTTGCAGACACACTGTCCTGAAGCTTTGGTATAAAACTAACCTGAACATTAGCCTTGCAGACACACTGTCCTGAAGCTTTGGTATCAAACTAACCAGAACATTAGCCTTGCAGACACACTGTCCTGAAGCTTTGGTATCAAACTAACCTGGACATTAGCCTTGCAGACACACTGTCCTGAAGCTTTGGTATCAAACTAACCTGAACATTAGCCTTGCAGACACACTGTCCAGAAGCTTTGGTATCAAACTAACCAGAACATTAGCCTTGCAGACACACTGTCCTGAAGCTTTGGTATCAAACTAACCTGGACATTAGCCTTGCAGACACACTGTCCTGAAGCTTTGGTATCAAACTAACCTGAACATTAGCCTTGCAGACACCCTGTCCAGAAGCTTTGGTATCAAACTAACCTGAACATTAGCCTTGCAGACACACTGTCCTGAAGCTTTGGTATCAAACTAACCTGAACATTAGCCTTGCAGACACACTGTCCTGAAGCTTAGGTATCAAACTAACCTGAACATTAGCCTTACAGACACACTGTCCTGAAGCTTAGGTATCAAACTAATCTGAACATTAGCCTTACAGACACACTGTCCTGAAGCTTTGGTATCAAACTAACCTGAACATTAGCCTTACAGACACACTGTCCTGAAGCTTTGGTATCAAACTAACCTGAACATTAGCCTTGCAGACACACTGTCCTGAAGCTTTGGTATCAAACTAACCTGAACATTAGCCTTGCAGACACACTGTCCTGAAGCTTTGGTGTCAAACCAACCTGAACATTAGCCTTGCAGAAACACTGTCCTGAAGCTTTGGTATCAAACCAACCTGAACATTAGCCTTGCAGACACACTGTTCTGAAGCTTTGGTATAAAACTAACCTGAACATTAGCCTTGCAGACACACTGTCCTGAAGCTTTGGTATCAAACTAACCTGAACATTAGCCTTGCAGACACACTGTCCTGAAGCTTTGGTATCAAACTAACCTGAACATTAGCCTTGCAGACACACTGTCCTGAAGCTTTGGTGTTAAACTAACCTGAACATTAGCCTTACAGACACACTGTCCTGAAGCTTTGGTATCAAACTAACCTGAACATTAGCCTTGCAGACACACTGTCCTGAAGCTTTGGTATCAAACTAACCTGAACATTAGCCTTGCAGACACACTGTCCTGAAGCTTTGGTATCAAACTAACCTGAACATTAGCCTTGCAGACACACTGTCCAGAAGCTTTGGTATCAAACTAACCTGAACATTAGCCTTGCAGACACACTGTCCTGAAGCTTTGGTATCAAACCAACCTGAACATTAGCCTTGCAGACACACTGTCCTGAAGCTTTGGTATCAAACTAACCTGAACATTAGCCTTGCATACACACTGTCCTGAAGCTTTGGTATCAAACTAACCTGAACATTAGCCTTGCAGACACACTGTCCTGAAGCTTTGGTATCAAACTAACCTGAACATTAGCCTTGCAGACACACTGTCCTGAAGCTTTGGTATCAAACTAAACTGAACATTAGCCTTGCATACACACTGTCCTGAAGCTTTGGTATCAAACTAACCTGAACATTAGCCTTGCAGACACACTGTCCTGAAGCTTTGGTATCAAACTAACCTGAACATTAGCCTTGCAGACACACTGTCCTGAAGCTTTGGTATTAAACTTAACTGAACATTAGCCTTGCAGACACACTGTCCTGAAGTTTTGGTATCAAACTAACCTGAACATTAGCCTTGTAGACGCACTGTCCTGAAGCTTTGGTATCAAACTAACCTGAACATTAGCCTTGCAGACACACTGTCCTGAAGCTTTGGTATCAAACTAACCTGAACATTAGCCTTGCAGACACACTGTCCTGAAGCTTTGGTATCAAACTAACCTGAACATTAGCCTTGCAGACACACTGTCCTGAAGCTTTGGTATCAAACTAACCTGAACATTAGCCTTGCAGACACACTGTCCTGAAGCTTTGGTACTAAACTAACCTGAACATTAGCCTTGCAGACACACTGTCCTGAAGCTTTGGTATCAAACTAACCTGAACATTAGCCTTACAGACACACTGTCCTGAAGCTTTGGTATCAAACTAACCTGAACATTAGCCTTGCAGACACACTGTCCTGAAGCTTTGGTATCAAACTAAACTGAACATTAGCCTTGCAGACACACTGTCCTGAAGTTTTGGTATCAAACTAACCTGAACATTAACCTTGTAGACGCACTGTCCTGAAGCTTTGGTATTAAACTAACCTGAACATTAGCCTTACAGACACACTGTCCTGAAGCTTTGGTATCTAACTAACCTGAACATTAGCCTTGCACAGACACTGTCCTGAAGCTTTGGTATCAAACTAACCTGAACATTAGCCTTGCAGACACACTGTCCTGAAGCTTTGGTATTAAACTAACCTGAACATCAGCCTTACTGACACACTGTGCTAAAGCTTTGGTATCAAACTAACCTGAACAATAGCCTTGCAGACACACTGTCCTGAAGCTTTGGTATCAAACTAACCTGAACATTAGCCTTGCAGACACACTGTCCTGAAGCTTTGGTATCAAACTAACCTGAACATTAGCCTTGCAGACACACTGTCCTGAAGCTTTGGTATTAAACTAACCTGAACATTAGCCTTGCAGACACACTGTCCTGAAGCTTTGTCACATGGTGCTCCTGGCTCTGTACCTGCATCATCACAATCACACTCAGAACAGCCATCAGCTGCTAACCCATAGAAACCATCCCGACATTCATCACAAGTTCTGCCCTGGCTGGACGGTCTACACTGGCACTGCCCATTGGATGGATCACAGTAGATACTGGTGGAACCATCAGAGTTACAGCCACATGGCAGGCAACCAAACAGATTAGAAGCAGCAAGGTTGTAGAATCCAAAGTTGCAACGGTCACACTTGTCACCTGAGGAGAGATTAAACAATCACATTTCAACCAACTCCTTCACTTTTGTGCATTCATTATTTGCGTTTTATATGATACATCTCCTGCACATCTCTCAAAAACTTGATAAATTGAATGGTTTATTAAGAATACTGAACATGGCAGCCCATATGCTGAATTAGCTTCAGTTTACAATAACAAAACAAAAAAGTACAAAAAAGTACAATTTTTGAATAATTATTACATAACGAGAAAACATGCAACTGCAAAAACTATTGGTAATTAAAAGTTGTCACTCCTTAACATGATGATGATGAATAACTTGAATTACTAGAATGGGACAGTTGGAAACTCTATACAAGATGGACATGTTTCAACAAGCATAAAACTGACCATATTTTTTTCTGTTTTTATGAGAAATTGGCAAAGTTGGATATGATATCTCATGGTACAGGACTGGAATACTATATGATTATATTCAATAATATATGTATTACTATACCAGCTACTGACAAGTATGGAGATTACTACTCTCTATACATGTAGATTACTAATTGAAAACTTAGGATCATATTAAACTTTATATACCTCATACACAGATTGTCATTCACTGATTGGTCAAAACTATATCACATGTCAAGGAGCATTTCGATCTATCAAGTATCATTACGTCAGAGGGTTTGATAGCTACTATCAAACCCTGGGATAGGACCCCTAACCCCTTCCGCGACTTTAATAGTTGCGCACACAAATTTTTGGAGTTGCTAGGCTACCGCAATCGCGCGGTCACGCGCAGCGCGTAGGAATTAAATACTCTTGCCTTGGACTTGATGTTGGATTTTTCTTATTCTGGTGAGTAAATTCCTCTTGATCTCGTTTCCTGTTTTTAGAGCTAGATCTAGACCTACAGCTAGACCTAATCATGAATCAATAAAAAGGATGAGGTATATAAAACAAATATGGACTGCTCTGTAATCGGATGATGGTGGGAACTACCACTCCCTCGGTGGTGTTCACACCGGGCCGGTGAGAACACCACCTTGGGAGTGATAGTTCTCACCATCATCCTCATGAGCAGTCAATATTTGTATAATATGGACCTTTGACAGCGCACAGTCGAAAATGATGCCTCCGCCATTGAGCCATTTTACAAACCAAAACAGAAGCAATTTTTAAAATTCAAGTTTGATTGTAATCCATTAACAGGTTCTCAGAATATCGTAATTGCGGTACAAGCTATTTTTCATATACATATGACCCTTTGATCTTTGACCTCATGACCCTAAAATCTACTGAGTTCATTGGCTCTGCAAGATACATTTTTTGAGTTTGATGGTAATCTGTCAATCAGTTCTAATGTGATCATGAGCTATTTTTGCATAGATAATGAGCCCTGTTACCTTTGACCGTGTAACAATCAAAAGATTACAAACATGACATAAGTTTGGCAGGAATCAATCAATTGTTTTTTGAGATAACAAGATCACGAGAACGGGATGCACAGATACACGGACGGAAGGACGGACAACCCGGAAAAAAAACACTTGATACAGATTAACATAATAGAAAATGATCATGTTCGACTTGGAGAGTAGTTCCTGTAAATGTACTGTTACCATAATAATAAACAAAGCTACAACAAATTTAGTATATGGAAAACTTTGACAACTTTTTACTGACCTATGACATTATCTTTGCAGTTACAGAGTCCAGTTTGTTGATGACATGAGATATCAGAGTTGATTGTTCCAGCTGAGATACATCCGCATGGCTCACAACCATTAGGGTTTGAAGCATCTAGGTTATAGTAACCATTCTGACAGGTATCACATGACCTACCTGATGTATACGTCTTGCAATTACACTGACCATTCACCTTCAAAGAGATCAAAATTAACATTGTTTACGTCAACAATAGTCAAAGGCAACAGGCATTTGAAACGACCCACATTATTACATCCAATATTGTTAGACAAGGAGATGCTTGTCCTTCTCAAGACGTTCATGTAAATAAAATAAAAGTTGTATCATGATAGAGAATCACTTAAAGCTTCATAATTGAAAACATTTCTCACAAAATCATATGTGTGATACATTATCATCAACTTTGTGGCATCAACATCTAAGTTCGATGACTTTATTCCTGAAATTTGTTAGATTCCTTTTAATTAATTGGAAGTATCATTTTTGCTTGAAGTGAGCAGCCAAATATTAAGCACTCAAATCTTTCATGAAAAAGGGATTGTACCAGCTATCAATTTACTACATGTAGGTGGGACAAAAACACACAGCTGTAGAGAAAATGCATCATCTTAAATGAAACAAGCACATAGGGTAATTTGAATTCATACCCTTGTGATTGGAAGTCACATGGACAAACCACAAAACCATGGTGTTCCTTCCAATACATTATCTCAGATGGCACAAGCATCTAGCCATGATATGAACTAATGACCTTGTGACTGGAAGTCATGGGGATCGACATACCACTAGACCATGTTACATCTTCTAATCCTACCTCTTCACACATGAGATCGCCTGCTACCGTGCCATTGGGAGAACATTCACACGGGTTGCAGATATCAGTAGAGTCCAATGGTACACCATCCAGCTTGAAGAACCCTTCTACACATTGGTCACATTGCTGACCATTGGTGTTGTCTTGGCAGTTGGAACACACCCCTCCTCCTCCCCTGGAATGATAATCAGCATAAATATTCTGATGCACCAATACAATTTTAAAGTGATGAAAATGATATACTTTTCTTGATTTTATATGCATCTAAATGCAATACCACTATCAGGCCTTAAATTTCGTCATTTTTAGGGCAAGGCCAGTTTGGCCTTGAGTACCTCATATTTTTAAGGGCACCAAGGCCAAAATATTTTTACAAAAAGGGCATCGAGGCCAAAATATTTTACAAAAAGGGCATCGAGTATGAGGCCAAAAAAATTGATTCTATTTTTGTTAGATGTCATGTGTATTTTATGAAACTTGTGCGGGATCAATTTCCCATGACTTTTAGCACCAGCTTCTTCACAGAATGTATAGAGGTCTACGGTACATACAAACGAGGCGGCGGCCCGCAAGCCTTAGATTTAGCAGCCAGGAGCAAGGGGCAATTTTTTTTTTAAGTTGCCCTTTGCCACGGGAATTTACCAGAGCAAGGGGCAATTTTCCAAAAAGAGATAGGCCCCCTTATCTAATCATAAGTTCAAAGAGAGTCTACAAATGTTAATTTCATAATGTGAATAGATCGAACGATCAATTTAATAACTTTTTAATCTTAACAATATGAACAGGAAAGATTGATTAAGAACATCAAACTTGCACATTAAACAGTATTTTAAAGTAACTAAAAATATTGATGAGCAAATGAATAAATAAATTGTCAATTTCACAAACACGAAAGTCAGAAGGACTTGGCAAGTTTACCGGGCCGGGTATCCCAAATCAAAATCGCACCTCACACACAAACCTTCCGCCACTCTCTCGGTAGTAGGAACAAATTTGAAGAAATTATCTTTTTAACTGTTGTATAGAAAGGTCTAGATAGGCCTAACTAATGAAATAAGATGTAAAAATGTCCTTATAGACGTTCGACAGCTGAAAGTGACACGCTCAGCTCAGTTGCGTAACGTGCATTCACGAAACCAAAATCGTTCCCGCACACACACTCTCGCCACTTTTGGTGGGAAGCTGTCGGGCTGGAAGTTTGCCAGCGAAACCGATGCACCCTCGGAGATTCGCAGCGCGTAATTTTACCGGGACTCGAAACGTTCGTCTTGGGAAGCTGGCGGGGTAGCTTTTTGAAGCGAGGTCGGCTGGTGGCAAAATGAGAGTAACTACGATCGAGAACATCGTAGGTGTTCTTAACTTATTAATAAGATAATTCTAAATTCTATTTGAGATAAAATAATAAACTAGACCAACAAACAAACCTCGACAGATCTCTAATGACTATTTGAATGCTTGTTTATTTCTCCATTTGACGATTTGTTTTCTTGATCCTGGCCTTCGATTTGTACGTACGTACGTGCGTGCGTCAACAGCATGCACCATATGCATATCATGCGATCGCGTGATTGTACGTGCGCTAGCGCTAGCGCATTGCCTATATAATAACAAAGGGCGCATTTTCACGGCACTTGCGCCTTATTAAAGCACTAAATACGAAGCTAGAAGAGAGCTCGTGGGCGGCAGACTGTTCGTGATTCGTGTATTTTTACTGTTCTAATAATTTATGGGCGCATTTTCACGGAAAACACTTGCGCCTTGCCGTCTAGTTTTAGATGATTATGGGCGCAATTGGTGGTTTTATGTGCGCAAATTTAAAAAAAAAGGGCACGTCCAGTTGGAAAAAAAGGCACGTCGGCCAGTTTGAAAAAAAGGGCACGGCCTTTTTGGCCGTGAATTTATCTTTTTTTGGGAGGGCACCGCGGCCAGTCATAGGGGCATCGACGGCCTGGCCGTCGATGGCCGTCGATTAATTTAAGGCCTGCACTATGATGTTTCCAAACACATTGTAAATATGTTAGTACCCATAGCATTCTACAATTTACAAATATGACTACCGGTAGTCAAAACTGCAGGATTAATTTGACTATTTCAAACAAATCATGACAAATAACTATGTCCCAAACATAATAATTTTGACTTAATAGCAAGCTGCTTTCAGTTAAAATTTGTGAGATTGCCAAATATGCAGAGAATAAGATACACTCTAATTAGCAGGTTAAGTCTGTTAAACCCAATTATATTAGAAACCCATTATGTTTGAAACCCAATTATATTAGAAACCCATTATGTTTGAAACCCAATTATATTAGAAACCCATTATGTTTGAAACCCATTATATTAGAAACCCATTATGTTTGAAGCCCATTATACTTGGAACCCATTATGTTTCTCCAACATTTTTTAAATAATTTTACAAGTAAACAGCACAATTAAGACTAGAGATTTAAACTGCTTCTGTAAATAAATAAAACTACAATAGCCATCAAATGTATGAGTTTTTCCACCTCCAAATTGATTTCAGAAAAAGATTGAACTCGACATTCTTACCTGTCATGGCGGTCTGGGGATACGTCTAAGGTTTCATTATAGAAACAGCTGGAGGCATGTCCATAGCATTGGCACGGTTTACAGTTGTATGCATTGATTTGATCACCATGACGAAATGGCTTGTCATTGTACAGAGGTAGACATTCCCCACACTGAGTTGAGAGATAAAGTAGAACACGAACATTAACAATATTTTCATTTATCCAAGAAAGCATCATCAGCTTCAATTCTGTTCTCCATGCTGTTCTGCCATGTAATTATCATCACCTCAACAATTGACAGGTACCCATTTAAAGGCAGAGTATTCTAGTGATGCTAATGTACTTTAGATTTACATGCATGTATACTGCCATCTTCTGCTCACAATGTCTCCAAGTGTTGACAGCCATGTCCTACATTTACATTACCAACTGATGACATGTGTGTGTGTATGTGTGTGATGATGCTTGTGTACAAGACCCGGAAATCGCTCTATGTAGTTAAAACTACATTACACCGGTGGAAGCGATGTCGGTAAAAATACCCTGCCTTTTAACCTGTGTGGAGAGTAGCAAATGTGGTTCCTTGCCAAAGGATGTTAGTGTCGGGCTGGGTATCAAATGCATGAACCACTAGCTATTACACACCTCCTAAACTATTAACACATGGTCCAACTGCTTATCAAATGACACTCTCATACATCCTGAATCTAACACTCTGCATCATTAATGTTCGATCAGAGTCCCTTGTATTAAACACCATGAGAAAAGCATCCCAAATACTTAACAAAACTAATATCTGTGTTCCTCCTAAAGTAGGCCTATTTTGGATGATCTATCTATGTACATGTATGCTACAATAATTTGTAAACCAAATGTTAAAACTATTGACACAATTTATCACAAACAATAAACTTTACTCAAGGAAGCCAAGCCATGAGATGAAGTGCCATTTTCAAATGAACTTTAGATGAACTTAAATGAACATCTTTTTCAATGTCAGTTGATTGAATTTAGTCACACAAATTATATAGGAAGGATAATTGTATAGACGTGACAACACACTTAAAGGTTGGCACTTCTTACTACTTGTTTGCTTGAATACCTTTTATATTCATGCAGTTTGCATCATATTGTTCCATTTTGAGGACAAATAATAGCTTTCTGAAATATTGGCTGTTCCAATCATTATGATAATGCTAATTACACTTCATTTATAATTAATTTAATGAATGGTTTTGACTTTCTGGTTACATTGAAGTTTGCTGGTTTAATTTTCTATTCAGATCAGAAGGAGATTCTATCTCCCACTAGTTGAAAGGAGCTAGCAGCAAGACAAATACTGATTGAACGAGGTCAAGATTCATCTGGTCAGTACTATCCAAACATCATCAATCAACTTGATATGAAACTAAATCCACTCTTAAACCACTCCAAACAAATGACACATCCTATAGACTCCAGCTGTTTTCATATGACACTCTCATAAATCCTAGACCCACTCATACAGCATAATGTCTCTAGGCTCCCACTATGCCCCACCCCCACACTCCTTGGTGACAACTTGGTCCATATTTTCTCCATAATTCATATTTTATCCAAGTCCCTCAGGCAATTCACAATGCAGCATCTCAAAACTTTTCTTCTTCAGGATGATTTTCAAGAGATTCATAAGTTTCAAAGAAATACACACTTTAGCATGAACCCATGGAGAGATGAGATATAAACATGTCTTGGACCCTTTTTTATTTTTAAGGGCAGCTGGCATTTTAGATTTCTCCTAAACATTAGCACTGAAATCTAATATTTTATGAAAAAGAACATCTTGCCTTCCTTTAAAATTCAAAACCAGCTGCCGAATTAAAAAGTTTTGTATAGGCCTATGTAACTTTCCTCACAGGATCACTAATATCTATGAAGACTGGAATACACTTTCGTCAAATTGTTGGCACACTAATACTCGTTTCACACTAGTTTTGCTTAACCCCGTACTTTGCTTAGCCCCATACTATCCTTAACCCGGACTAACTTTTTTGGCTTTTCACACACGCTTTTTTAGTCCTGTACTAAGCGCCTATCCCGGAATAAGAAAATTCCTGCTCAGGGTTCTCACTGCAATTTGATAGCCCTATACTAGCTGTATAGCGTGAATATTCATTAATTCGCTCCATTGCGTAGTACCAGACCTTTTTTCGTTTCTGTTCTCAGTCATTTACTTGCCACCGCAAGGGCCAGCTAACCCTGTACTATAGGTGGGGCTAGCATACTTTGGTAAATACGTGTCTGAACAGAAAGTTGAATAAGATTAACCCCGGACTAAAGGTGGGGCTAAGACCCCCTTTTAACCTCACCTACATGTATAGTCCGGGTTAAGCAAAATTTTGCCATTGCAAAAAGTATTAAGAGTAAATACTCAAAGGTCTGGATATGCGTCAGGTCAATTTTTTCAATTCAAAATCATAACAAGAGTGGATAAATTGCTCTACATGTATCAGAAACACATATTTGGATTCGCAAAAATGATGAAACTTTGAAAAATTGCAGCCTTCTGCTTCAGCACATTTTTTTTTCCACATCAAGAAAAATATTATGATCAGTTCAGAACGATATTCATTTCCAAGTATAAAAAATCACAAGATGTTGAACTTCTGACCTATATATAAACAAAACAATGAAAACATGTGAATCTGCACGTATGTCAGTTAAAAACAGGTTAATGTTTTCTCTGTTTTATAGGCATACATTAAAGCAACTGATTAGACATTGTATTAAGCGCTTTATAAATGTAATTTATTATTATTATTATTATTATTATTAACAAATATTTCATAAAAGAAGGAAAATGTGTATCTTGACATGCCAACTTGCAATTTTCATGACACAAAGCCTGTTCTCATATCTAAAATACTTCTATAAGTTGCTTCTGTCTGTCTCTCTCTCTCTTTCTTCTCTCTTTCGCTCTCTCTATCTATTGTTCTGTCTCTCGCTCTTTTCTTTCTCCCCCCCCCCCCTCTGCTCTTTCTCACTGACTCTATGTCCTGCCTCTCTTTTGATCTATCTTTTTTCTCCCCCCCCCCTCTCTCTCTCTCTCTCTCTCTTTCTCTCTCCCTCTTCTTTCTTTCACTCTCTCTATCTACCATTCTGTCTCTCACTTTTTTCTTTCTCTCTTTGCATGTCTCTCTTCTCCTCTCCACCCCATCCCCTCTCCCTCTCTCTCTCTATCTCTCTCCGTCATTTTTCTCCATAAAGCATACCCAATTTTCAAGATCTTTCAAGATCTTTCAAGACCCACCCAACCCTTTATCTCTCACCTTACTAGATTTTCTTGATATTTACATGACCAAAATCATTATTCATATACTGTACCACCCCAACATATGGTTTCAGCAGTTATCTCCAATCTTGCTTTGGTTGTAGGAAGGTTTGTTTGTTCTACCGACATAACCCAGATGGAGAGAAGTGATTTAATGCTCTCTCTCAAAAAAAACTTTATAAGTTCAGTAGGGTATGCGCTCATAGACAACTTTCATTGATGAAATACCGGCATGTTTATCCTTTAAATGAGTCCCATGTGAGAACTGTTCAGAAGAGTCTAGAGGTAAACACCTTAATGTGTTCGCTTCATCTATAATTTCTCTTGTTTTCAAAACTAGTCTTTTTTAAGAGTTGATGACAAGACACATCTGTCAGTCTTCGTCCCTTCTTCTTCTTCTTCATCTTTAGTCTGTATTTGTAAATGTATTTGACTCCTGCCCCCAATACAAACTGGACGCCCACTGACTGTCAAAACTCAAAATTTATTGGACCCATTAGCAGGAAACTTGCCAAAATCTGACTTAAAGCAATACATCATACTAAAGCTATTTTCTTGAAAACATATTCTAGAAATAGGAATTAACTTTCTCTCATACGTTGTACAAATATCCTGTAATAAACAATGTGATTTGATTTCATTCATAGTAAAGCATGTTTCATTAAAGATATACAGTGTAGATATGTGAAAGAAAGATATACAAATATGACAAAGTACATGTACTTCATATGAAATACTTTACAACATGGTCAGCACAAAAACCAAAGTGATCATGAAGTGCCTCAAAAAAGTATAAATCTTTGAGTGACAGGTTTTTACCATACTCAGGATTCCTGACTGACCTCAAGGTTTATAATTATCATTGCAGCATGAGCTAAATCCAGGATTTTGTTTCAGAATCAGAGGCAATGTTACAGAGTCACTTTAATTTTGTATGCACATTATGGTATTTCTCCAATAAGCTCTGATGTCTTAGCTTCTTATTCTTCTAATACCTACAAATGTACAATAACTGTTAAACTGAATTGAATCGAGTTGAACAAAGATTTTTGTTACACGGTCATGAAAAATAAAGAGGATGATAAAACTTACATCAATTCTTGTTGTGAAGCTTGAAGCGAGACAGTTACAGATGTACGGGTCCGTTGTAATATCACATGTGTCTGCATGGCCGTTACAATCACATCTGAACAGAAACATACAAAGTCAATCAAAATATCATATGTGTCTGCATGACCGACAATCACATCTGAATAGAAACATACAAAGTCAATCATAATATCATATGTGTCTGCATGACCGTTACAATCACATCTGAACAGAAACATACAAAGTCAATCATAATATCATATGTGTCTGCATGACCGTTACAATCACATCTGAATAGAAACATACAAAGTCAATCATAATATCACATGTGTCTGCATGGCCGTTACAATCACATCTGAACAGAAACATACAAAGTCAATCATAATATCATATGTGTCTGCATGACCGTTACAATCACATCTGAATAGAAACATACAAAGTCAATCATAATATCATATGTATCTGCATGACCGTTACAATCACATCTGAACAGAAACATACAAAGTCAATAAAAATATCACATGTGTCTGCATGACCGTTACAATCACATCTGAATCAAAATAAAGCATTCACAAGAAAACATACAACAAATTATAAAAGAACATAACATCACAGTTATTAACAAGAGAGAAAACAAACAATGATAAATCAAACTTATCAAAAAACACATGCCTTTGAGAATAGTTTCAAAAGTTAGATAAAACTTACAGCATAAACACCTCCATTAGATCTACATAATATTTTGAAGAATTCATGTTTGATTTCATAATAATCATGAAGATTTTCATCTTCTTCATATATTTTACTCTATTTCTCTTGCCTTTCTCTTCCCGAATGCTGTTCTTTGATCATCATATTCATTTATTTACATGTACCTTAATTATCCTACCTCCAGTATTAACACACACAATGTTTGCTCCTTCATGTTTGGCTTATTCCATGAGGTACAGGGCACAACATGTGAGGATCACAATGTCCATGCTGCTATGAGATCTTCTTGATGAAATCATCAGCTGAACATGTTTATGCCATAACTATACATGTACATGTACATACAATTACATGCAGTAGTGCCCTGTCCGAATCATTCCTATTTTGGTAGTTTCTCTTAAAAACATTTGCTTAATATACATTTCTTTTTCTCTAGTGTTACATGGACATCACTTTATATAACAAATTACATAAACTTGGGTTTATAATATTGACTAAACCATAAAGCTACAATACTTTCAAACATTGGCTATGCTTTTTATGCTACCGTAAATCTCCATGTATAAAGCGCACCCCTATTTTTTTTTTTTTTTTTTTTTTTTTTTTTTGTTTTGTTGCCGAAAACCCACGCGGGGAAGTACTTTCATTTAACATCGAGGTGCAGTTGAAGGCGCCGATTTGTGCTTGTGAACTTGTCACAAATAATAGTAACAATGTCGTTTTTAGAAGAATGTGTAAGATCAATTTTGAGTGTTGTATATATGACTTACCTTGCACTGATTGTAAGTTCCTCAATGCCATAGTACATGTGTCTAGCAGAGGAGGGGTTGACATGGTAATGACCATCCATCACGATGCGAACCTCTTTAGCTCTCACAAACTCCAGGAGAGCAGGTGTGTTGTAGAAATCATTGTATCCTGGTCGGGCTACTGGCTCTGGGGCTAGCAACTGGAAAGTGATGTTGCCCTTAGAGTATGGGATGTCACTAGAATTAAAGTTAATGAACATATTGATAAATTCAGTATGTGCTTAAAAACAAAGCTCATAAAAATACATACAGCTGTATAGTAATATAACATACAACTATTTTATTAATCATCTTCAAATCCCCTCACGGTGCTTCCGGACTTCATGATCTGGATGATGACACAATCAGTTGGCTTAATAAGGATCTTCCTATCTAGATGATTTACTCCCTGATATTCTTTGTACGAACGAATGAACGAACGAACGAACAAACGAACATACAAAGAGAATCATTTTTTATATATCACAATATCATAATTATAATAATAAATAAGATTTGCAAGGCACAAACTCCACTTGAAATGAAATGCTCAAGGCGTACTTGTGCAAAAAATGAAATCCTATGTAAGCATCTGCATTATACATAAAAGAACAACAGGATTAAGATAGAACATACAAAAATGAAAGATAGCAATTTTATGCTCAATCAAACAGATACATTTTAAGATTATTTTTGTACACTTTTACTGATCTGCTCTTACAAGTGTATAGAACCATAATACATTTACATGTATATGATGGTGCTCTATAATAAAAGAGCATTTCATGACCAGTTTGATTACTTCTGACAGGCAAAATGGACCATTTTGTAAGGTTTCGTATGGCATTCAGTCTGTTTTAGACTATGAATCAAGTTCTTTTTTTCTTCTTGACTCTACATGCATATAAGCTGCCTAACAGCATGATACAACTTACTGCTGATGAGTCTGAAATCTTATGGGAAAACAAGTATCAAATGCTTCATACCTTGGGAACTGAATGCAGTTGACTGAAGTAGGTGTGTCTAGTTCTCCATTATTATCCAATCCAAACGCATTCTGACAGTCCTGGGCATAGTATTGCCATACCTGCCAAGGAGTGGAGGCATCACTACGATAAGAGATAGTCAGGTCTGTAGACTGTGGGCTGTAGAACTGAAGTACAACATAGAACACCTGCAAGAAAGAGAAAGATAGAGATCAAATGAGAAAGTGACATTTTCTATCTCTCCAAGACTCAAAGGTATAGACCTCCTTTAAAGCAAAATTAAAATGTAATGTTTTGCATTTACCAAAATAACAATAGATCGACCAAGGGAAAGATGCTTGAACAAATTAGAAATGTCCAAGTATTTTGCTAAAAGCACTTCGTCTTGACTCAACATAATTTAAACAAAATTCTGTGCTCTTCATTAAACATGAATTTTTAATTTAAAAGATAATTGTGATTCATTTTTTCTATTAGTGTAAAAACAGGTGATATTTCGCACAGAGTTGGCAAAATATACCTCATGCTAATTATCTAAACTCTACTGCAGTAAAATCTGTTTGCCTTATTTGAGTCATGAAAACAGATATAGTGTTAAATCTTCCAAGCAAGGGAAAATGTGGAAGAAGAAGAATGTTACCTGATACACTCTGCTCCCTAGATCAATGTCGACTGTGATACTGTTACCACCAGTGAGAGTAGATACCCAGTAGCTTCCTAGATCACCATCATTAGCAAACTCTAAGGGATGACTATCCTGGTTCAGACGACTTATCTGGTCTACTGTCGTGTCTGCTTCCCCATTCTTCAAACAATACCTGGAGTAAAAGCAAGTATTTTTGATCAAACTCACATGAGATATGTTTTGAATGTATACCGCGCACGCCTCATATTACATCTGCTTTCACTAGCGACCACCTGTATAGAAAGACCATCTGTCTATAAAGACAACATTTAAAAAATTTCCCTTATATAGAGTTTGCCATCGATACAAAAACATGAGCAGGTACATAAAGGCCACCTGCCTATTAAGACCATTTTCCTTGTCTCCCTTGGCTTGAGCAGCCTATATAGACAGCTAGATTTCACTGCAGGCCTACTTGGGAAAAGGTGGCCTTTTGATTCCATGTAAATGCATCTCAAAAAGAGGATTGGTTCCTAAACTCATTCATTTTCAGGAACCATTGCATCATTTAAATAGATTGTTCCAGTTTTACAAAAGTTTCAGGGAATTAATAATTCATCTAATTACGTGTAGATACCAGTACTCAAGATTGAGGATATAACACCCCTTACATCAAAAGCAAAACAGGTTTTGGTGATTAGCACACTTTAAGAATAAATAAGAAGAGGGATGTATGACTGATGTTGGATTAGGGTTATCGTACCTTTCTTCCAGTGGATTCACTCTTGGATGGCTATCAGGACACCTACAGTCAGACTGGGCATGTACCTTAGGGAACATCTCTGTAGCTAGTTCCTCTAGCTCTCGATTGGTCAAGGTTACCTGGTAGAAATACAGATCCTGCATCCTCCCTACAAACTGGTCCGTTCCTGTCAGATAATAAAACATTAACTACAATTAGCAATGAAAACAAATCTGGATTACAAGTTGTCTACATTACAACAACTACAATATATGACACGATTAAGATAATATCAACTTCACATAAACTTGTAAAATATTCTAGTGTAGCCAGCTGTCTGATTTTTTTTTTGAAACTGGTACACAATTATTGGCTTACATACTGTACACTGTACATGTACATGTAGGCTTCATTTTAATTCTCAAACATAAGCCTGCAGAAAGTAAAGTCTCTGATGCCTATCCCATAATCTTTATCACAACAATATCCCAGATAGATCAAAAATTTATTAACTACATTTACTTAACAATTAAACCCTCCAAGTGATCTTCTGTTAATAATGATTACAGACCAAAAATTGTGTTCATAATTGTGACACAACCCAACAGGTAAAGGCTGTATACATGTATGTGGGGGTATTGGATGTCGGTAGCGCAAATATTTGTAGCATAAAGCAAATTGGACAAGACAGCTTTATCCCCAAGAGATATTGACTCTGAGAGATTGAACAATAGTTGCCATGGCCAGGCCAGGCAGGCTCAAAATCAAGTTACATGAAATTTGGCTTCCTACAATGTATAATGATTGTGTGACCCATGAATTTATACAAGTTATTAATTAGTACATGTACAACATAATATATGCACAAATAATATAATCATGAACAAGAAAACTTATGACTTCACATGCATGTAACAGTTTGCATGTGTACTTTATTTACAGTGTATGTTTTTGGTATAAATATATTTTAAAATTGTTTAAGCTCTTCAAAATATTGCTACAACTGTATGTGTACCGTATTACTTTGTTGTTTTGACTCAGTATTTGCAAGGAAATAAAAAGTGTCATTGCCAGTATTTCTTGAATTCCTGCCCCCCCCCCCCCCCCCCGAAAAAAAAAAATTAAAAAAATAATAATAATAATAACAATAATAATAATGATAATAAAAAAAAAATTAAATAGTAATAATAATAATTTTTTTTTTTTTTTTTTTTTTTTTTTTTTTTTTAAAATAATAATAAAATAAAAAAAAGAATAAATACAAAATTATAAAATGAAAATAATTATATTTTTCCCATCCAGATGGAAAGAATTGTGAAATAGGATTCCTTTTTGGCCCATTCTGTCAAGAAAGACACCCTGACAGACAGTTAAAGACATGTATGCAGGGAGTGGGTGGAAGTAATTCCCTTCTCATCATACTTCTCTCAGGACTAGCTAGCTAGGAGCTGTCATGTACAGGTTTAGGAGACGACTGATGAATGGACTATATATTGATCATCACTTCATCCTAGCTCTCAGGCAATCACTACCCATCAATTGCAGACCCAGGGGGTGGACTTCCTATACATGTAGCTACATGTATGTTCACACGGAACCATTGTATAAAGTTTAAGTTTGTGAAACTCCAAGTTACAAACATTTATAAAAGTTAACACAGGACCAAAACAACAAGCATTCAAAGTTAACTACAAGCTGGGAAAAGCATTCATTTTAACTATGCGTTTTACAGGCAGGCATTATTAACCTCAAAGTTAATTGCGTCCGCAAGACACTTAACTTTGAGTGAGGAGTCTGAAGACCCCTGCTGCATGTAGTTAACGCGCTAAACTTGAGATCCGACGTGGCTTGTAACTTTGAGTGAACTTAAAATTTCAAAACCAAGAGAACATCGCCCAGTCCATAACTACAAGATAACTTTGAGTTCATAAGCTTAAAGGGAAAGTTGAGTTCTGTTGCAGAGGGCGCTACACAAAAAAAAAAAAAAAATTGTGAGATAATGAAAAACTGAGTGTCAAATTTGAAAGAAAATACAATTTAAAAGACAAAATCATCTTTGTTTGATCAAAATCAGTTTAGAGACTGCTGAAATATCCATAAATATAACCATTTCTAATATTTGTGTACCACCACAAATATTAGATAATTTGCAGCCGTTGAAAAAACAAAATAGTGCATTATACGTTTTATTCCAGCCAATGCCGATGTTGGGTTTTTGTTGGCTTTTTTGTGTTGGTTATAATACGCATAACCAGCTGGCCCATGTATTGTTATTATTAATTAATTAATTAATTAACAGTCACCGTATTTTTTGAAAGTAGAGATAAATAAATAATAATAAATAATAATGGGTTCTTGTATAGCGCTTATGTCAATGAATTGGTATGATCGTATTGGCTAAATTTCACACATTTTGGAGTCTAAAATTACCTTCATATAGCAATTTTAGGTCCTAAAGAGCACTATAGAAATGTCATAAATAACAATAAGAGCATAACCATGCACTTTGAAGGCATTTGCGGTCTGAAACAAGAACTGAACTATCCCTTTAACTTCAGGTTAACAGACGTTGTATGAACCTCACTGTATGTGAGTGGGTGGTTATCATTACCAGCTCATAATTCTGTTATCATTTTATGTATCAAAACCATGAGAATGTTTAAGAGACCATATACATGTACAGGGATATGCTATCCATCTGTTGCCTATTAGAAAGTGAAATCTAAAGATGTGCCATAAATTAAGACTTTACTGCATAATTTGTCAGTAATATGATGAAAAAATAATAATCTGCAAGTTGACAATGGAACATATTATAGAAAGAGCCCAGGGAGAGTTCAGGGTGAAGGGTGGGTTGTTGTACCCATGGGGGAAGGCATATTATACATGTAAACGTATGGAAATGAACTATAACCTCTGAACACCAACATCAGAAAAGCTTCCTTTGTGACCCATAAATGATACAACGTTCCTCATCTACATTGTATAGTCCATCCTGTATGCTAAATGTATGTGCATCAGGACCCTGTTTCATAAAACTTGATATCAGTAAAAAGTTATAAGCTACTGAAATCATGGTATCTGATTGGCTGAGAGCAAATTTGTCATAGACATTTAGCCTTTGTACGGTAATTGATAAAAAGTTTTATGAAACAAGAATCCTCCCAAATTAACTTTGAAAGATTTATCCTCATAAAGACTTTTACATTAATCTAAATGGGAGAGATTTTATACTTTTTTGGAGAAAAGTTCTCTTATTATTTCCCTTCCCTTAGCAAACTAATAAACATTTTGTAAACACAAACATTTTCTACTTTAGAAATAATTAGTTTTATTACTGTACCTGTCATCCTCTGGCCGACCCTCATCTGAGCAGTGCTATCATCAGCGATCTCACCTTGGAGATTCATGGTTTCAAATGGTGTCCCATCAACCTCTAAACCATTGATGAAAAAACTTGCCTTGGTTCCAAACACCTACAATACACAATGGAAGATAATAGTAAGATAATATCTGGTTGGGAGATCATGGTGATCGACCTGTGCATAATGAGCCCATGGGTACTAGCTGGCCCTTATAGAAAATTTCATAAACTCTCATTTACTTAATTAGTTATTGATGACAGAATAGATTTGTTTCATACAGGGGTTATTATATTTGCATTAATTATATTTAGGGTGAATGTATGATTGAAAATGTTCAAGAAAATATAGACTTTTGAAGTATTTTAATACAGGTCAAATTGAAGGGGACCTTGTGAGATATGTCACAGCTAGAATTACCAATTTGTGTTTTATTGATTGCACCTTCAAAAGCTCATAACTTTCTCTTTTTGCTATAACTTTCACTGACCTGTTTGAATGTTTCTCTTATTTTTCTACTTCTATGAAACTATAACCTAACATATGGGTGGATTTTCCCTTTAAATTTTGGTTAATGACACACCCAGTCAGGTTATTTGTTCAGGTGGGGGGGGTGGGGGCACCATGAATACCAGAGATATACAGTGACAGTATAGTTTTCTTTATGTTAATAGCAGTTACATTTAATATATTCTGCTGCCTCATATGAAAGAAGATAAATAAAGACATATTTCAACAGTTACTAAAATGGTCATGTGTATTGTGTAAAATGGTTAAACTACAAAAAGAAATAGATACAGTTATCCAAACAATTCAACAGACAGAATTTGCAAAATTATATGAATTTGTATTTATATCCATATACATATCTCCACGATTAACTGTACAAGTGCATATATCTTTTCCCTCCCAGATCTCCATACACATGTAGGTACATGTAGAGCTGTATGATGCTTGTTTGTAATTTCTGTGTTTAAATGGGAGCTAGAAAAGAAAGTCAATTTCTCACATCCCAGCTGTTGCCCTTTCCCTGTTACTCAAAGTAAACAGAAAAATTGATTACGGCTCTCTCTAGGACAACAAATACTACATGTCTTTTGAACAGAATAAAGTAGATCATGCATACATAAAGTAAAATGTACACACTACATGCACAATCACAGGATAGTAGAAAACTTACATGTATATCAACCTGCTAGAATGCCCTGATTCAAAACAGATTTAGTAACATTTGGTTTTGATTTAGACAAAGAAAATGTTGCAAAAACTCTATTGTGCAGAATTTTTTTATATGAAACATATACTTTTATTTATATTGTTCATATTTTTGTGTAAAGTACCAATAAACTAAATGAGAGTACTTACATGTTTGGGTATATACACACAATGTACATGTACAAACTATTGTACATAGAAAGCAGATTTATTTTTAATATTCTATTCAAATTATACATTATATTTCTTTAAAAATATGGGGAAAAGAGGAATCAAATCCTGTAACTTGCCTGTATGGCAACATGCTGCCATTGGCTGACTTGAACGCCAGTTTGAATTTGGAGAAATTTAGCGCCCTCTGCAGTCCGATAATCAAAGGTGATAGAAGAGGATGATACCACAAGTGCATAGATGATTTCATTGGTTGATGACCTCCTCTCTAAAATAGTACTGTAAAGAAAATCAAAGAAACACTGATAAATATACCCTGTAGTTTGATCATTATCATAAACTGCTTTGACCGGACTTTCCGCATGAGAAAATAAAAGACTTTTTCAAGCTACACCTGTGTTCTTCTCCAAAACATTCAAACCCTTTTCTATCCACGTGGCATTACACGAGCACAAAAATATATATCCATATATTTTGATAAAAATAAGGACATTCTAATTTATATGGTATAGGAATGAGTGGGGAAAAAACATATCGGTACCTGTATACAATGTAGGCTATAGAAATATGAGTTTGGATTTGATTTATTAAGCCTTGTTGTATGAAAAAAAAATAGAACAAAATTTTTGTATAGATCTCTAATTCTTCAAACACACGCCCCCCCCCCCCTATTTAAAAAAAATATATATTATTTTTAAAATGTTGCATACATCTATGCATCCCAACCTTCCACAACACAAAATTAGGAACATTGTATTGAAGTTCTGTGTGCTTTTATGTACATGTAGAAGTTTCCAGAAGAAAGAAGGGAATCTGCAGTTCACAACAGTTTGAATGCAAAGATTAGTTCTTCCTCTATTAAAATAGGAATGGTTGGCAGGTACTGTAGATGTACACTGTACAGGTACATGTACATGTATGTACACCAGTCATCAACTTTACATGACTTAAAGATAGACAATCAAAGAAAGACAGTGCCCGAGATGAGGGTATTTATTTGTGATAATATATACATTTAACTATCCCACAAGGTCTGTTAGAAACATTCATACTCCCAGAAATACATATAGAACAGTCTTGTTTCAACAAAACACTCATTTTACCCGTCCCAATCTCTGGAACAATTTAAATGATTGTATTAAAATATGCCCTTTACTCTCTACATTCACTTGTACTATAAAGAAAATACAATACAATTGATAGCACAAACGTTTTTTTTTCTTCTCAGTATCGTTCGTTTGATATTTTACTTCTTCTTTATTCCTGTCTCCTCTATCTCTTTATTGTTCTTGGTATATTATGATTAGTATGTAATTTGTACAGTATGTACATGTATCATGTCTGTTTTGTTATGGCCACTCCTCTACAAGCCCTGTTCTCAGTTATAGGGACTTTTGCCTCCAGTCTGCAATGTAAATTATATTTATTTCATGATACATATATATGTTCACTTATTTTTGTAAAGGAAATAAACATATTGAATTGAATTGAATATCTTGATGGGGGACATCATAGTGAATGACATTTTTACATTACAAATCAACATTGACTCAGATATCACCATTTTTAACAATTTTCCCATAAAAACTCAAATGTGCTGCAAATTCACATCATCGTGATTATTCAACTTCACTCTAACATTCCTACATGTTTCCTGTATAGTCTACAGGATTCCACGCTCTACTTGCTTCAGTGACACAAGCTTTCATCACCATGAGTGATAACATTTAGATTTATAGCTCCTCATTGATAAACGCACATTGTTTAACAGTTTTCATCCATCATCAATCTACACATTTCAATAACCTCCTCTGACTTGTGTTGATCGAGTGGTGGTTCTCTGTATGACATCTTGCATGTCAGCATGAAATCTACAAGAACTTTAGATAATATATTTCCTAACTTTCCTATAAGGCAACATTTGTACATGCTGTACAATGTACATTAAGACCTCCATCTTTATAGTTATGAAAATTTAAATGAACAACTGCCAATTAACATGTGTGTATAATCATGACTTAATCTATTCTCTCCTTGATCTACAATGTACAATGTATAGTTAAGATACTTTTTACCGTAGCTACATGTAAAAGTCTGAAAGATGTTGACACTTGAGACATTGTAGACAGTGATGATTTTAAGGACTTCAAGTTTCGATAAGCAGACAAAATTGTTCAGACTCTGGATAATTTTCTAAAGCTCAAACTTGCGTCTTCACCAGACTGATATACGCTCATCACAAACTAGCTTGGACGAGCGAAAATTAGCCTGCTACATGTATGTCCCTCAGCTGATGGTCCTTCAGCTGATAACAGTTGGTAATCATCTTAATTTTTCGTTTAGATCTTCATCATCTGCTCGATTAATTTAATATTTATTTAGTCTTATGATCTTATCTTCCCAAAATTAACATTATAACTTACTTTTTTCCGGTCATGATTTGGATCGATCCTGCTTTTTCTTCTTCTTCTTCCTTCCCCCTTTTCCTTCTTATCTGTTTTACTTCTCCTTGTTCGTTTCGTGTTTGTAAATTGTATGTTGTTTTGAAATATTGTCTTGTGTTTTCTAAGTCTTTGTAGGCAAAATTTGAAACATTTGTATTTTTATTTTTTCTGGGGGATCCACAAACTACAAGCACTGCTTTTTAGTGGATCCCCCCCCCTCCCCCATTTCCTTAGAAATTAAGAATTTCTTGTAATTATTTTATTATGTGCAAAGTTTATTTGTATTGTTTCTTGAAAAATGAATTATGTATGAAATAAAACGTAATATCTTTGTTTACCTTTCTGTTGAAAATGAAATGAATATGAATATGTATTTCTCAAATAGCAGGCTATTCTGGAAACAAGACCAAGATTTCTCAGGTTATTTTCTCGACCAAATAGCCCCGCTAAATGCAACTGCAGGCTAATGAAGGCGCACATACACATGTAGGGCTAGTTAAAATAGCTGGTTATTTTGCAACTTCGGTTTGATGAAGACTACATGTATCGTCCTTGTTTTCACGAAGTGACGGTAGTGAGGAAAATCGTCACGCAAAGTGAATGCAATTTTTTTTCACTACCGTCACTTCGTGTGCTATGAGTGTAAGTCTTTCATTCCTGATTTCATCAGTAATATAAGTAATGTTTGAACGATTGCTTATGATATACATGTAAGCTCAAAGACGTCCTCAAAAACTTTTCTTTTAACAAGGAGAGTGTAGTCAACATGTTCATGTAGTCCCTAAAGTGAAATTTCAAAATACATATGTTGTCTAGACAGGATCAAGTAATTGAAATATTTGGTTTAGACAAGAAGACATGAACATGTATGTTGACTACACTCTCCTTGTTAAAAGAAAAGTTTTTGAGGACGTTAAAGTTAAAAAAAAGTAACACAATGAATCAATGCAGTGCAAATTGTTATACTGTATAAAAAAGAAAGAGATTAAACTTTGCTAGTGAAAGTGATGATAAATGTGGAGCCATAAAACAAAAACATAAAAGCAAACATTAACAAAATTCAATCAATTGACCATCCCAGTAAGTGAAACAAAAGGAACTCTACAACATGGCATCATACACTGTTGTATGCATATATTTTTCTAGAAAGAATAGTAGATCATGTAAAGAAACCCTGAGCAACAACGCTATCTGATAGATTTATATTATTAACATTCTACATGTACCTGTAAGTTGACATGTACACATATTTGTTACAGTGCAAATGTAAATACATTGTAAATGACATTAATTTTTTTTTTTTTAAATATATATCCATATTATGTAATCATGGGATTGACCAAATCTAATTTGAACTATTCTACATGTACATGTACTTTGCCTGTCAGTTTTTCTGTAAATACACTTCTGAACGCCAGTAGGTAAATTGGTTTCTGATCAAAAACATGTGACTTGACTTGCTTAATTTTTTTCCCTAGATAATTCTACTTTATTGATTCCTCTTGCAAGTAGGTGTCAAAAACCAATTCTGAAGAAGATTGTGTTTTCATCGCCTTCCATATTTTCTCTCTCTCTCTCTCTCTCTCTCTCTCTCTTTCTGTATCAGCCTTGACATGTTGACCATTCGTTCATAATCAATGTTTATATCTTATTCTTTTATAGATATGAGATGTTATCACAAAAAGAAAGAGCCTGAAAATCTGAGATTATCTTTAGATTAGTATGCTGCTTTAGATCTCACATTCATGCATTCAATCTTCACAGCACACTCTGAACAATTCAAATAAATGGTAGATAAATGTACTATACATGCACTGTACATGTGGACAGTACTTGAGCATAAATTTCCATGTACCGTAAAACATTTAACAATATTTTGTGAACAAATGTTACTGGGCTGTACAATACATGTACTTCCATGATTGTTTGGTTGGTTGTTTTTTCTTAAAGCTGTTGAATGAATTGTAGTACTAGTGTATTGTCTGAGCTTTCAATGAAAACCAATATTGCTGGTGTTTGGAAAAGATGTTAATTAAATACAGTACAGTACATGTACAGGTACCAGTATGACAACATACATGTATGACAACATATGACAGTAACCCTCTTCTTGGCTATCAGCAGATGAAGCAAGTTTCCCAAAGCCTATGATTGATACATTGTAACAATTCACAATGATCTTTGAAAGCATTTTCTTGAAATTAAGCTTCACTTCAAAAGTACAAGTGTATTTGAAATTTTAATGTGATGCTGATAGAAAATATATAGTGACAAATGTACATTTTGAGCTACATAATACGTGTTAGTTTGTGGTGATAATGTGGAATATTAAACTAGTTTTGGATATGACAGTGATATACTAGACTGTTGTTTTGATGATGTACCACACAAAAATTCAAGTTTGAATGCAGAAAAAAAGGGGTTTAACATCTGACTTCAATAGACAGGTATAATCCATTTCAGACCCAGATGAATAGCTGTGTGGTCTTTGCCTGGTGGCCGGTGGATATCCTGCTCGAGGGACAAAGGGCACAGCTAGAATCATTCTGCCATTCATACTTCGCCAGATGTCTACCACAGTACCAGTACTACATGTACATTTAGCATCCACATGTACACTGTACTTCAAGTTTTCTGATAGACAATGCAAGAGAAATTCATAGCCCTGGACATTGACATTTGCCATTTATGACCATGAAGACTGTGCATTCTTTTGTAAATATTGAGCAAAAATTATCAAAACAGTATGATTTATGTATTGTACAGGTGTATGTTCATTCATTTTAAGTGTAGACCAATCTAGACAAAAGTGTTCTCATTTATGTATACACTGAATGGGGCTATACATACTGTACATTGTACATTTCCCCTCTAAAATGCATCTGATTACTCTGTAAACTCAACTTATGTACAAATCTACAATTCTACATAATGTACATTTACATTTGAACAACTGCCAAATAAATTTGGAAAGTTGACCTTGAGTAAAAAAAAAAATATCACAAATTTACATTTACACCTCTTGAACAAATTCAGAAAGTCGAGATTGAGTGAAAATATCATGTACAGGTATTGCCGAGATTGAGAGGGCAAAATAGAAAATGAATTCAAGTGCTGCAGTGAACCGACGGCGGCCATGGCGGGTATACACCTGTACATGTATTAAATGCAATGTTTAAATATTTCTAAATTCTATTTTTTTTCTCTCTTGGTGTTACTGTAAAACTGTGTTATTCAGTGTACATTTAAGAGGCCAGAACAACAATTTCAGTCATTCACATTTTGCACTGTTTGAAACATTTTAAATTTTCTTCTTCATTTTTCAGGTCGGTAATATACAGTGTATAGTCTACCGGTATGTACAATAAATAGAAAATTCATAACAAATTTTTACATTTCAAGATCAACAATATCAGGTAATATTTTTTACCTAAATCAAGCGAACAAAAAATGCAATTTCATGTCTGTTGGAGCATACAGCAAACCTATAATCTAAAGAACACACTTGTATCAGGGGGGTTGATCTATCAAAATACAGTCTAGTATCAAAAAGCCTTTACCATGTTTACATGTCTAATGGCTCCCAGAGTCCAGCATGTCCCTGCCTGACTGCGGATGAAACAGTCAATTATCTGATAGGGGCATGTCCCCTATATAACGATGAAAGGAAAACTTCATCATGAGCCTATCAACTCGCACTCAACATCAATTACAATTAGTTCCTCCTCATCTCGTGGCCGTCGTCATCACAAATCTCATCCTCCTTGGAGTTAACGACGACCCATCCATAACTGCCCAGGCCCTGGATTATCATGCTGCATCCCTAACATTCATCTTAGATATGCACATTAAACGTTCTGTTGTGAACAAAGCAGCTCCTGCATAAGCTGTCATCTTCACGTCTTGCGATCTTTGATATTATATACCCAGTTTTGTATTGTCTCTAGATCTACTATCTATTTACTCATTCTGCGAAGGATACACTCCGCAGTTCTCCAATCCTGGATTAAACCAAGAAGAAGAAGAAGGTACTCTTATTAATAGGCTTAACACTAAACATTAAAGGTTCTGGTTTCACTATGTTGGAACTTGACATGACCATGGTTGACTTTACAGCCTTTCAGTTTCACACGAGGACAATATAAAGAGTGCTTACCCATCAGTGATGACGTCAGGTCGAATCCAGACTGCAAGAGTAAATCTACCATCATTACCAACAGTTGGTACAGCAGGGGCAGAGAAACAATTTGGAGTGCTCCTGAAAATATATGACGGTTCGTTTTGTTCTGAGTTTGGTCTTGTGCTTGCAAAATCTTCTGTAACACAACTACCAGAGCTTAGAAGACCAATGGGTGATGGTAAACTAGTTCTACCTGGGCAAGCTTGATTGCATAAAGCTATTGTACATGACGAAACAGAGGAAGAAATGGTCGAACTTCGACAGAAAGCACTTCTTGCTAAATCCCCAGTCGTCGGGTCGTAGCCGCACGTACCCACCACAGGCTCGGTCGAAATGGGCCGTCCCTCTCCCGCGTTGAATAGGTCCGGGAATGATCCCTGTGCGGCTGCTCTTCCGATAACGCAAATGAACAACCATGAAATAAACGTCGCAAACGACTCCATTTTGATACCTCCAGTCAATCATATATCCGAGTTCACTAATTAACAGACATGGCTTTACAAAGAAGTTAAAGTATATATCAAACTTGAAGAAAAAATGCCGGTCATTGACAAATTACATCCTGAAATTGAAATGATTTATCCTGTACACGTCGCCATGTTCTGGTAACAAGGGACGCCAGCGCTGGAATGGCGTCGTCCGTTAACGTGTTGTGCATGTGTACCGGTTGGTCGCGTAGTGAGTCACACGTTGAAATATGATCCCACCCAGTTGTTATTATTGTTCAACTTTGAAGTCAAGATTCTCAGGATAGTGTCCACTTTACTGTAGGCCCAAACTTTCAGATGGCATTCCAGGTAATAACATTTCAAATGAAATTTGGAGAAAATTATGCCCCATCTCGTAAACAGTAATCGAGGAAATGCACACAAATCATTCAGAGTCTACTCTAATTAAACGGCTCGGCCTATGCGTATACATGACACATGTTACTGTTATGTGTACTTCTACTTCTACTTCTTATATCTATCTTGAATTAGTTCAACGAAATATTAACTTCTTCAAATTTGTTATAGTTTGTTATTCTCAGGCCTCCTGCTAAACTGGAAGAGGGAAAAGATGAAGTTTATAATGTAACGTTATCTTTTGAACGGGGATGTCCATTTTCGAAATTTGGCTTCAAAAGGCTTTTACATGGATGAATGGCGCCGCATAAAAGAGACACCACTTTCAGTTTCACGTTACACCCACGGTTATTAGCTGGCTGGTCCATTGAACATCCTCCCTCTGATGCTTATGTAAATTACAAAACTATTAATCTATAAAGGTATAATCTTGAGTATTTTTTAAACCTGTAATTCACTATAAAATAATAAAGCCAAATACATATTACTAATATTAGCTAATCTTGACAAGTATTTAAGGGTGATATCATATTCTTGCAATGTATTTCTTTATAATGCATAACTCCGGACGGGGAGTGAAATTGATAAGAATAATATCAATAACACATTACGCAACGCCCAAACCTGTTTAATAGTCATTGCTTTTGAAAGCGTTATGTAGGCCGACTCAAGTTGCGTTTATGATAGGGATGCGATAATCACATTGATTTTGCTCTTTGGAGTAAAATAAATTAACAATTGAAGAATAATGTACTTCGATCCTTCCTTTAATTGCGGTTTCCTAGACATTATGAATATGAACCTGTGAAAAATGAAAGTGAAGGAGATGCTGAAACATTCCATAAAAAAAACGGTAGTATTATTCACTGCCTGTAATCTTAAACCTAAAACTGATGGCAGCTGAGCATGCTTTGCTTCTGAATAACTTATGAGAATTCGTACAGGTTAGAAAGCAGGGGCGGCCGAGCGACTTCCAAAGTGGGGGGGGGGGCACCAAGAAAAAAGGGCACTTTCTGGATAAAAAGGGCACCTACAAAGGGAAATCTCACAGCGAAAATATACAATTTTTTAGACATTGGTATATACCCCTACATTGTAATTACAATTATCGGGGATGATTTCAATATTTGTTTCACCTTATACACCATACAAGATATTGCTTTGCAGTTGGGTTTGAATTTCTAAAAAATTGTTTGCGAGCGAGAGAAGTGAGCGAGGAAAAGTTTTAAGATGTGTGAGGTCCGATCGCAGTGCGATAAATTACATCTTACAAAGAGGAAAAACCCAATCCTAATGGGGATATAAGCACATTCTCATAACGAAAGAGTGAAAAGACATTTGATAAGTAACATATTAAAGTATATCATCTGTAGATGCGTGCGAGCGTAGCGAGCGAGCCTTGGGGGAAATTGCTCTTAGTCGCTTGAAATTAGCTAGGGCGCTTTTAATGATGAGAGGAAAGGGGGACCTTATCAAGAAAGAAAAGGAGCATGTGCCAAAGTACAAAGAGTAAATATCACAGGTGAAAATGGGGCACTCCTTACAGGGATGAAAAAGGTGAGTCATAAGAATAGGAAATGGGCATTTGTCGACGGAAAAGAGGCCCCCATCAGATTTTGAACGGGGGATTTATGAAAAGGGGATAGGTCCCTTATTGGAAAGGAAAAGGGGCACGTATCATTGTTAAAAGGGAATTTATCAGAGGTGAAAAGAGGCACTTATCGCATCTGAAAAGGGGCAATGACCAGATATGAATAGGGGCACTTATGTGAATGAAAAGGGGGCACTTGTAATAAAGGAAAATGTGCATTAGTTGTAAGAAAATGGGTACCGATCAGATTTTAAAGGGGCATTTATTAGAGGTGAAGGGGGCATTGATCTAAAGTGAAAAGAAGTAACTTCTCGTACCTGAAAAGGGTCATTTACCAGAGAAGGGGCACTTATGAAAAGGGGGAAGGGGCTGTTTTTTTAATAGGGCACTTATCATTGGGAAAAGGGGCACTTATTAGAAAGGGAAAAGGGCACATGTGAAAATATAAGGTGCGCTTATCCGAGTTAAAATGGGGGTGGTTATTAAGAGAGGAAGGGGCACTTCTTACAAAGGAAAAGGGGCACTTGTCAAAGTAAAAGAGACACCTCTCAGAATTAAATAGGACAATTATCAGAGGTGAAGGGGACACTTATCAAAAGTGAAAAGAGGCACTTCTCGTACCTAACTGGGGGACACTTACTAGAGATTAAAAAGGCCGGGCACTAATGAGAATGGAAAATGGACACTTATTGCAAAGGAAAATGGGAACTTGTTGAAGGAAAAGGGGCACGTGTCCAAATACAAAGGGCACTTATCAGAGTTTAAAAGGGGAAGGGGCACTTTTACAAATTAATAGGGGTACTTGTCAAAAAGGGGCACTATTCCTATGTAAAAAGGGGCACTTCTTAAAAAGTAAAAGGGGCATTTTTCCTATGTAAAAAGGGGCACGCTTCGGGTGCTTGAAAAAGTGGGGGCACTGTGCCCCCCCCTTGCCCCCGCCCCCCCCCCCCCCCGGGAGGGCCGCCTCTGGGTTAGAGTAAATAGAGGATGAGAGTTTACTGCATCGTGGCCCGAATTCACAATTCGGGCCGGTATTTTCGTTGGAAGGGCGCCTGAAAACGACCTTTATGAAATCTGCTTCTAAAATGTCTACTTGAGTGTCTACTCTCAAGTAGACAATGTTTTCAAAACGCTTACTTGTATAGCGCCATCTCAAGATAATGCGTTCCCTACTTCAATTCAGTTTGGCTTCAGTTTGAAATACATGTACCATTGCTACTTGCTAGCCCGGCTTGCTAGACAGAAATCCGAAAGAGGCTATAGAATAATGTGTTTCTTCATACTTCGAACTAAAAGATGGGAAAATTAGCTGATTTTTTTTCTCTCACCGCTTTATTGATTAAGTATTTTATTTTACCCTATATGTTTTAATGTTCTTATCCATCCTAGGTACAGATTTTGCTTTGTGAATCGATCAATTTTAGAATACCCTACCATTAAGAAGCTCATATATATGTCATTCGCGTGGGTGGTTGTCATGACGACAGTCTTGAATGTCTTTATAGACTTCAGTAGCTGATGTTTCTTTATGATCAGGCCCATACAGGTTTGCGAAAACCCGAGCTGTAAGCTGAAAAGGTTTATCGGCTGCACCACAAGAGCCTATACGAGACCGACAGCCTACTAGATCGACTGGACAGGGATGTCCCCACACTTGCAGTCGTTCCTCATGTATGCACTATACCAATTCTATTGCTGAGAATGATGTATCTATCTGAAGATAGCATCCGACCATTTGATTGGTTTGTAAATGATATAGAGATCAGTCATAGATTTATCAGTTTATTATTGTTATTATTTTGTTTCACTACACAATTCGGCCGGGGGCTGTTCTTCAGGGTGTCCACAGAACACGATAACATAGAATACATAACATGCAACAACAAAGAAAAAAACTACATCAAATCAACGTAAATAGTCGGACAGACAATAATTAAATTGAATTTTATTTATTTATTCACCTCCATTGAAAACATTGAAACAAAATATAAATGTACAATGACAATGTCAATATAACAAAAATTGCATGACATGAGTTATAAAATATACATGTTCTACAGCGATATACATGTACATTATGACAAATATAAAGTAAATATTGCTTCAAGAGTAAAACAATAATCCTTGTTTTTACGAAGTGACGGTAGTGAGGAAAATCGTAACGCAAAGTGAATGCAATTTTTTTTCACTACCGTCACTTCGTGAAAACAGCGACGATGACTATTTACAATGAGTTTGTGATCGATGGTAAAATAGAGTAAAATAGTCGAGTCTGACTCCCGTTATCTAAAGCCTAATATAAAGTTAATTGAAACATACATGATGGGTTTCCAAATCCTATAAATAAGATTTGTGTATAATATTAAAATGAGACTGGTTACTATATACAACTATATAGTTACAAGGTTATCATTCGTGGTTTTCACTTAAGAGTAATTTTGTTACGAAAAGAGGTTCTTGATCACTCAATTCTTAGATCAGTAGGAAGCATATTCCAAAAATTACTTCCAACAAACGAAACAGAAGACTTTCCTTGGTCTGTTTTGAATAAAGGAAGACGTAGTTGTCGACCCGTTTTTAGTCTTGTGGAATATTCATGTTGTATCATACTGCAATAATGTTTTAATGAATGAGGTTATCGTTCATTTATCAAATAAAACACAAAATACAAATACAGATAGATCAATCCTACATTAAAGACACATGAGTTTCAGGAAAAACACTCATGCTCTTGTAGAATTAGGTAAGGTGGGGGTATTATTGGCGATTCCATTTTTTGTATGATTCTTTTTTTGTGTGTGTGTAATGTCATGTTTTATCAAATAATGGAGTAGCAATGATAAATAGGCCTATTGCGTTTACTGTATCAAAAATTACTTTAAACCTAAAAGGTAAAATGGAAAAAAGAAGAAAAGAAATACTGCAGAATTCAAGGTGAATTTACAACAAATAAGAAATACAGAGGAAGTATTCTGAAAAGAGTAGGGGCCGATTTATCCGTTATTTAATTCCCATCAAATTGTCAGAATTACTCATATGATTTGCCCCAATAGGAAAAGTATCAACATAATATATATCATAAGACTTACCACTTATCGTTTTATTAACTTTTAAATCTTATTAAAAAAATTATTAAAAAATATAATTATTCATATTATTCCCACATTTTTTGGTACATGACTTCAAAAAAAAAAATCTTGCATTCACTTATGTTCTGTAAAACAACACAATCATGTACCGGGCGAATGAAGATTCCTTGATTTTAAAAAAAATACTATGCGGATGAATGTAGATCTGTAAATTACAGTTTTTAACTTATTCAAGTGAATACGTAAATAATCATAACATTATTCGGAAGTAGTAAAACTAAGAAACGAGGCATCGTCGTTCAAAACAGACAAGGTTTGCTTCGCGGTGGTTCTATCAAGGTCGCAAATAATCGATGTTTGAAGAAGGAACATTATCCTGACGTTTTATTTTTCCTACAAGGCATTTATTTCCACAACATCAACCAATGCTGCGTTTACAAATGATATCAGAGAAAGCGAGAGAGAGAGAGAGAGAGAGAGAGAGAGTTACGCTTTTCAATCGACCCCCCCCCCCCATCTCCCTCTCCCTACACCCACACACATTAATATATATAAGTGTGTGGGTGCACTGAATGCGCGCGTTTGTATCTGTGTGGAAATAGAAATATATATTTCTATTTATATGTATTTTATGTATACTTTTATAAACACAGCCCGATACCTTTTCTTTCATTTTCGTCTCCCACAAGTCATGCATCAATTATAAAGAACCATTAGAAAATCTTCTTTTTGCGATGTATTTTCTAATGGCACGGTGAAAAAGCATCATCCATTACTGTCATCTAAAAGTCCGTTTATTAAAAAAAAATCTAAATGTCTAAACAGAGTCGCGAAAGACAATAAACCGTGTTGTTTACATCTGAAAGTCCGTTCATTCAAAAATACATCTAAATGTGTCAAAAGAGTCGCGAATGACAATAAACTGTGTTGTTTATTCGAGAAGAAGAAGATGCATAAAATCCGTCATAAGGCAGGCTAAAATTACCTTTGCGTTTTATAGGGTTTCACAGCTATTGTGATTATCAAGGGCATAGCACACGAAGCCTTGGTATTACGTCTTTCGTGACGTATGACATCTCATTTTGGAATACTCCTTATTCTGCCGAAGGAAAATGAAACACGTATATTTGGCGTGTTTTCTATTAAAATTAACAAATTATGATATACACTGTACTAAATGAAGTTCCTTACCATGATCAAGTATTTTGAAGAAGGATTCTTAGAGCTATTGAAAATAACAAATGTAGAGTTTCTGCATATTTAAAGATTATCATTAAATTGAGTACGTCGTAATCATTTGATTACCAGACGTGCATGCAGACGCCGACAGTTTGTTTTCTACAGTAGTATATTTTATGGGTAATAGTATTCAAATATAATTATTAATATGCACATGAAGGTTGTACTTTCAATACTGCGGTAAAGACTTTCCAAACACATTTAATTTCTAGTAGTAGTATATTTGATGTGAATGCATGGGAAGTATGCAATATTCAAAAGGAGGGAGAGTAGTATAATAAATGGAAAGAGAACAAGAGGAACATATTAATTCTTTTTTTTTCATTCATTCATTTCGGTTTATTGTGTCAAAATTCCATGTTAAAACAGTCTGGAGACTGATACAACAAAGATTACGAAGTTTAAAGAAATAAAGAGAAATTAAAAATACATGTACATCAATATGGAAACGATCACAAATTAGTTCAAGGAATAAATTAACAATAATAATAATGGAAACTTCAAATATTGCACATCATACATAAAATAAATCGAATTTACATACATGGGTGAAGGGGGGAAAAGAAGATAAAAACAAAAAGAGAATGGACAAAGCATTACATTTCCTTTTCTCGTAACATTTAGATGTTGAGCATTTACATTTTAAACTCAATTAAGATAAATTGATAGATAAAACGTGATGGTGATAATATTGGATTTACATGTTTTAAAAATAAACAACTCTACTAACAAATATGAAGAAAGTTGGAAATTGAGTTATGAAATGGGCACCTGCAAAAGATCTATTTTATAATTAAATCACCTTAGTAGACATGGAGGAAACCTTCAAACTCATCTCAAAGCTGAATTAAATCTTAGCGTGATTCGTCAAGGGTTGATCTAATGTCCTTTGGCAAGATATTGATCTACATTTGCCAATCTCAACCCAGGTGATGTAAAATGGGTACCTGCATGGCAGGAATTAATTCTTTGAAATGCTAGAGCGCCGAAATGGCAGCACAACTAAATAAAGCCGGGGTAATAATCTCAAGTTTGGAAGCGCTTAGTGATTCTAATAAGCGCTATATAAAAAGTGAGTATTATTATTATTATTATTATTATCTAAAGATATTACCGACGATTATTTTTCTGTCAAAATTATATTGAACAAGAACGAAGGACAAAGATGATGTATAATGAATTCATTGGGGACCACGTATAGTAGCTTTTGGAATTCTTGTATAAGGCTGTTTGATTTTGAAAAAGCTGTATAATTTTTATACAAACAAAAAACCTTTCAGAGATAAAATGCTAACGTTTATTTGCTGCCTATTCTGCGACCTACGATTTGGAACGGTAAGACGTGACTTGCAGGTATAGACATCTCCCGGCTGATTATATATATATATATATAAGCAATAGGCGCATTGATACAATAATGATAATTTTAAGTGAGATACATCATTATCATGTTTTGTTGATTCATTTATTTCTATTTCGATAAAAAGATGTCATGATGTCATGATATTGTTTTAATGATTAGCAAAGAATAATATAATACATTCATGTATGAGGCAAACAAAGAATTAAAGAAAAAAACATTCAGAAAAGCCTGATTTGAAAAGTGATGTTTGGTCCATACCCCCTAAGACTTTGTGACGTTAAAAGTTTGTCAAATTGAAATAATACTTTTACAGTCTCTCTCATTTTGTATACATATTCATTTATCTACTCATAAATATTGTCTGAAATAACTACAGTGTATCTGGTAATGACACCTCCGTCAAATTTAATACCAATCTGTATAGTAAATTACTTTTCATAATCCTGTTGTCATTGATCGGTTCAACGTTTGTGGTTATTTAATGATAGTTTGATATATTTGCATGGCTTTAACATTTATTTGTGCGTTGCTTTCAATATTTTATATTTTACCTTTATTATTTCATCGATGTATTTCTTTGTTTCCAAGTTTGTTTTTATGATCACGCATCTTTTTATTTTTGTTTACTTTATCATAATTTTGTGTATAGGGGATGCTACCATAAACGTGATTTTCAAATCTTTTGCTGCATCCCCAGACATTTTTGGTTTTACTAAATGTTTGAATAAATACAAAAACAAATGCAAAATAACAATTAAAAACATCATTTATAAACTTTATGCTCATTTATTCTCAGACATATCATTACATATATGTAATATTTTAACAAACTTTTGAAAATCATGTATAATCACAATGAAATTGTGAGCAGAAAAAGAAAGGTTTCGTCTGAAGCAGAACACGAGTAAATGTCCCTATAAACAAAGAGATTTAAATCTTAAATTAGTCAGATAATACACTTATGGAAGTATGATTTTAATAACCTTTTATGGTATTTTTTAATACTATAATGAGACATTGCCAGAGACATAATAATACATGTAAATACAAAAGTAAGACTTGAAGTGAACAGCGAGCAAAGTGCAGTTTTCAGGTCTCACTGGGGCTTCATTTGAGCTTCTATTATGACGCGACTTTTTCATCTTTTCATCATAAAAGGGAAACAATTTTGAACATGGTTTAATGCAAACACACGTCTTTTGTTGCGGCTCCTTGCGTTTCCACACGACGGAGCAGGTCAGCGTTTATGACTAAGGACCGTGAATAATTCTCATTCAAGTCCCAATGACACCAGGGAGTAGGCTTGGTAACGGGAAGGGCCTCGGGCGCTCTTTCCTACGTTGATGTTAGCTGCGTTCGAAGGGAGGAGTGATTAATATATGGATGCATTCACCACCGAGTCTTTTGTGCGATTTGCTGTAATATTCAGAGTCCCAGCTGCTAATAATAGCAGTAGTAGTCTAGGTAGGAGGGTTTAGTGAGAGAACGAGCGGGGCTACAAAGTCACTGCTATATTATGCATTTTACCTGTTAGCTAACGATGCACCCATAATTTTACCCTATACTTTGCTTCTACTAGGGGTTATATGAGAACGTTTGCAGACGACACACTCTACATAGTTACGAATGTGATTCGCATTTTGGCAATTAAAAAGCGCGCGGATGTAATGTTGAGCGGGACATTTGCAATCCTGTCTCCCACTGATAACACACATTTGGAAAGGAGTATAATCAGTGATTCATAATTTCCCTCCGCTTTCATTTGGACCGTTTCCAGGTGCTACGTTCTGCTACTGACTCATGAAGTATGATATTTAATGCTCCAGAAGAAATCCAGGACTTATACACACTCTTTAACTCGGCCACTTGAGATACGGACATTTAAAATGCATCTTTATTATTGAAGTGTCCATTGAAAGCGGATTAATGGATACATAGTGAAGATCATAACGGTGATTATCTAATGGCTCGTGACTGGTATCTAAAAAAGGTCGTTGACTCTATTACTTTTAGTGCATTCTGATGAGATTTTTCAGCAGCTTCAATTATCTGTGGATCTTGGATGAGCTTATTAACACCCGACATGTAAACAGGGTATGTATTATTGACAGTCAACCTGTTGGCAATCTGCCATGTCATAAATGGAATTCAATTTTGATGCTGCTTTTTATTGTATACATACACTTATTTTGGTTTTTTTCTTCTTTCCAGCTGATTACTTCAATATATACACAAAACCATGAGATATACCACGAGGATTACTGGTAATTTATCAATCAATCACAACGGTTATGACAACTTCTGTGTATGTGAGAAGTAATTGAATGTACTTGGTGAATCATTGTCGTCTTCATGGGAAACGATGAATTTAAAGTTTAGCCTTGTAATATCACTAGTAGTTGTTGTCTTATATGAATTCATTGTGCTGTTTGGCTCTATATCGTCTACTCTCTGCGGAGGTTTGTGTCAATAAACTTTATTAGATAAAGACTTCTGATATTGACCAGACTATGAATTTCTAAGCATAGTTTTGTTTCAAGTTACCAGTTGCAAGAGATGATCCATAGATCATGAATTAACCCTGATTATATCCACGTATGTTTCACATAAATTTCCAGGGTCTCAAAATTACCTGCATTGTCATCATATTACATTGTGACCATTTTCTACCTTTACATTGTGACCATTTTCTACCTTATGCAATGATTCAGCATTAACCCGTACAGTCTTTGAAACAACATTTTAAGTAATACCATCGGCATTCTATGGTGATACATTATGTAGGTTTGCTCAACGAATACGCCTGGCCTGACAAGGAAATCACTCGTTACATGCAAATGTCATTGCAACCTGTTTGCAACCATGTTACACGTACTAAACTGTCTATTTCATTGTTAGAATGGAGAAGTAACGCGACGCTTTGCAGGAAACTCCGATCATCGGTGGAGTGTTTGCATTATCATTATGACGTCTATCAGTGAAAATAATTTACTTTGACTTGGAAAACTTAATCTCAGTCAAACATGATTAATTTCATTGAGCCGGCTAATACTTAGACGAAATTTCTTCTTAAGAAAATGATTATTTTTCAGTCAATCTTCCCATCTGTGAATTTGAATGGAAGCTTATTGTTCAAAATTTGGCGATAAATATTCTTCTCATTTGCCTCTGTCCAAACCAGGAACGAGGGGGGGGGGGGGGAGAGAGAGAGAGAGAGAGAGAGAGAATGTGACAACTATTACCATGGCTTTTACTTCTGGGCCCCGTCTTACAAAGAGTTGATATCAATCGTAACTTACTTGCGATTGATATCAATCGTAACTATGTACATAAGAGATAGGAGACTGCAAACTTGCGATTGATTGGAGGACTTGCGATTGATTTGGATCAATCGTAACTCTTTGTAAGACGGGGCCCTGGTCATCATAATGGATTTGGAACAATAGATCCTACCAGCTACCACAATGCACCTGGGTGAAGAGTGGCACATAATTATCAATGTCTCGCTGAATGTATAAACCTATTACGATTTATTCTTATCATCGATATACCTTTCATGGAAAAGCGACGCTAGTCGCGTGGTCTCCTAAGATAACCGATTTGTACTATGTATACTATACTATCATCATACTTTCATACTTACATACTAACAATGTTCAAGCATCACTTCACTCATTAATGATAATCTCAACCTCTATCCATTTCCAACGCCTATACCCATCACTTTCATAATGATTGCATTCCCGTCATTATCATCAAAGCGAATAACATTGTTCTGCATGAAGCGTATATAGCCTTGCTTTTCATGGTTCAATTCCTAAGCATTACAAGTATACTTATATTTCATTCATCAGAATTCATGTTTGTGGAGTCATTTAACCACGTTCTCAAAAGCTCTTCTACCACAATCCTCTTTTGAAAATAATAATTTTATATCCGGGACAAATTAATGCATCGTCCTATCGATAATTCATTTGTCCACTACATACAAAGTTTTGTCAGAGGTATATATGACCTAGCAGGTAAACTTGTGTGCAAGCTGATGATTGACAATAGAAATTCCATTATATATTGTTGTAAATAGATCAATGAAAATGTCATATTGTCACCGAAAAGGGTCTATACAATATCTTGTAACAGCGAGGTGAACGCATGCATCTCAAAATATAGGGGAAAGTTAAGTGCTTTTGCTTGATGTATCAGTCTGAGTGCATTAAACACTTACGACTTATTTTGATTTGTTGCCAGTATACATCACGTTCCTTTATTTTCATCGAGGGATATTTAATTTCTTTTCCGCTGACTTCGGGTGGTTTGGCAGATGAGTACTTAACGGCTATCAAGTGATTGTAATCTATTTATAATGCTTGTCAAGGCTATGTTGGAATGAAGCAACACTTGCCAGGCACGTCGTTTAAGTTTGATTGTTATATTGAGAAGGCATCTGGAGCTAGAGAGCTATTCAGACATGAACTGATACGATGTGAACGCTCCTGGGATCGAGAGAGCTAGTGTGAACACTCCTGGGATCGAGAGAGCTAGTGTGAACACTCCTGGGATCGAGAGAGCTAGTGTGAACACTCCTGGGATCGAGAGAGCTAGTGTGAACACTCCTGGGATCGAGAGAGCTAGTGTGAACACTCCTGGATCGAGAGAGCTAGTGTGAACACTCCTGAGATCGAGAGAGCTAGTGTGAACACTCCTAGGATCGAGAGAGCTAGTGTGAACACTCCTGGGATCGAGAGAGAGAGAGAGAGAGAGAGAGAGAGAGAGCTGATTATGTAGTCCGGTGGAGTCCTCCTGTATAGTATATACCATGTGGCACTTCGTGACAAGAATATTGAGCTCACTAACATTCAAGCTAAGATAAAAATATATACATATACACATGAATTCAACGTGAATAGACAAAAAAATAATACAAAAATACCAAATTTAAAACGATTCAAAAGAAATGACAACAATGATAAAGAACGGAATAATAAAGTAAACAGCTAAATAATCTAAACCAACGCACAATATTATTGTGAAAACATGGGAACAAACCAAAATATCTTTTTTTTTTAATGGATTTTTAGTTGCAATGCATTTTTCAATTATTAGTACTTCTTCATGTTATATTGCTATGTATCTGTTAAAAGGTAGATTGTATCACTTTTATGTTTATCTTCATCCCCTAGGAACACAATCCCCTTTCATTCAATAACCTGTCCCCCCCCCCCCCCCCCCCATCCCATCCTCTCAAAACGTGCCGCAAGTTGACATATAGGACAATCCTTGCTACTTATCTATACATGTGTGTATGGTTTGAAACCAACATAACCTAAACAGGTCAAAGAAAAAGTGTGACTTTTTAATACTCAGATTTAAAATTCATTGTAAACATTAAAATAGAGTGTGAGACTTATTGTACCAATTGGTTCTCTATAATAGCAAAGATTGGATGCGAATTCACCGGGAGCCAGCGTGCACGGGTTATGTACAGGAGGGGATAGCCCTGTCGCTCGATGGAAAATAAAAATGTGAGTGTTCCTTTGTTAATGTGAAGTGGATTTCGCTGAAAGGGACTTTTATTGAAGCAGGCAATGTTCCACATCTGTCGCGATTGCAGCATTTTCCATCGTGTGTAGTCCACGGTCATTATTCAAGTGTTTTCACGCTGAACAATGAAAGCGTGCTCCTGCCTGGGGCAGACATAAGATTGAGGAGGGCGAAAGGTACAGACAATGACGAGCATACAACGCAGTGTTGGCTACATGCACAAGCTTTAATTATCTTGCATATGAACATAATTCCATTATGAGGACACCCAATCTGAACTGTAGAGAGTTTAATGTGATTGGGTCTATTATTTCACAACCCGCATTCATGCCCTTCCAATTAAATCGCTAACTAATATTTTCCTTTGTATTAACCCAAGCCAATTTAACGTATTCGTTAATATAGAATGAGTAGCCTTGATTTTGTGGCAACGCTTTATTATAAATGTTAAGAATAATGTTGTGAAAGGAATAAGTTAAGAATCGATTGTCGAATTACAGTGAGACGTTTCAGCAATGTTTTGCCATCAATTCAGTTTTGAACAGAGCATATTCTAATTGGGTATTATTTGTCTGATATTCAAATAGTAACTCTGCTGATACGGGTAATGCGAGCGGTAGTGGTAGCGATTTGACCATTCAAAATAATATATGAAATAAATAATTTATTTCCATTCTTAATTATCATAAATCGCTTTCTATTTTTTAATCAAAATGCGTCGTTCATTAGATCTTCCTTTCCTGTTTTCGCATCAATATTTCATGGGAAATTGGCGCCATATAATAGTCTCTAACCACTATTATGCAATGTCTACGTCGGGAAGAAAATTGTGAAGCGTTAGATAGTACAAGAGGAACTGTGTGACTCCCTATGACCGTTATTAAAACAAATTATGGATCCATCAATACCATCAATGTATAGATCTAATACACACAATTATGTCTGACTTCACTCAATATCGAAATCAAAATTGTATTAGGGCTGTAAGGTCTTAGTGAATTGTAAAAATGATTTTAAGGAGAGATGATCATCATGATTATTATAGGTAAACTGTTAAAAGAAAGAAACAAAACACACCCTGTCGTGAAATATGAGTATAAAATTTGTAATAATTGGCTGATGATGATAATGAGTTCTGAAAGTGGCCGACGTTACTTCGATATAGCAATATGGCTTGGTGAGAGCAAGTGACGTTTACTTGGGGTTGAAGATAACGCCTACTAATGGAGAATGATATACGAGGCGCGTTGAGGTTGCGTGGTAGTCCCATCACCCACAGACCTGATGGAGAACTCATCTAATGTGATGATTCCATTATTGGGAAAGCACTCATGCATGCCCCCGTGGATGCCTTAATACCACGGGCCGCGTGGATGCCTTAATATCACGGGTTAATGATGGGTGTGTGACTTGATAGTGCCACCAATATTATTGTGATTGCGAGTAATATTCCATCCATTGACATAGTACACGGAGACAAAGTCATGAGGGAGTCGTTTCACGAAACTGTCATAACTAAACAAATCACAGACAGTCTATTGAAACGCATGTTA